GTCCCTTGGAATTTCCCTAATGTTGTCTTTCTCTAAACGTTCTTTAGTTGTCGTTGCAGCCCCTAGCAGTTCCTTAGCCCACTTCTCTACTTCATTATAGTGCCTAAGAAAGAACGTATCCCTCTTTGTGGAAGTAATGCTTTCCGAGTGAATGGCTCGAATGGGGAAATAGGTTCAACAACCGTCGTGACAGTCCCTATATAACAGCCTACATTTAGAGAAAACACTCATTTGATCTCGAATCTCACCATTACAACCTCTCGAAGGAGTACTCTGCAGTTTTACATAACATTACAAATCAATACCTTTGTTACCTGTTTGTATACAAGCATTTCATTAGTAGCACAATATCACTTTAATATTGCTCTACCAGACTTTTGTCAGGCGTATCTAAAATGAAGCAGCTGACACCTTGAAACCTTTATCAGTGTAACGTATATTTCCACAATCGGCCGTCTGCAATGTTTCGTATATTTTGCACACACGTAAACACAAATATCATTGGACAATAAAACAAACGGGATAGCGTTATTCGTGCTAGTCCTTACACCATTACGCCACTGCAGCAAAAATGCTCATTCTCTAGATATATTCCCGTAATTAATTCATCCCAAAGCCTTGATCGGCAATGATTATTTGTTTTGCAATAACTTGCCATTCGTTTTTGTTCCCTTAGTAGTCTTCCCCACTTTTCTACATCTTTATATTTAGAGTGATCAACTGTATTATGTGACCAGATTAGTCCTAGATGGTCGTGCCGGATTATTTACAATGACGTTCTATTTAATTGTTTACATAGCTTCATCAAAGCAGACACAGTTGAGACACAGCAATGGCAGCACTGTTTTTTGTCGGTGATCTACCATAGAACATTAAAGGCGCTCAATAGCAGAAGTGGCTACGTATTCTGTACAACGACGGAACGTTAGTTTATCACAGCATGCAGCTGATCGACTACAAGTCGTTACCTTGTGGTACCACGGCTTACTGGTTTCGCCGCGCGTGGTTATTGGCTTAAGCTCGTAGGGCAGCTCGGCCGATCGGAGTATCCATGTTGCGGCCCGCGAGGGCGGGAACCAATCGTGCATGTACAGAAGAATAGGCGCCGCTGGCGTCATTTCCTCCAATTGTTGCAGAAAATACTCGATTACTTGACGACGAGCAGCCAAATAGTGTTCGCTCAGATGAATCTTTAATGACAGGGCTGCCGCACTGGCATGAACAAAAGCAACGTAGTTGAAGCCTGTGTTGTTTCCACCGGTGGCGACTCACTGCTATGGGTCTTCGAACTTCAGTCGGTTGGGTTTCACGAACCCAATTATAATCGTGCCACCCACCAGAGGGCGCGAACTTGCTATCGCTCAACTGTGCCTTCTTCAGTTCGTGGTCAAACAATTATTTGCATTAGCATCTGTCATCGCTCGCGTGCCAGCGATCGCAGGGTCCGTTTTTTGCAATTTGGATATTTGTCATAACGAAGCACTTCTTAACGTTATGTCCCCCCAAAAAACTGGATGACCTTACCTATCGCCAACGTCGAGCCCTATTACATGGCCGCACACTGCCTTACGATCCCAGCTGCCTCTCAGTGACGATACACAAGACAACGAGGAATCTTCAGGTCATTTACCGATTACGTTTACGGTACCACACTCACCCACAGTTCGCACCACGGGGCATGGCGTACAATCATAGGACTTGATTAAGGTTACTGTCACTCAACTATGAATCCTCTAGGAAAGGTGCCTCAGGGAAGGTGCGATCTTAAGCAATCATCACACAGGTAACTTGCAGAGCATAGCTCGTCTCTATCTCGTGTCCCGACTTGTTTGGTATGGACTTCTTTCCCCTTGTACCTTTAACAAGCATCGCTGAGTTGAGCAAACGGCCTGGGTAAGAGGACAGACACAACGGCCACCAGATTCGCATCGTATTAGCAACAGTTCTTACTCTGTGGTTGTCGAAGCTGCTACTCTGTTTCGAGGAGAAATTGCCAAAAGGCCAGCGAAAGGCCCCTTTTCTCAGTCTTTTTCAACAAATGAACGAATTCCTGAAAGACGAGAGATGCGAACACGTAGCTCATTGCAATGGTAGGACCTAGGCATTTATTAGCATCCATGCAGCCGCTACATGGCCTAGGTGCTGCTAGAGTTTACCGCAAAATAACGAACGTAAGCCACTTGAGGAAGGAATGAGGCGACTACAGCCCGGTCTAATGGACCAACTACTACGTCATCAGGGTTACTTAGCCGAGCGAAAGCATGTCCGGTGAGAACATTTACTAACTTCGCCAAGAGCTGCTTTGAAAGAGACTGTTTATTTGCTGAGGGCCATAGTTCACTGTTTAGCTCGTCACTGCTTCTATTGCAATAACTCAGTAAAGATAAAATTTTAAAAAATGATGGTTTAGCGAAAAGGAAAGTGGGTCGCACGGCCATCGCGAATCAAAGGCGCATTTCATACGGCTGAATAATAAGATGAACTAGCACGAAGATATATGCTCGAATCGTAAATAAGTAACATTAGATGAAAACAACGCGGTACAAGAAACGGTGTGGCTCTCCTAACCCTAAAATAGCAAATGTTTTTTTATGGGAAAACAATACCCCCAACAATATGCCATTCGCATTACAACGTCATCGAATCTTTAGGAGCACATGAATGTTTGGCTGTCGGATGGGTTTTTTTGAACAGCCTCGCTTGAGCCTTAACCGCATCTAAAGGTAAAATAGTTGAGTCGCTTTCTCGGAGATCGATTTCAAATGAGGTGATTTGACAGATAAACATATGTCTTTGACCACGATTTAAATAGGTGTACTCTAACTAGGTAATGATAACTGAGTAGACGATAGAAACAACTCCGGACCGTTCAAGGTTCCCAAGTCATTTCATATATGCATTTAGCTAACTGATAATTTTACGTGCCATTGCGATGAAGTAAAATCCATTGAAGCTCGCAAATATAACGTTGTTTCAATCTTAGATCCCAAATTACTTTGAAGAATCAAACTTCTCGCCACGTGGTCGCGAATCCACAGTTCATCTTACTTTTTATGCTATTGAGGTTAGAGGTTACGCAAGGAGACCATCGTGACAATCCTTCTATCGCCTTCTTATCATAACCTATTTAGGTCATAGAGCGTATATGAAGAGAAATAATATGAAGGGAGCCCATTGGCCAGGTTTTGCGTAAGAGGATATCACATCTTGACTAATATCTTGACGAGTTATTTTGATATAAGCTATTCTGTATGTAGCTTCCTTTTTTTAAATACACTATACTGTCTACATTTGTATTCATACGAAATTAAAATAGAAAAAGAATAGATATTGTACCCAAACTTCGTTGCTGCCAAACTTCAGTTTGCCTCTTATAGGTTGTGCAACCTTCCAATGGGGGAAAATAAATGATGACCCAACATAGTTCCACTTACGCTGGCGTACATAGGCTTGACATAACTAATAGTCTAACTGATATATCTACAAACTTATAGAGAAGTTAGTGTTACACAAATCGAAGATCTTAGGCCGACATTACAGGCTAAATAAATGATAGCTGCCACTTTAAGTTTATAAAGTGATGCACTTAAATCTCATATTGTTTATGTATGAGTTTTGTAGTACCATACTTGGTTTCTTATTTAAGTATGATTGATTTATCTTCACTACAGTTGACAATAGGAGAACTACGGCTCAAACCAAGATAGTGATTGCATAAACAGTATGAAGTTAACTCGGGCTGCGGGTAAAACAGCGGCCACTGGAATAAACTTCATACTTTGCTCAGTCGTATGAGACCATATGCAAATTTGACAACTTCATAATCAAAAGCTGACCATCAGTAACATCAGTCAATAGGCTACCTATTGATTTTCAGTTTCAATGATTGTCATCGCTAAAGGATGCTTGATTCCAGACAAAGTTCAGAAGCCTTATAGAAGCTATGGTGGCGTCCGTTCAACGAATAAAGACAATGGCTTCTCAACAACGCCCAAAGTTACGTCGTTGCAGAAATTGCATTTATTGTAACAATAGGATTACAGAAAAACTTAAATTCATTATGGCTCATATAACAGGAACACCAACGCAATTGAACATTTCTAGTATATATATATATATATATATATATATTTGGATGGATAGTAATTAATGGAGATCGTTACGCCTAAAATCGACAGGGAATCAATACGATTAAAGAATAGTTATCATGTTAGCAGCTATTTGCTAAGTCGTTTCGTAGGTTTGTTGAAGAGGCCTCAGATAATTTCAGCGAGACCCACCTCAGTTCGAGGCAAGTCCTTGATAGTATGCCCAAAGAGATGACTTGAGCACTTAATCACATTAAAATGAATAACTGAAAGCGCCAACAAAAAAATTAACATGATTTATCGATGTACTGGGGACATTGATCCATTGGCGTATATAGTGCGATCACGGCCGCGTTTCAATCTTGCATTTTTTACCATTAATCAGCGTCAAGTCTGCACGTTGAACAAGCCATAACACAAGCTAGACAATTTTCTGGCCAAAAGGCGCCGACGCTACACAGGCTTCCCCCTAACAAAGTAAAAATTAGTAGTACGAATTCGTCCATAAAAAATTACGAAGATATATGTACTTGATGGATCAGGATCATCAGGTTGTCAATCTATGTAAAGTTCAGTGATTCGAAACTTGCGGTGGCCCTGGGGGCGAAGTAGGTTCGCGTAATTGTATCGTTAGAAATTAAAGGAGAACTATATCTAGATGAGATAAGGGCTGAGAGAATTTTTTCAAGAAATTCATATGTGTATTCCATATGTATTGGCCTGTACGGAACTGTTGATATGATTTGAGCTGGTATTTGGTTAGCTGCATGTCTACTTGTTAGATTCGTACGATCCCTAATTTTAGATCGTTCAGTGATTTAACACCACTTCAACTGTTTGCCCTCACTCTCCCTGCAGCAACGTCTAATCACCATTAAAAATATAATATGTCCTAATACTTCTAGAACGTACCTTAATGAATTCGGGTTTCATTTGTTCCCCTGCAAAAAGGTCCACTTCCTTTAGATTACAATTGACGCCAATCGTCTTAGCTACTAGCCGAACAGTTCTGCATGCCGCCGATACCTGCGGGACACGTTGATTCGAACGAAAGAAAAATACCTGTTTTATAAGGCTTATATATAATATAAATATATAATTTATACTATAACATATGGTTCATAGCTAGAAAAGTGCTGTTGAATGACCCTGTTTCTTTAGACTGAACTGCCGTTTATTGAGACAAACATATGCAAGCTGCTCTGTGCTTCTGTTCGCCAATAGATCCCCCAGTAACTGCTAGTAATGTAGTACCCCGCACCACCGAGCGACGATGCAAACACACGAACAGACCCAACGCCAAATCCAAATATGCATTTTGCTCGAGTTTCTTAACAGCTAAGTCTATCTGTATTCCCGTTCTGGGTCATAATCGACTCCGACGACACTCGGTGACAGAGCTCATTTATAATAATAATAATAGCAACATCAGTAATTCTTATAAGCGCAATTTTTGGTTGCCCAATAGAAACGACCCGTCCACAAAAGGAGATGTTTGAACCATTTTATCAGTAGGGCTGAAACTAGCGAAATACGTTCTTCCTAATCGATGCCGATGCCCATATTTGTCATATAAGTTTGCGTGCAGTACAAATGGAATGCTTTGATTGTTTTACGAACGTCTTCAAGTAAGCAGCCTTTCGGCAAATAAGCGCGCTGGTCCTTAGCTCCAGCTCAACACACAATCACTTAATTCTAAAAGCCTCCAAACTAGCTAAACTTAAACATGAAAAAACAACGTTCACTTCAGAGGCATCATCATTGGCACGACCAGTTCGCATTCCTGGTCGATTTTTCCGGCTCGCACCTACAAGTATGAATGGCAAAGTATTTAATCAAGGTACTAGTCGATCCACTAACCTCCATATGATAAAGATCAACGGTCATCTCGCCGGCGTTCGCGAGAACCACCGACGATGAAGGCGCGCAGCCCAGCGCGAAGCTTGGAAAAGTGACTGCAAGATGGGCGAATTTTCGATACCCGTATAAAGGTATAACCTCGGGACCCGCAGCGGCTCCGGCGACTTGGGCCCTATGAATCTGCGAGCAGCTTCGTCGCTACGGAGAAAGGACGATTCGAGAAAGGGAGTCTGTCTACAGAGAGGGACAGACATCCAGATGCAGAAGCAAAGCCACCTTGCCGCGCCGGCCGCTGCCTGTGCTTCTGGTATATATGAGAGGCCACGACCACGAAACACGATTTAGAATTAGCTGACGCGTATCGATCGTTGAGATAAGCTGTGGTAGAAACTCGAACCGAGGTACAGAGGACCGGGGGAAGCCGATTTAGGTTCCAGTCATTGATGACGTCGATCAGTATTGCTCGTATGCTTGATGACTATTGCTATCCTGTAAACAAAAAGCGGATATTTCTTAGGCTAGATAGTAGTCTCACTAGAGTATTTTCGATATTTCTCTGGCTCGCGTGTAGGTGGCCACTTCCATGAGGTCTTAAAATTATAAGGGGAGCATAGTTTTCCACGATTAGAACGTGCTAATCGGCCGAAATCAACCGGATCATATCAACCGGGATCAACTTACTAAAATATTCTACTGACGGTACGCGCAGCGTCGGTTGCAATGGAACAGCCATGGAACGATGTCTATGTGTTGGCGAAAGGCAAACTCTTGAAAGAAGTATTGCCCAAGGCGTCACGTAAGGTGCGTATTTAAACCAGAAAGCTGTTTACATCCACACGTTTCTTGCAAAACACCGTTAGATATGCATTGGAGCAAAATAGAGATTTGGCGTCGCACACGAGCCGGCAGAGGCGTTTGAAAATTCCTTGAATCATTTTTCGAGCAATTCGCATCGGTTTTATGTTTTGGTTTTTCTCGCGCGGCGTATTTTTTAAACTCTCAACACCCCCTCTAATCGGCACCGGTATTAATTATTCTATAGTTAGCTTATTATGCATACGAGATAGCTCGAGTGGAGATAAACAATCCGTATTTTATCACAAGGCTCTAATATCAGCGTACGTTTGAGCGTAACGTTCTCAGTTTAAATCTCATGGTAATAGGCCGATAGGGACGTGCGCCTAAGGTGCGTACTGTATTCCGTCTAACCTAATCAGTTCCGAAAAACACTTAACTAGTACTATTCGACTAGGTTAGTGACTGATTTCGGCTAGCTAAAACGTACTTTGATCCAACTTATTCTCAGTTGCACGAACGCTGTTTGGTGAAAAATGCACCGTTGTTTTAACGTTCCACTTATTTTTAGGCAGCTCCTTAGAATGGTAAAACTTACACATACATACATACAGACAGACAAGTTGAGTCGTTATTCTGGACTCAAATGTGAGGCTACAGGCTTTGGCCATTATACCATAAAAATGTTCATAAATGTTTGTTCAGTTTAATGTGGCTCTACGCTTATAGATTTAAAAAAAAAAAAAAAACAAGTAAATTAACGCTAGTCTGGTATAGTAGAATAGTTTAGTTGTATTCAGCTCAATATCGACTGTCAAGCATGACTCGCTTTTTTTTTTTTAAAAATAAAAAACAAATAGGCTCGCATCCGATGCAGGCATAGGCTATGTTTAGCAGATGCCTTAGTTAAAAAAAATTCCTCTGATAGGGATAAAATCGATTCGAGAAATCACCAGTGTCTTCAAATTTAATCGCTGCCATTTACAGGCAATATTAATGTATAAGGTATGACCCATATATATAAAGAGGTAAGAGAAAGTACTGCACTTTGATTCGGGCGATTCTATTCGGACTGGATTTACATTAGCTTATTAGAAGCACCTGCTCGGCTCTCTATAACACATATAAGAGACACAACATTTAACATTGCTAATGTGTATGGCAGTATAAGACTCGTCCGCATACACAAAGGAAATCCATGTATATTGAACACCAGTAGCGACTTTGTGTAGCATGGCATAGCACTAGTATATTATTTACTAGGATTTAGATAGGCGACGCGTTTGCATAGAGGAGCATCTGGAACCGATTCAATGAACTCCCACTAGTCTGCAGACGATTTCTCATGCACCATTCGCACCGGTATAGTCTCGACAGTGAGTCTAAGCTGTCATGCCAAAGTCGAAAGTTGGCAAGCAGATATTATTACATTGTAAGTTACCAAAAACCGTAGAGTGCAGAATAAGCACTCGTAAAAGCAAGACATTGATACACCGTCTTTGCTTATACCGATACTGATATGCTCTTATAGAAGAACCTGCGCCCAAGATAAGTACTTCCTGCGAGAAAGCCTGTAAGTAAGTCCCGTAAGAAGGCACAGTTCACACACGAATAGCATTGCCGCAATGCTATATTTAGTGCCAATTTAAAAGTGAAACAAAGCGAATGGTCTGATGCCGTAGTTACGCAATATAAAATGAACATTTCTCCAAGCTTTCGTATGTATCTCACGTCGCGGGCTCAAATCCGCGTTGTAATCAGGACCGCTTCACGAACTTTGTAGACTTAGAAAATTCGCTATTTCAACAAACCCTACTTGTGGGGTTGGAAAAAATTCGTACCCCATCTTGCCACTAGCCAAGGAGAAAGGCTAGAGTAAACCAAGCTCGGGTATTTCTTCAAGACTGAACTCTTTCTATTCGCAGGTACCAAGAAGGTTACCCACTCTCTGATGTGTCGTCATTTCTATCAAGCAAAATCAATTTAAGACCATTTGAGCTGTAAACCTATTGTTGGCATTACAATTATTCCCTTGTGTTATTTAATGGTACACCAGCAAACAAAGGGGTAGATCAAACTATCACAGATATTCATAAATAAAAATTCATAATATAACTTTACACCCAACTCTCTTTAATGGATGCATAATAAAGCATCAAAGGTAGCTTAATAAACGATCTCCTTACACAGTACTGCTTGAGCCGACACAATTAGATCATTATTATTATTATTATTATTTTCGTTCATTTTCAGCATAATCCCGATTTTACAGAACCCACGTGCCTAAACCCACTTACCAAAAGAGGCCGATCCCGATGATCAGTCTGTACAGTTATTTTGCTGTTTCAGAAACCTCACCCATTTTGGTGACTTATTTCACTGGCTCATACAGGTCTGTTCTCTACGTCACACAACCGCCGTATACAGCGCAGTGTCAGATCCGCCTAGTCATTTGTTTAGCGACTTTTTCGCGTATCGACGAGCACCACTACGAAATCTCGTCCTAAAAGTAGCGTCGCCTTTAGATACTTTACAACATTATAGACGACACATTGTTGAAGAGACCGTGCAGATGTGACGAACTTGTCCACCACTGTTCACCAGCGCTCAAATCACTGCATTTTCTACAACGGCTAGGTTAAGTCTGAACTTTCGATTTAGCGACGTGCATCCCTTGGGCCATTCTTTCACTATACTATCTAATATGCTGTGATACTTATATGGTATACAGGTCGTGGCCGGGAAGCTTCGCCCCTCCTCGGTGCTATTATGACCCTTTCCACTCGAGTCGGCGAATATTTGCTTTTTCCCCAATACAACTGCTTACACGCTCTAGTTGCATCGTGTAGAGGAATGGACTAGGCATGATGTTCAACGGTATTCAGGCGTACTGTTTCGGAGGCGGCTAGGGGCAAAAAGAAGGGGTATCTGAGACACATTGCGTGCGCGTTTTCTAGGTTACTCCGCAACAACGGCGGTGGCAGCGACGTGAGGCGTGTAAAGTAAACCAGCAAGGGCAGTAGTTATTGAAGGAGTGAGTCGGGGTAAAACGACATAGGCGACTGAGGGGACATCATGAGCACTGCGAGACGTTGATCGCACGTGAATTTGACGTACGCGCGAAAATAAGGACCAGACACGTACGGACACTCATGACGGACATTGCTGTCTCGATCGAACTGTCTCATAAGAACTCCCTCTCTGGTTCCTGTCTCGCGACGCTGCTGATCAAAACGGAGCCCCAAGTGATTTTCTAGGGAACAAAGAAATGGAAAATGGGAGTAGCACAAGATGACTAGGCAAGATCTAAGGTTTAGTCCTGGTATTACCTATGCTTCAAAGACAAATATAAGACATGTTTTTCTATTAGAAAGGCAACTTATTGGTCAGAGATTGTTATAGGGTGACATTTGGGCTGTACTGGTGCATGTTGACACGTGCGGACAGATACATGGTAAAACTCTGTAGCGTAAGGGAATACGGAGATGTTTCACTAGGTTCTAGCGTCTGTCCCCGTGACAGCTGATTAGTAACATGGTTGCTCTCTAATCTTAAGGACACGTTATGGTTTAGGTTCGGACTCACTTTGTTTCGTCATAGGGGCTTTAGCGTCTGAGTAATAAGCAACTGAGAAAACCAACCCCCCAAATTAGCTAGTGTCACACACCAATTAAACATTTGTACTTTGTATTACAGGGGATCGTACTCGACCGACATTTACACAGCAGCATTTAAAGCTGGATAATTTTCCTATTGTCAAGCTCAGTAAAAAGCTTCTTTTACGTTGCTGTTATGTGCACATCCATCGAAATGTTCGTGGATAAATTTCCGAGTTACTGAACTACTCTACCTATATGTTCCGTGATTTTTCTCCTCTGATAGCGTATCATCGTCAACAACTTCACTGATTCATAGTTATGACGCTCACTAAAGCAGAATATCATGTAGAATCTGAGCACCGTCATAAAGTTGCGTTGGCTACGAGCAAAATTTTGCTCGCATCCATAGAGTTGTCCAATGCTAAAGTTGTACACAATATAGTATTTACTCATAAATAAGTGCGTTCTGCATAATAATCCACTACAAATTGTCAACTTACTTATAACAAATTCGTTCCTATAGCGGACGGGGCGATGTTCCGCTCTATTAGAACAATGTCCGCGCTCGATTTACGAGAAAGTTCTATGCGTAAGTTTGACTGTGGTAGATTTCAGAGTCGACAAATGACTTCGTTTAACAGATAGACTAGTTAATGAATAGCAGGCAATTGAGACTGCGGACAAATCCATGACTCTGATACACGCTTTTAGTATACGTCGACAATATACCTTGAAGATAACTTGGAAATCACACAAAAGCACACCTTTAAATGGTTCGAAAATATATTAGGATATCCGCTGGGACAGTCGGACAATGATGGGTGGGAACCTATCATTATAATAAATTATATGTCACCACACGATCTATATACGACAGCGCTTTAAAGCGCGACGTGCTGAGTCGTAACGATTTAGCGTTCTAATTCCCTAATGCGCTTCGAGAGTCGGACGGACGCTGAATCTGGCTAACCGTTATATCTCAGTTTTGAGGACATAAGCACCTGCTCTGCTTTAGTTTGTCATATTTTTCTAATATGTTCCGCCTAACTAAAATGGGAAATGGCAAAATCTGGAAGGATTAGTGTCAATTATGATCCGGCATGGCCTGGGACGTCTAACCTGAACGGTAGTATCCTTAAACCGTGCTATGGATAGCAGTATTGAAGCATTTGGTGTTTTGGACACCCCGTCTTCGTACTCAGTCACTACTTTAATATTTTGAGCGCAACGTCCGACGCCGCCGGTAGGCGCTCCGTCAAAGGGATCGATCGCGACACAAAACGACGCGTGTCTATGTCCGCGTTCGCATTTAGACCAGCAAGTGTCCCTAGCCGAGAAATATGTTACTCACCAAACGATCATGGCGATAGTCGTTATCCGAAGCGGTTAGACAATTTATCAATAACTTTTCGATAGATAGGTTCTGATTTCGTACGTCGCCAGCGAGAGATCTGTATCTCTTCCATTCATTGCTTCAACCTCAGACTTTTTTAAAGAGCAAAGGATTTGTCCGGGGTTATCAGTTTATCTAGTAAGCTGGGTTGCTACCATAATCCTGCAAAAGCAATCGACCCAACCTAAACTTAGTATATATAAGCATTTATTATGAAATATATTTATATGCAATGTGGATACAGGAACAGTTGGTCTCTATGTTACGCAAATCAAAGTCATTTAATTCAAATTTGAAGTTCTCTTCAGGAAGAAAAATATTTGAGGGATCTTATTTTTGTTTATGGTCATCTATCTGTTTAATCTGATCATATCTTAGATATAGTGCCGCGAATGTCGTCATTGATCGTTATGAAAATTAAATACAAATTCAATAAGAGCTTTCTATAGCAGTATAGTTAGTTTAGGCAATTTGAATTGTTTATTCATGATTATTTCACGCGTTTTAATAAATATCAGCACCAAATGTGCAGATGTGTGACTGCTTCATACGTACGACAGGTATGAACCTACACGCGTTAGCAGTCGGCCCTTTATTGAGAAGCCGCAGACTCTTTAAACCGCGTTCCGTTCCGTTCCGAGATCGCATAACGTTTTAACTTTATGCCTATTAAAAGATATTGATAGAGGTATTCGTTGACGTATAAATACAGGGTGTCCCAAGAATATACATACACTGTTTAATTGGTTATGATTTTCTCACCGTTCTTTCTTTTCAGAGTATAATTAATTGGAGCCAATGAGTGGACAAAAATGGAAGTAAAAAAAACGCTTAGCTGAAAATGCTGTTGCATCTATGAGCGCATAGTAGAAACATAAAGAAAGTAATCTAGGAAATGTCCCGAGCAGCTCCACTTATGCGCTTTACTATTATTCAGAAAAAAGACAAATCTGCAACGGATTGAACTGTTCAGGATATTTATACATAATAGTCCGCAAGGCCAAGAACATCGACAAGCTTCGCCAACTAAGGAAGGGTACAGGGACGTTATAGGCAAATATTCTTGGCATCAGCAAATCAAGCATGCGCTACATTTTAAATTATATTCCAACAACGTTACATGGTATCGATAAGGATGACCTGGACAAAAGAGAACAATTTCGCGAAGAATACGAACAAGTTTTAGGGAAGATCATCTGAAAACATGAAGGTTTATTCAAATAAAATGGCGCAACGAATCAACATCATTTTTGCTTACAGGACAACTATAAATCTACATGTTATGCAAAAACCATGTAAATTTACCAGGACTTATCGTGTGCTACGACACGTCAAGCAAAGTATTAATTAGACCATTGTTTTCTGATAGTATACGGAAGCTTTTGGCTACAAATTCCTTTCACCAGACACTCGGAAGAAGCTCAGTAAGGATGGCGAGTTAAATTTCTGTATCTGCATGCTATCACTGCGTTATGAAGACATATTTTAATGAAAATTTTTTAAATCGATGAATCGGATGAAGAAATCCTATACGAACTTTTTCTGCTTCTTCAGACCCGATGCCATTTTAGTGGATACTTCAAAGATGAAACCTAGGCTTAAGCCAGAAAGCTAACGACAGTGAAAAATTTAAAAACTGCAGTTGAACAAGTATGTGTCAAACACCAAAAAACCTATTCATTTAAGTGTGATCACCTATAACCTATCGTCATCAGTAGGGTATTGACCAGAATAGTAGTAATACTGAACATCCGGAAAAAAAGAAAGTCAGAAAAGAAATTGAATCTTCTACAATTCAAACACTAATTATTGGTAAGTGAAAGCTGAGGCATACTCATTCAAATTATATATGCATTTTCAATCAGGCACAGAAGAAATATCTGTCTAAGGAGTCATCTTTCTATTAACGTATTGAAGCTCATTGAGAAGCAGCAATGATATGAACAACAGTATCAAATTATTTCCTTTTCAAATAAACAAATCTAGACAATTTGACCTATTGCTCTACGTAGTTGGAATATTCTTTCTCTCAACAGAAAAACATATCTGGGGCGATGACTGTAGTTGGTGTTACGCCAATGCACTAATCCGATACCCCGTAGGGGCTACTAATATTTGGCGGGCTATGAAAGGACAGTTTGCTACGTCCAGCTTTAATCCAAAAGTTGGGCGATAACGCTATGGACCTCGACTTTTGGGTTCAAGGCGTATGAATATCGGCCGACGTGATTCGAAGCCACCTTGGAAGTTGGCTAGCATCGAACGCATGTACGTGGATCAAAGGTGAACTTTGCTCGACGATAAATAGGCTTTTTTCCGCTAGAGGTTGTCAAAAACAAACTTATATTTAAGCGAGTTTGAGATTGCTACTAACTGTCAGACGTTAAAAACCACATAAACTCCACAAAGTAGTTCAGCAGATGCTCGATGGTGTGATTGAATTGAGGCAGAATTTCAAAAAGGCCACCTCTGCTGCGTAACAACGACAGCACCGAATCGAAAGGTAACTTCCTGTGAAAGTGACTGAAAACCAAGTAATTTACTGTTGTACTGCTTGTTAACCACCAAATGTATTACGAGAAACGAATCTATATCGAATCAAAATTTTGTAGACTTCCGCATTGTTTTTTCCACAAAAGGATGGCAAGGTGAGTGACTACTGGTTTTTAACGCTTGCAAGTTTTGATGAGAAGCTAAAGCGGTGTATGTTCCGGCAATTACCAGTCGGCCCCCGAAAAAACGAAAAAAAAAAAAAAAGGTTCGAAACAAAGCGGTTTATAGTACTGCGAACGAGAATCCGGGCTGTCATTGAGTCAAGCTTAATATTATCTATTATTATTATTAGCCTAATATATACCGGTTCCTACTATACGCAGTTAAAATGACGGATCCTTGAAAAAAGTTATCATTTCTATAGACAGAAATTTTCGATGCTGCGTGACGTTTGATGGCGGCGTGACAACGTTTCAATATGTGCACTTAGAAGAAAAATAGTGCACACATTTAGTTTGACCAGTAGTATTAGATTTAATGTCAAGGGAATAAGATTTAGCTTTTGTAGGTCGAATTCCAGTAGATTCAGGTTCAGTTCAGAAACAGCAACCACGTCAAAAAAGCACTCTCCTTTTTTATAAGGCACAGGAAAGATTCGAAACCGGAAATAGACACACACACCCACTGTGAGCCAGCCGTTTGAACTGATGTTTAGTGGCAGTATCGGGTGCAAAAACCTCAAATGTTTAGTTAAGTTTAAGCTTCACTAAGGACTTTTAGCATCCACGTTGCATTTGCGGTCTCGTTTTGTGCATTCAATACGATACATTCTTGAATGTCAATACGATACATTCTTGAATGTATTTTATCACCTCTCGAGGTGGAAATCACTATCAGATAATTCAAATTTTTGCTAGCTTTAACGAACATAGACGAAAATATTGTAAAGTATAACGCCTAGAAATGAAGTTTTTACACTAAACTCGTGGCGCGCCAGATCTTCCCTGGGTAAGATTTCAAATTCGGCTTGCATTCCGTTCATGATCCGAGTTTACCACTAATAAATCATCTCTATTGTGAATAGCTTCATACGATAGCTACTACCATTACGCATTCTAATGATCGACAACAGCGCCACGAAGCGGCTCCATCGTATTGGAGCTATAGAGAACAACAGACAACCCCTGAACAACTATCGAAAACAGCTGGAGGGGCAGTATCTCTCTAACCTGAAGCAAAAGCTAGAGCCGCCGCTGCTATTGCTGCGGAAGCCAGTAAACGAGGGCAGCTCTGACGTGGGAACGAGATGAAGTGCCAATAGGTAAGTAGGCAGGTAAATGCTGACCTGTCTGTTTACAGTAGATGTGTTTGGACTTTTTAGTGCTGGTTATCGAACTGTGGATCGTTTTACTGCTGCTAGTGCTTGCATAGAGTACATCTGTCTAGTTGCCGCTATGTATAGCCCCAGGTAGGGCAAGTCAATGCTTATAAAGTGAGCTTCAGTTTAGGTATCGTGAACCCAGCTGAATACATGGCATACAGGAACGCAGCGGACAACTAGCGATTTTTCTCATCATCATATATATCATCATTTTCATAACAAAATTCTGTTTATAAGTGATCAAGGTTAGTTACATCCATTGAACGTTTCCATTTACATACAACATAACTGAAATGCAGGATTTTTTCAAGTTTGCAGAATGTCATTTTGCTAAGAAGTAACGCCAAGTACTGTAAGTTTATAGCGCAGTAGGTAAAACGTCACGACTTCTCATTAAGCTTTTTTGGGGTTCATTTCACACCTGAAATCCAGAAATGTCCTTGAATGCATTTAGTTTATAGCCTCTACCTTTGTGTGTATCGTGCAGATAAAGTATTGAACACAATTATTCTTTATTGAAATGCAAACAAGATTATTTGTGGAACTAGGTTGGCTTGATTACTGTGTGTGGTACTTTTATTATTATTATTATTGTACTTTTCCTTTTACACTTTAAAATTTGATAAGTTTAATCAAAGAAAGTACAATATCCAAAAATACAATTTTAGAATTATTTTAGTTCTTAGTACTCAACTTATTCTTAGCTTCACACTAAAAATTCGTTTGACTTAGACCATCGAGGACAATAACAAATGAAAATTAAGAAATAACTAATTACGTAATCTTAATAGTAAACAAATCAAATTGCCGAAGTAGGTGTTCGTGTAGTATTGCCTCAATTAGATATAACTTCAGATGGCTGGTTCCCAGCACGAAATGAAGTGTGCCTGATTTCGAACCTAGGGTGCCTTGCAGGCTCTCAGATTTACTGGTCTAACTTACAAGCATGATTGTCGCTTGCCCGTGCCTCTCTCAAGGGCTAAACAGTGCTCGTTGCACTTGTTGGATTCTTTTCCCTTTTCTTCCCTCTCAGTACAGATAGTGCAGAGTATCTGCATTGGCAGACGGCCACAGATTTGTTTTGGTTGAAAGGAGCATCATTTGACTGGGCTCGCCCAGCTGGGCAATGCCAGGTCCTCCTGTATTTGCGTTCACAAACATGAACACAAACTTGCACCTGTCTAGGTTGTTCCGTCGTTATTCCCTTTCTATGATATTGTGCTCACGCAAGTAGGCAGCAACAACAGCTACAACGATAGGGGATCGTTGTTAACGTGCCTCTCCCTAGCAGAACCAAAATTGTCGGAACGTCGTTTGGCGGTGGGATTAGCCAAGACACGAGTGTCAGTCGACCGAATTACCTCACGGAGTGCCATTACTACATTTTGTTGAAGCGATCAACTCACTTCGGTAAATATTTTTTTCTAGCAATACTTTAGGAAGAAAAGATTGCCGATGTGATGTGTTTTTAATTTTACTTTTACTTTACCAACTTTGTTAGCCTGAAGCGTACTTGCACAAAATTTCTAGTCAAACGGTGGTTGTACATGAGCATAAGATACTACACTATACGGTTCTTTGTCGAAAGACTTACGTAACCGGGTAGATTAGTTTAACTTTAATTAGCTGGTATGCCTCCTTTTTACTCGAAATATAATCAACTATCTATTGAGTGAAGTTATTAGTAAAAATTGGTGGAAGTATTTTTCCCTTTTTTTTTTGAGGTAACGCTAGCAATTAGCACCGCGATCATCTGCTGGATCGTGTTTCTGCGTGTGTATGAACGCGTATAATTATGAACAAATAATGCAGTTACCTTATTCGATGCTACTGTTCACTAAGGACGGTTCACGGAAGGTAACCGGGCCGAAAGCGTCGAAATGGTCTAGATGACTTTTGGGTGAGCATATAATGTCGTGTGTTGATAGAGCTGCTAGTGACATTATTGGGTAGAGAATAAGACCCATATCTCCACAAAGTAAGAGGAAAAACGACGGTAGTGATCAATACGCTGCTAACATTTTCCGCTTAGCAGAAAAGAATTTCGTGTGAGTACCTGCAAGCACAGCTTCTCGAGTCAGTCGAATTGAGTAGCTAGCCCAGTAATGTTCATTGTACAATCGAAATTCTCTTTTTGTGCTTCATGCGTTCAATCAGTGTATATTTTATATGCATGCATATATTTTACGATGGCCCAGCATCGCTGCGAGTTGTTCGACCTCTAGAACGGATAAAAAGCGCGTTAATCTCACGTTAACTTATCTTCGAGAAGCAGTGAAGCCGTTCGAAACAACAGAAATTGTGGATTAAACATAAAAATCGATTGATTGAAAATGTATCAACCGAATCCTTCGAACTTTTGATCAGGCATAACCGTGCGAGATGGTTCTTTCCCCAAATAAAAGATAGGTCGGACCGAAGATGCTCGTTGAGACAGGTTTTAGCGAACTAAGTCTTCTTAAGGCATATAGACGCACTCATTTGAAATTAAACTTGCTTTACTTAATGTGTTGAGTGAGTTCCGTGTCTTCCTAAGTGAAATACCCCGCGAGGAAGATCGTTTTGCTATAGGATTGAAGTTATAAAATTTATGTGAGTTCATATTGGCGATCTGATAGATAACTACGACGTTCTTTTTTAAATATACATATTTGCATATGTTTATTATAATATTTGTTTATACAAAAATGTTTTGCGTAAAAAAAAATTGTTGCTGCTTACATCAAGAAAAAACTGCGTCTTCAGTACGTTATCAGGTTTTGGTATTTATAAAAGGCCTAGGTAAGCACCGATATATTTTATGGATATATTTTGGTTTACGAATACTTCGTCGAACATGCAAATTACTATTGTTCAAAAATGGGTATTGATTGCCTTTCATGATATAGTTTCTAATGCAATACTTATCAGTGATGCTCTTTGTTTTGTTCAGCTCCTCGACTTCTTGACAAATTGAGCAACGATGGAGTTCCGTCATCGCCGAGGCGAAAATGATGAAAAAGCCTCTTCACTGACCAAATTTAGCAATGGCAATTCTACTGAGCCCGACGACCAGAATACGCAGCACCAGCATAAGGAAGAAAGAGACTCAGACGCAATAACGTCGACAACAGAGAAATACCTTCTGACCGACAGCTCACAGCTTTCCTCGGACGCAAAATTGTCGACACTTACAAAATCGTCCACTTTGTCGTCATTTAAAAAATCATCCAAGAGGCGTAGCAATCTATCAAAAGCCGGCTACGGAATCCTATGCAACGCGATTGCCGGTTTACTAATCCTTTACGTAGCTATACCGATCTGGTTCTACTCTTGCCCTTGGTTACGGCAACACATTGTTTTTTTGACGGTACTGACCATTCCGCCATTCCTTAACCTATCGAATCCTGATAGCTTTGAACTTTACTGCCCGCGAAACTTCTACGTGGAATCGGAGCCTGGTCTGAAGCTGGGGGCATGGTACATCCCCTCGATTAATGAGCCGTGTGACAAGAACGCGCCATTGACATTTGCGGGCCACGATCCAGTCGTTCTGTATCTTCATGGAAACGCTGGTTCTCGAGGTGGCACTCATCGTGTTGGTTTGTATAAATTATTAACCAGTCAGGCAAAGGTTCATGTTGTCGCCATCGATTATCGAGGATATGGAGACAGTTCTACGATAAAGATGCCCACCGTTGCCGGGCTTGTTCATGACGCAATGGCGGCGTATCGCAAAATTCGGGAGACGGTGCCAAACAAGCGCATTATTGTGTGGGGCCATTCTCTTGGCACCGGAGTTTCCACCTATTTGATGGCGAACCTCACCGAACTCAAAGATCTACCAGCTGGTCTCGTACTTGAATCACCGTTTGACATGCTGGCCAACGCCGTGAAGCACAATCCGATGGCGCGACTGCATCGGTTTATGCCGTTCTTCGAGAAGGTGTTCGTCGATTCTTTGAATAATCATCCCGCAACGAATTTCAATTCCCTCGAAAAATCCAAACTGATCAGCCCAAAACTGCCTATCGTCATCCTCGAAGCAAAGGACGACCTCGTTATACCTTTCGAGCTATCCGAAACATTGTACCAAAGTTTTCTTGAGGTGCGCCAGGGTAGACCAGATAAGGGACCGATCGATTTTGTGACCTTCGCAAGGGAATATGGATATGGGCATAAATATATCTATACGCATCCCGGTCTGGCTCAGAAAATGCGCATATTCTTTGACGAAGCTACATCATCCACCATTGACCTCAATAGTTAAAGGCGCCAAGCATATTCAAGAAACTCGAATACTATGCTCCCAATCATTGCTCGTTACCTAGATTGGGGCTAGCGTAGGAGTAATGCTCGCCTGTTAGACCCGGAGCGCCTCCGCGCCCTAAGATCTATAGATTGCAGCCCAGTTTTCCCATCATGACAAAAATCGACGAGCACGTTCGAATAACGTTTGCAAAAAGGGGACTAACATAGACGTATAAATACGTTCGACCATATCAGAAGAATTTATTTATTAGTCGTTTTCGGCTCGCCACCTCAGACTTGTTTTTGGTCTGTTCTACGAACGCAGCGTTTATTGTCGATTAGTAATCGAATCACTTAAAACAGGAACAATGAACCAACACACAATTCCATTTCATATCGTAACCATAACGTTACTTTGAAAGCTATAGTCTTCATCTTTAACAGTGAAAAAGTTCTATGAAAGTGACTTTGGCAGGTCGTCAATGCTAACATGTAAGCGCGCTGAGACGACTCTGCGGTGCTCCATTGCGTGACATAACAAACAAATATTTTTAACATAATGTCTATGTACTCTCACGGTATTATGCCAATCCAAACCTGATTTGTACTTTAGTGCCGAATGCGCAGGGGTCGTCAATGCACCAGGATATAGTAAAACAAAGAAATTATTTTTCAGTATACACACACATGCACACAGCCTTTGCTTGAATTTTTCTATATATTGCAGTAATGATTATCCTATATTGTATCCTGTTAGGGATAGAAAGATAAGGATAAAGAGAACAGAGAATCATTAACATTAGGAAAAATGCTTGTCATGTTCATGTTTGGCAGAGTAACTATGGCGGGGTTCAAAATTGATATTCGTAGAGCGCAAAGCTAACATATTATAAGAATGAGTACATACAAAAGCCCGTCCACAAAGGAGTTGTAGCAGCTTTGCCTACCAGTTCGACAAGTCGGGTTCGAACCCTTTGGTAGCTGTGAAATTTTTGTTTCGGGGTCGATCGCTTATAGAGCCCAGGTTTTATTCGAATAGACCCCAAAGCAGATGTCTAGGGAGCCAGAGTTTGCCAGATCATAGATGTCTGGGAAATCTCAGTATGTAAAAGACAGTAGCTTCAAGCCCGATGTAACCTTTTTTACGTAGCCGTTTGGAACGTGCTGAGCGGCGTAAACGAATGGGGTCACCTAAGGGCCGGCTGAGACTCTCCTCTTCATTTTAAATTCCCAGTCTATAAGTAATTTATTCAGCAAGCAGCGAATTTGTTTAAGACTCTCGGTTCTGCTACCCTTGTAGCCTATACTAGATTTTAAATACAGGATAGCTACAGTATTTTATTAATAAACAACTGGATTAAGTGAACGATGTCGTTCGAGAAGTCAACTATTCAAAGTGGTCGTTCACGGCATCGTGTGTACGATGTACAGTTTCGACGAGCACCAAATACAAAGTTCGAGTTGAACAATCCAATTTTCTACGTGCATTCCATTTTTACACTCTTTATAAACTTTTTGTCCTATCTCTCAAAAATGAGACTGGAAGGTGTTCTGCTAAAAAAAACTGTGACGCTTAATAGATCTGTACAAGAAAAAAAAAAGGGATATTTCTACAAAAGCAACAGCAAAATATATTTTCATCATAAACCATTATTTATGCACGACAAAGAATAATGACAACTAAGACACACAGAGATACTAAGACGACATAGGCTTCTTACTATATAAAGCCTATATAATGATTCTATGGATGTCGTAACAAGTGCAGCGATTTATTTTCAGCATGTTTCTAGCCAGATTTCAGTGCTGACTATCGAGTACACGGTCTAACCAGTGAATACGCATAGAAAAATAGCTACATGTTTACACGTTGGATTAACCGTTAGCTCGTTTGTTGTTGGTGTATTAACTGTTATACATCACTATTATAGTGTATTTGAACTCAATTTACGTATGTTACGTCTTATTAACTTAGATATTATTATTATTATTATTCTAAAGGCCTCAAAAGCTGGTTATAAGTGTGCAGCACAGGAAATTCGTAGGCGCACACGACTGTGCACCCTATGCAAACCATCACAACTGAAATAGACGAAAGAGCACCCTATTCAACACACAAAATCTTTCGAATAGGAAAGTAAACAACAACTACGTAAGTGTAAACTTACATCCGAATGGCACTATATAGAAACGAACAATTAGCGTTGCGACGTTAGTTCATTTCAAGGCGTGCAGAGAATGAAAGGTAGATGGATTACATTGGCGGAAGTGAAGAAAACTTGGGGGTCAAGTTTGGAACGACGAGATGAGCTCAATAAGTGTCTGTTCTTAGAGGTTCAAGCAATTAATATTCAGGTGAAGGATATCGGTGTTTCTGGAAAAGGATAGGTGCAAGTGTAGCGGCACCCCACACAAGTGCTACTACTTAAATTGAATGTGTTTTGTTAATAAAAGAAAGCCACCTGACAAGCTCTAAACATGCTTGATTGGGCTTGACAGAGCGTCGTGTGTTTATTGAGTTAGTTATTGTACCTATGTCTTTCAACTTTATTTTCAAAATTTCTACGTTGATGATAGTAAGCAGTGGGTACCTGGAAAACCGTGTGGCAAAACGTAAGGCAAGCGTAGGTCTGAACTCTGTATAATAAAACGTAGCATGAAGGAGCTTACCCTCAAATGGTCGAAAGGTTTTTAGGCCTTTTAACTGATCGTTTATATTGAAATGCTTGTTGGGCAGATGTTGTTAGTACAGCTATTGAGAGAGATTTTATTTAATTTAAAATTCGGACTGTTTTTTTAGCCTAATTGGATTCTAATGAATAAAACGTAATGAGGTCAGCAAACACTGGCTATTTTGCTTCTGCACCCTCAAAACCGCCCAAAGAACATGTACACTCCTTTTTTTCTTTAACAATGACACGCTTTCTCTTTTATAAATCAAATTAATTCGGCTATGGGAAGCACGTCTTATACCTAACAAACGCGACTCTCAGTGTAGCCTTAATGGCTGTGCCTGTCGATACATTACTCTAATGCCAACTAAAAGTTTGCTTGCTTTTTTTTGTTGTGTCGCTCCACTCCCGTTAATTGAAGTATGGCCCGCTCAGATCAACGCCAGACGAGTCGGAGATCAGCGCTAGTGTTTGACGAGCGCATGCCGCAGCACGCAAGTCCATTCGAAGACCGACACCCCGAGTGTCCCGAACGATTCACTGTGAGTCTTGAAAGGATTCGTCATTACAAACTTGAACAACGATGCGTCATCCTTCCAGTGAGTACCATTCGATTAGCAGCGCGACAACTAATAGCTTTTATGTGTGATATTGCTTTTGAATTCGAGTATTTAGTTCGTTTTTAAATTCGTTTTAACAAATATACATTGTGCCCTCTCACTCACCTAAAAAAGCAAAATGCTATAAGCATCTTATTGGTGAAATAATTAGCATGTTTCAATTCGCGTTATCTAATTTAACAACAAACTGATCATCTAAAGAGCATATTCTAATTTGTAAGTCTTGGTTACACAAGCCAATTTCGTCAGGTAGGCCCGAACATGCCATATATTTTATTACCTCCTATAAATTATGTGTGACAAAATTGAACGTGTTCTATAGTCGCGAGCGGCGACAGAAGCGGAGCTCGAGCTAATACATTCGAGAAAGCACATCGATTTAGCGAAGAGTTTGGATGAATGTACCGATACAACTCATCTTGAAGAACTTTTATCGCACTACGACTCCGTTTTCATGAATAAGCATTCATACAAACTGGCGCTACTCTCGGCTGGATGCACAATCGATCTCATGAAAGCCGTACGTAACACCTATCCTGATAAATAAACCTGATAAATAAAATGAAAAACTGCAGTCAGACTTGTTAAGCCAAGAAAACTTTCGTTATTCTTGATTTGGTTTTTTAATTAATTTAATTCTAGATGTTTCAATCGCAGTTGAGTTGCATCCCTTGTTGTTTTAGTGCCGGTGGTCTTTAGCTACTTGATTAAGGTATTAAGGCTAAGTTTTTTAACTCCCGTTTTTTACCATCGCCCTGATGCTGGGATGATAGTTAGAAAAAGAAAGTAGAGATACAACATGGCCGTTTTCGATGGGCATTTCATGCTAATTTGATCTTTTACGTTGATATATTCATAGGTTCTCGGCGGGAGTGAAGTGAGGACTGGAATGGCCGTAATTCGGCCGCCGGGACATCACGCGATGGCGGAAGAGTTTTGTGGGTCAGTTGCAGCAGAAGCATCATAAAAACGACTCTGATGGCTAAAGAGTGATAGAGGATATGAAGTAGTCCCATTCATGCTCTGCACTCTATGCTACAAAGGGTTCTAATTAAATCTATTCTCGAACAATGGGATGAAATGTGCTACAGTCTGGCCCATCGATTCTCTTTGTTTCTACTTAGCCCTAGCATAATGCACGCTACCTTCTGTGTACCACACGTAGATATACATGTATACGGAGATTTATCATTTATATGTAGGAAAATAAGAACTCGTGTTTCTTCATTTGTAGCTATTGCATTTTCAACAATGTCGCGATTGCAGCGAAGTACGCCGTGGAAAAGATGGGTCTAGAAAGGTAAGTCACATATATGTGGTCAGCTCTCAGACACAGCTCCGATAATCTAAAAAAAAAGAAACGTTACAAGTCACCTGGATCAAATCTACGGGTAGTAACGCCAATATCTATAAGCAAATATAGGATAGCTAGATGACTGACTACCTTTCCGTGTATAAAAATGCGTAGTTTTGGCTTACAGGTGGTACGGTATAATGTGTAAACGATGAAACGTCAAAATCGATTGTTATCGCTTAACCGTATTAGGCTTACCTTCAAAGCTCTACTCGAAGCTCGAAAGCGGATAGTTTGTGTTATTAAGCGGCTGTCAAACATCGACTTAGTTAACCCTCTATGTAGTTATATATTAAATAATTATAGATTTGTTACTTTATGTTCACTTTTTCGCTTTTGAATATTTAATTCCTATTTCCGTCTGAACTTGAGGGTCCTTATCGTCGATTGGGACGTACACCATGGTCAGGGGACTCAATTCTCATTCTACGACGATCCAAGGGTGTTGTACTTTTCGATTCATCGCTACGAACATGGATCATTCTGGCCGGAACTGCGCGAGTCGAATTGGGACTGCATCGGCAAAGGGCCTGGCACGGGCTACAATATTAATGTGCCTCTGAACAAAGTAGGAATGGAAAACTGGGATTATGCGGCGATTTTCCACCAGGTACGAGGCAGGAAACACATTCAGATCGATGGCTGGTCCAAGGGACACCATGAGAAAGAACCAAAAAGCTTATTTTCCATCAAATAAACTATAACGATTTTTTATATTGAGGCTTATATAAAATAAGTAAATACATATACAGATTGAATTGGAAAACTGTTCGAAGTAGTCGGAAATATCAGTTTCTTTCGATTTGCTTGCAGATTTTACTGCCTGTCGCCTCGGAATTCCGGCCCGAGCTTATTCTCGGTAACGCCTTTGCTGTTGTACTCGTACAGATTCTGCACATGTCTCTCAAACATTTACCTATGTGATTAGAGTTTTACTGATTTAACCTGTAATAACACTGTACGTTTTAATACGTTCGTTATTACTGGATATATGACGGCTTTAAGGAGTGCAAACATAACTTAAATGCGTCCTGAAAAAAACATACGGGCAAAATTTGAGTGGTCAGTAGCTTTAACTTGACAAGTCTAAGCTTAATGCTGGTAGTTGTCATTGTCGAACATTTCAGCTTGGTTTTATTATTCTAATATGTAAAGAGACCGAAAGTCAGACTGAATGTTAGTCTGATTTGTAAATTTATGCCTTTATATAAACTCATGTGAACTGACTCTTCCAAAGGATATAAGATCGATGTTATGCAATAATCGCTAAAAAGGCTAAATGACGGTCGTATGCGTATCTATTTTTATCTCAGTTTCCAGTGGCTTTGATGCATCGCTAGGCGACCCCGAGGGCGAGATGCGGGTGACGCCCGCAATGTACGCGCACATGACTCACATGTTGAAGCAGTTAGGCGTCCCTTTGGCAATCGTCCTTGAGGGCGGTTACTGTTTGCCCGCACTGGCCGAGAGTGTTGCACAGGTGCTGAAAACGCTTCTCGGCGACCCATGTCCACCGCTGATTAACAACAGAGAAGACAAAGCACGGGAGCCAAATGATACGTAAGCCATGCTTATTATGCTGTTCGCATTCTAATACTAATGTAACGTCAAGACGAATAATAGCCAGCCAAGGCTTGCCAATATTTTTCCGAGCAAAGTCTGTAATGTCTGTAATATGTAAGTCATAAGATGACGAAAAATGTAGTCTAGAATTGTCGCTTAAACAACTGCAAATTAGAAGAGTCTGTTAAAAAAATAAAATTATCTATACCAACAACTACCCGTGTGTAAAACCCTGACCTTTTGACACAGTGTGTAGGCACACATTATAGGGTTTCTAATTTTCCGCGATGTTTCCGTTGCCTATTCTTAGTCATACTGTCAATTTATAAAATGATTTTCAGGATAAAGGCCACCATTGGTCATGTTAAGTCTGCTCTGAAACCATATTGGCGGTGCTTCATCTCGGAGACATCAGACAAGATTCCCTTGCCAATCATCACCTATCGGGGCATTCTAGGTATCTGCAAACCGGAGAAATATCCGACGAAGGTATGAAAAAGAGAGTAAATACAACACGTATGTATGTGTTATAATAATAGAGATTATATTTGTTCCGATTAGATGTATATAGCCTTAAATGATATAGTGGTTTAATATTACTTTGGGAATATTTCGTTTCAAACAGTGTCGATTTAGATATGTAAAAATTAGAAATAATATATATGATAATTACTTTCTTTCTGGGAACAACGTAACCGGCGTTCTAATTAGTTGCTGTGTTACACCAAGTTGTGATACCTAAGACGGTAACTACATTTAACTGATGTTTTGCTAACCATATTGGTCAGAACTACCACATGCGTCTATCAGAAGAAGTGGAAAAGGCCACTCTTCAGGAGCAGGCTGTTCTTCGAGCACGAACCCCCCTCACAACCGCGTCGTCGCAAGATGCTGTTAAAATACTCGGTTTGTAGAATCACAATAGATTCGTTTTTCTTCTGTTTTAGTATAAGACCGAGTTCTTATAAGTGTTTTAATTAGGCACCGGTCAATTTGCTTGATATTGGTATCAGCTTCACTTACTTGCATACCGATTTGTCTCTTGTTCCTTTCAGATACCCTGGACGGAATTGAAGATCTAGCATCGCTGAAAGCTTATAGTTACCTATTAGTGAATCACATAACACTCGCTAGTGTCCAATCTTTCCTCGGAACAGCTCATCAGCTAATAATAGATTTTGAATCAGAGCCATCCGTTTCTGTCAGCCACGAGACGAATCGCGTTTCAGTCTTTCCAAAACTTTTCGAACTAAATGGCCGGGCTGATTGCTTTGTCTTAATGTATTCGCTAATTCTTCCGCTTTTCTACAAGGTTGGCGAGTTAGAGGTTTTCATCATTCTCAAAAGCATAGTAGAACCAAGAAAGAATAGATGAATGGTCCGATAATTATGGAACAATATATTACAATGTAGTCCTAGTATAGGTCAAGACAGTCAACTACCGAAAAGATTTCAATGTTTGTTTCTGTCTCAGCGATTAACTGCATTACTTAGGGGAAGGCTATCGGCGTTATCCGTTTGGTGCTTACTAACTGCCCCACAAATATTCGTCTGCAGATGTACCCCGAGTGGGTTATTATAAGGGTCGGTGGTTCTCCCCTGAGAGATTTGTTGTCGCTATGCTGTGCCCATCTCTCATGCGAAGGCGCCCTCTGGATTATCGATGGAGATTCATGGGAGCCTTTACCTATTGTGTTGCCAAGCGATTTTGATTCGGTAGATGCTACAGCTGCTCGACGACGTATTCAGGAAGCAGCCAAAGCTGTAGGTTTTGGGCTCGACAGTTTCATTAAAGGTAAACGCATATGTTTATTGCTCTTAAAAATGAGTACATACCATTGTTATTTATAATAACAATAAGCAGAGGTTGTATTCTACGCACAACATTTGTGTACTTTATTTTTCTGTTTCAGACGTGCTGCCAATTTTTGAAAAGCTACCGTTGGATCATAACCGGTCATTGGAGTCTAATTAACAGCTACTCTAATAATTACATACGTAATCCGAAGTTTTATATTGAAAAGTTTGTTCGCTAAGCGTGTCTTGCCGAATGGAGCTAATATATCTAACATGTCAACCTGCAATAGTTGTCGAAAATAAACATCGTTTCGAAGTGTGATTCATCGTTGATTTCTGCGCTGCTGTCCATGATGTTAGGTGCCTTGAGAAAATTTAGAATCATCTAGTGAATATGTAAGCTAGATAATTTCATACTCGACCTCCTGATTTAAGACATACATATATTTGTAAAATGCGAATTTATTGAACAATGCAGGTTACTCGAGCGTAAATTGCCATAGAAACTAACCACTAATCACGTTAGCTCAACGTCATTAGAAACAACGCGGCGATCTGATATATTAGCGGGTAATCTAACACTAGACGACCGCGTCGCGCCGAGATTGATAAAATCCGAAAAAATGTATATGTTGATAACATAAATATGAATAGACCAACAAACATTTTTGTTGGTTTTCGAAAAATGTTTTTTTTTAATATAGACACAGTATGAACCTTGAAACAAACGTGTCAGAGAGGTGTATGTAACTAGCCGCTAAGAGCAGGAAATAATGGGTTGATCTTCCAGGATAGCAGGACGCTTTCTTAAAGCATCTTAAACAGAAAGGGCCTTTACTGTTCAACATGGCTGTATTGGACATACTGATGGCTAAACGATCACATTAGGTGACATTAGCTTGTTAACATAATATATTACCTATTTGTTTATTCATAACAAAACGGAATAAACCGAATGCCCCGCAGATTAATAAAACTAGTACAAACAAACATGCTGCCAAAGTGAGCTAATCTGAACCGAAGACTCTTCCTCGAGTAGAAATTGGAGCACATATCTATTATCATGCTAAAGATACGATGCTTTTTAGGCATAATTACATCGCTACTCTGCTTGTATGTTTATATATGCTTCTCTTATCTAAGAATATATGCTAGAAATCACACCGAAATTCCTAAAAATCCTGTTTTCTAACGTTTCCATCATATTAAAAATATCTAAAAAATATAGCATACGTTTTTCTTCCCTGCAGAGTCATCCCATAGATGACTTCTTGTACTTGAATCATATTCGGTACAGACGCGTTATCTTACTTAGCGCATTTAGACACCGGTGTAAATTAACATATCTACATGAGCGCTTCTGCGCGCGACTTAACAATTCATATTGCACGCGCGTCCATTATTGAAAGTCGTACGAACTGGCGAACGATACCTGTTAAATTGGGCGATTCTTGCAGTTGCGTATGCCCGTAACACCGTTCACCTTTCAACGCCTTGAACATGACGTTATACATGGTTGATGAAACTTCTCCCTCAGTGTCATCATAATCTGCATCGCTATTTCTCTTCTCCGCTGTTGTTGACAAATTAGAAATTCTATTGCCATTCCTACGGTCAATATGAGTGGTATTGAACATCACCTCAAGACGGTACCGAAGCAGGGTTTTATACAACGAAATCCCCAGTGCGAATGGTACGACCCCGTCGCATTTAGCATGAAGGATTAGTATCGGCAAACTAGTGTCAATGTGTGTGACAGCTTCCGATGAATCCAGGTGGGTAGCAGGATCTCTGCGTAGTGAATCAAGATAAACCTGTTCGAAGCAAGGCAAAATCCGCAGAGGATAGGTTAGCACATGGGATCGTAAGGTATTAGCAATATGATCAAAAGGAGCTTCTAAAACAAGGCCAGCTGGAACATCGCCGATGCGAGTCAGTTCGGCTAAATGTCGATTTGCCACACCGGTGCCCATAGAGTAACCCCAGACAACAATTCGTTTGGCTTTAACCTTGGTTCGTATGTTTCGGTAGACGGCAAGTGCATCCTGAACAAACCCCGTCGATGTTGGCACACCTGAACTATCGGCGTAACCACGATAATCAAAAGTCACTACACTCAGGTTCATGTCAGTTAGCACCTGATAAAGATTAATGCTATGGTGGCTCGCACGGTTATCTTTGTTTCCATGTAAATACAGGAAAATCACAGGTTCGCCACCTGGAAGAAGTTGCGGCTGAGCTACGGTATTATTCCCTGCTAGATACCAAACTCCGAGATCGATTCCCCGTTCTGATAAAACAGAATAACTGTATCCGTTAGCAAAACCGTACGCGCTTGGTTGCTCCGGTACAGATCCCCAAAAGTTCCAATAAATGCTCTTCCGTCTAATCCAAGGACAAGTGTAGAACCAGCCAGGTATGACTATTAAATCCATTATAAACAATAAGACTATTAAATAGAGAAGAGTTTGCCACCGTTTACGCAGGCTACAACAGCGTCGCAATTTCTTATGGCTTCGTGCTGTATCCAGGGGTTTTGTTGAGTTCAAGCTCATCTGGCTGCTAATGGACGCCTGATAGCTCTCCGAATATTCACGGCTAGCGTCCTTTTCAAAATGTTCAACCTGATTTCCAGCCAAGTCATCTCCTGGCATCGACACATGGCGACACTCATTCTCTACAATGGACTTCTTGAGCGAAAAGGGTTCCTTTAGGGGTGCAGACATTTCCATTTGGCTTTTAGGAAAAGTTTTTCCTGTTTACATGAACTTAAATTTCGCCTGAACGGGTCAAGCGCAATAACGGAAAAACGGTTGGCCACATTTACTCTGCTCACTTCGCGTGGTTTTGTGTCAGGTGCCACACCCAGGTAGCAAATGCATCCTAGCCAATTGACCCAATAGTTGCTGCTGCCATTGCTGATGCCTATGACCCGTAGATTAAATACGGGCTTGCTCTCTGTGACAACTGACGACAACCCACAGCACATCCCTAATAGTTGTCCTAAATCGTTTGCAGATTTATTAGGGAATAAACCTTTGGTAGGAGCACTATCGACCCAAGCGGATTGACTGAATTATATTTAGAGATAATTTGAGATTTGCACAGACATCCAGTCAAGAATCGGAGTCAAATATTGGTGCAGATAACCACGGCACAGCTGGCCTTGTTGTCGTTAACGCATCGGTTGTGCGGCTAGCTGTTGGCTGAAAAGGACTGAGATAATCAGATCTCACGAAATTTTAGCTTGTTACCGATAAAATAGCATGCTATCTGTATGGTTTGAAAATAAACGAAGGACGTCTGGTCAAGTGAACAAGTTTTGTCAGGTGCACATTTTAACACAGTTCGGAAGAAAATTAACAGTTAATTAATTTAACTAGCTGCCACTAGCCCTTTTGGCTATCTGTGAAAAGAAATACAAAAAAAAAATGTAGTATAATCCAAGTATAGTCGAAGCAATGCTAACATGATTTCAACGCTGAGGAACAGCTTTTACTGCACCTTATGCATATGCAGAATGCTAAATGAAACTGTCAAATATGCGTATTGTCTTATGCAGACGCATAATACAATGTGCATATTATTACACAGTTAGTGTGATTAAAGAAAAACCAAACATTGTTTGGATTTATAATTCACGCTCACTCATTGCTATATTTATGGTATTTGACTGGCGTATCCTACCACCGATGCTTAGGAACTGGCATAGCTTTCAAGTGAAAATTTCTTTTATGTATGGAAACCGCATCACAACTAATCAAAATTTAAAACCTCTGGTTTATTCATTCAGATTCCTTCAGAATTGCATATTATTGCTCGAGATTATAAGGAAAGCATTTCATAATTGAAATATCTCCCTATTCAAAATATACGAATGTTCTATCTTTTGACATTTTTTTTCAATTCAATCTATGCGTTATGTTGGTTAGGAGCACATTGGGCCTTAGTTACTGCCCTATCATTTGTCACCATTTCAGTATGGACCTCAGCAGACCACAAAAAGCAGTAGAAACGAGGAGCCTTTTACGGACAAAAGGAGTGTTTTCATTTTTGTCAGAAGCACTCGTTTCATAAAACAGAGCTGCAGGACAGCGCGCAGTTTGATGCCTTCATATATTAACAATGACAATAAGCGCATTTACTAACGAATCAGGCAGGCTACGGACAATCGGCGTCCAGAGGCTGATTTAAATTTACTATATACAAAAATACAGTGTCAGCATTGTTTGACCGTTTCATTTATGCTAATTCGTTTAGTATAAGTGATTACATGGAAATGACCCGTTCTAAAAATATGGACAGACAAATGTGCCTATCCGTTAGCAGCGCTCAACCGCCAGCCTTTAATGCAATAAACGCAATAACCGCCAATAAGTTGCAAACGACAGACGATAATCTTAACCTGTTAAAGGCATCGAAGGTACCTGTGGGGTTGAGATGTAAATGAAGACGCGTGATTTCTTAGCGATAATATAATTGTGTTGTCAGAAATGCGGAAAAACGTAGTGAAACGTTCAAAGCTTTCCGTTACACGATCGATGGCGCTGAGTGAATGTGAGGACGCTTTGTCTATCGCTTGCTAAATATCTTTGTACAATTTATTTACATTCCTCGTTATTAATTTTTTTTATAGTTGTTCACTTATTGACGATCTATATGCAGCAGGAACGGCTACATATTGAAGTTTTGGCTTTGGAAACATCGTCTATCAAGTCGACTAGCTTGGCTATTTTTCATCTCTACCTCGTCATGCTGCTGCTTACTGCTGAAGTTGTTCTTCCTACTAACTTGAAAAGTAGGAACTCTCTGTTTCGAGTATGTTATAAGCTTATGCATATGAAAGAGAAAACACTAATCATTTTCTATTAAATGTAAAATGTTCTATTTCTTTACACAAATTGTTCCTACATTTCGAATCGTCACCTTTAATAAATCAGCATATAATTTTCTTTCTCTTATTTGTTCATGGACTGTCAACAACACGCGAACTCGTTCTACTCCACCGAAGATGTCTGTACATTGCCGTTCCTTGCCTCATAGTCAACTTCATTACTAGCTTCGCACCACTTTCTAGATCAGCTGATCAAATCAGTATCTATAACGGCCAACCTGCAAATAAACGCGTACGAAAGACATGATCCCTTCTGAACAAAGCACCAAATCAACTGTCTCCTCCCTCTGAGTTGTCCAACTTTTCGTTCAATTGGCTGGTCTCTTTTAATCCGATGCTGAAGAAATTCTAGCTCTAAGCCTTTTCTGGCGTTAATTTCAGGCCTCTTATTTGACCCATTTGGTCACACCTGGTCCCCTTAGTTGAAAGAGCAACAATGAGGAAAATATGCGGGTTTAGAAACGATCGCGCTTCCACGACAACTTCAAATTTATCGAACATTGCACGAACTGATCATTGACAAATAATCAGTTGCCCTTTTCTGCTAACACTGAACGTACACTAATTGGAACATTCAGATGAAAATAACTCCATAGGAGAATCACGCTCCTCCTTTCGAAACTGTCGTCTAGGGCGCTTTACGATGATATTGTCCGACTTCGTAGGTTTCTGCTGAATCTTCACTTCACAAGTTCATTACTTGGATTTTTTTTTGTTTCTATCCAAAAATCGATAGGTATCCTTCCTAAACGCGTATTCTAAACCCGACGCAAACGTAGTCGCCGCCGTCAGCCACCACAAAGCATAGAAAGCTGGATGATCCGTGTACTGGAATACTGCTGCACCCAATGTCGTGGCACACAGGCCCAGCTGAATGGTCGTGTTCGCTTTGCTGAGGAACGTTGGTTTGAATTTAATTGATGCTATTGACGGATCGAAATACCTAAGCAGGGTTTTCGGCCTGGGTAGTGACTTGAAGCGTAAGTAAAACGAGGCCGCCATCAGAGTGACATCACGGAAGATCGCGAGCATGGTTAACTGTATGGGAATCAAACCCGCGTAGGTGAGTGTGAGAAACAGTGTTCCAACGAGAACCTTATCGGCCAGTGGATCCAAAACCGTACCTGCCATACTTTGTTGGCTCGGCCATCGTCGAGCGATCTGCCCATCAAGAAGATCTGTTACAGCTGCGTATGTGAACAGGTTCAATGCCAATGAATAGCTGCCGGTGCAAACCCAAAAGCCGAGAAGTGGTGTACTGACAATTCTTGACACAGATAGAAGATTGGGTATCGTTATAATATTTTCCTTATAGACCTTAATTCGTTGTTTAGCTATAGTTTTCGCCAGACGCACCCGGGCCGTTACCTGGGCTCGCCGTCGATCCAAGCTGGCTTTGTTCTCTTGAAATGCTTTTCGTTTGGCTGCGAGTGCCTCCCGCGTGATCGTCGATGTCGCTGCTGTTGTGGTCGTCGTTGACTGAACACTTTGGCTGTACTTTCGTACCTGCTAATTGACATAATGTTATTAGAGTATAGCTTAAATTTATGTTGAAATGGATAGATTTAAATGCCTAAATAAAACAAAGCCTGTTTTCTTTCAACTGATTGTGTTCACCAGTCCTGTTTGTCCATTTTATGGCTTTCAAGACAAACTGCTCGGTTTTTTTTTATTAAATTGAAACAAAACCTGTTTGCTAGAGCTAGTTAGTGGCCTACTAAGTCACACTCTAGATTACAAGAGCTCCCACACAAATGTTGGCTATCTCAATATACTGTTCAACAATTTGCGAAAAAAAAAACTATAGTTTCCTACCCATTGGTTGCCTGGAAATGGCAGACTGTCCCTAATGATTGAGGTATATGGACAGAAATTTGGTAGCGTTCCATAATGGAGTAACGGCAGGAAGGCTTTTGCTCTTAACAGACTGGTGTGGTTATGACCGGGTGTTCCGAATATAGCCACATAGCGAGCGACGAGCATCGCGGCGATCCTGTATGAGGTTGTACAGCGGTATTAGCTCCTTAAGCGAGGGCGGGCACTTAACGAACACATCCAACGGTGCTTCGCCTTTAAGTAATACAAGCAGGCAGTGTACTATGCCATAGTCCTCGATGCGCTCACAGATGACCACGTCTTCGATTAAATCGCCCGGCAGAAACGTCGATGAGATAGTTATGAAGCCGAGAAATGTCCGCGAGACATGCACCCCCAGTGAGTCGACATACAGAAACGTCTCGTCGAAGAATGCGGTGGAGCTACGAGCTTCAAGGCCGGCGGAACCTAGACGACGAATTTCCATGAAGCTATAGACAAAAAGCATAAGGGAAGGAGACACATCAGAGTACAGAAAAGACGGCAATTATAAACGATACGCGGTGCATTAAATCTTCGGTTCGTTCGAAAAATCGTATGAGACTGTAAGAGCTTTGCGAAAAAGTAAAAAAATGCTCCAAGGTTATGCAAATTTTGTATATATTGACTCCTGCCCACTATCGCGCATGTAAAAGTTAAATCAATACTTTCTACCGAAATACACACGATATAATTCAATAAGCAATATTAACAAACGATACTTTTTCTGTTTTATTAACCTTTGTTTTTGCACAAGTCTTTAACAATAATGTTTGTGAAACCAATCTGTCGCTTGCAGCAAAACCATGTAATCAGTTTTAACTGCGAGGTTATAGTAATCGTAGTATATTTAGAAAAATTGTATAGTAAAGTCATACATACCTGAAAGTTCAGCTAGTAGAATACAAAATATTAATCTGCCGCGGATTGCAAGGTGTAAATTTATGTAGTACATCGTAATAAATCTCATTGAATAACTAATAATTCGTCATAATGGCGTTGGACATAATGCAGTCATCTTTGAAGCGACAGAAAAATATTCCATAGAAGCTAACGGAGTATTCAATAGAAAACTAAGAATAACTTTCAGTAACACACAAAACGCTTCGATAATGAATATTAAGTATGGTACAACATGATACGAGTAATAGCCTCATTGAGTTGCTTATATTTCACAGCATTGTTTATTATGCTCGTACATATTCAAGCTACCGATACTCTAAAAATGCTTTTCCCGTACCTGATATAGCTGGATTTCATACTTTTTATACGGTTTTCTATATGAGTTCGATTTATAATCTAATCTCATTAAACAGCGATAAATACTGATCATCATGAATACAAAACTTACAACTTTTAACAAGTGCTACTATTATTTGGCGTCCGCAACAAGCACTCTGGCTTCATGAAGATAGTTCGTGCGCCTTTGAATGTATATAGACAAGGCAAATTGTTTCTCAATATTTCGGCATTTTGCGTCCGATTCGCTCGACTAATAGAATGTAAAGGAGTTTACGGGCTATCTACAGCCTGCTATCGAATTGAACTGATAACACGCAATCGATGAAATCAAATCTACTTCAGCTGTAATCCTGCGTATAGCTGCTACTAATTAACCCAGTTGTTGCCCCTGGAGACAACTGACCTCTGAACATAAATTAGCCTTGACAGTGCACCGTAGGTATCAGATGTCCAAAGATGAAACAAGCTACAGGTCAACAACCATCCTTAAAAAGAAGAAAATAGTTCTCAAAAAACAAATTCAGGTGCCGTTTACCCCCTACACTTTACTCTATTTGATAATACGGTTCGATAAAAGCAAAATAGGGGCGGGCAGACTACACCCTTGACAGTGATTCTTTGCTAGAATTTATTCTGCTAGTACTGTATTACTCACTGTCGTGGTACCGTCGTGAATAGCTCCAGACAGCTCACATGCACGCAGCGGTTCTGGGGAACTATCAATAATAAACATACTGCACTAATCAACGGAATGCACAGTTCAACGCCAGACAAGCCGGGCTGCTCACGTGGGAGACCGCGAAATTGGAGAGACAGGTGAGTCGCGCGCAGTGTATGAGGGTGATCGGAGGAGAAGATTTCCGGTAAAGGGTTCGGCCGTCTGTATGACAAACAGATTTGAATAAAATCGTGCAGTTTTGCGGCTAGGGGGAAATCCTGATTTCACAGGTCTGTGAGTTTCACACTAGACACGTTGGTCATTGGTGATACATGTGATTCATTCCAGAACTCCTTTTCTAAAGCAAAGAGAACTTAGAAGCAACCGGGAGCTTCTGTATATCCACTGTAAGTCCCCTCACAGTTTTGAAGTGTGTTTCTCAGGGTTAATGGAGCAGACTTGGGTGTAGCGAGTTATGTATTAATTCAGTTCACAGCCTGATTAAGAAGAAGTGTATGTCAAGATTTTGCTAAAGGTTCTTTTTTCTTTCTGACTACACTGATCTGCTGAAAATGTTGGATTCAACTTCAGCTGATTCTCCATGTCTACGGTTTCTCCTCGGTGAACAACTTATTGACCGATGCATGGAGTTTAAACATTTAATTGAACGTTCCCCGTTTCTTGTTCACTATAACAAAAACATCCGTGCGGCAAATATCGATAGCGCAATAACAAATGTGACAGTATACCATGTGCGAAGATTCATTTTTATGTCGGTGCTACTAGTTCAGCTCTTCTCTATTTTACCGGACACAGGTAGCCTTCTGTCGTAATACCTCAGACAAATTTACTCATTTAGACACTGGATTGAGTAAAGAGTCACGAGTAAGAAAGTCTACAGATTAACCGACGGAATCGGCGATTCCAAGAAAAACATTCCTATAAGTCGGAATGCTTAAACCCGGCAGCGCCCGGGGCATGCTCCTGATGACTGGCGGTCAGCTGTGCTATCGACTGAACTAAAAACCCTTCGATTTTAACCATATTTAGGCAAAACGAAAAGTTGATAAAAACAAACCGTAGCAGTTAGATCGACCCAGAATCACTAAGTTGCACCGTCTTCATATACTCTGCAGTTTTCGCGGTAAGGACATCTTGTCGAAGCTAAGATACAAAGATTGCGTTCAAACAAAGAGAGCGTAGTATTTATTGTTCTATTTTTTACTTGCGGGTAAGTAGTCTTTTATAATACCGTGTAGCGAATACGGAATCATTGCTGAACGCAACTGTATTGGCTAGGAGGGAAACATAATCAATCATGATGAATAGGCGTCGTCCTATTTTTTCGGTGTAAAGTATGACCCGCTGCCGAGTGGTCTGTCAGGATGTGTTTTGGTTTATAATAACACATGGATAGGTTGTTACGGCTAAACGGTGTCTTTACTCAGTGAACCAACCATCTGTCTAAAATTTCATCGTGAGGATAACTATCACTTTAGATTTAGTGTGCTCAACGAAGAAATGTGTTTTTTCGCACGTGCCCTAAACATGTTGGGACCTGTTTGGAAATTCGCTGCCATTGCGCTATCTAGTAGCTTAAGTAAAATGTTCCTCTTGATTTTTTAATAAGCGGGCCTCTTTATATCCCAGATGACTCAAACGACCTCTGTAATTAATAAGGCTAAGGAAAGCATAATATTTATTGAACTTCGCGTTTAACTATGTCGATTGTCATAATAATTGTATGCTGGTGTACCTGCACTTCTGTTCGAGCTATCTGCTTAGTTGCAATCATTAAAGAGAACTAAGTCATTTAATACTAGAATCAAATGGTAAATTATCGTGACATTTCAGTGAATTACTAATCGCTAAAATAGAAAAAAGCGTATCTTTTTTTTGGATAATTTCCGTAATAATTACGGATTAATTAATAATTAACGTTCGTACACGACATAATCAATAATTTTCTTATTATTTGCTATTGCGTATGTTAACAGAACAAATGCACTTCTGTTAGCTATATGCAATCAAGTCTCTTAGAATGAAATGTGTTATAAATCTCAAGTGCGACGTTGCCGCACAGCGTTGCGTTAGTTTCAAAGGGGTCAACTAAAGATACTCTGAACAAAAAAAGTAGCTGTTATTCAAAAAAGTTCCGGTAGTACCAATGCGATAAGAAGGCTGATGAGTCCTGTTTTCGATGTGACCCGTTAACTTGTTGAATTGATTTGTTTAACGCTGACTTTTTCGTTGCAGTTCAAAACATCAGTTAGGCATTTTTTTCGAGTACTATTTTCAATAAGCAAAAAAAAAAATTTTAATTATTTACAAACTAAATGCAACGAAAAATAATAACAAAAAAAAATACTGTAATAATTCTCCGTAGCTAAACCTACTTTTTTTTCTTCGGAAACATTTTTTTTACCAAATATACATTTAACTTAACCTAACTGGACACTTTAATCGTAGGCATATTCAGACAAGCGGGTTATGATTATTAGTTTTCTTTTCGTGTGCCCTTAGTGATCTATAGTGCAGTCATTTAGGTTACTTAGCGAAACAGATAAGGCTTGTCTTAAGTGGATTCGCAGACCAGAATTTCTGAATATATGTAAACACCCAACAATAAAAGTTCGGTTACTTAAAAGTACTTTGTCACAGGTTGAATAGTTTCGGAAACGGATTTATCACGCTACGCTCAGTCTTCGCAGTCTTGTGTGCACCCCTGTCAAGAATGAACGCTCTACAACCATTTCAGTGTTTTCGCCAAGAACTCGTAATCTCTAGCAACTTCTATCACACAGTGATGAGTGCCTAAAGAAAATTATAAAGTAGATGACCCCCTATCGAAGACACTCAACCGAAACAGAAACAGCTGCCGGCTCTAGAGCGACATTCTAACACAAAATAAGATTCAGCCTAGCTTTGTTCTACGAGGCAGTGATCTATGTCATACCTTTCTATCCGGTCATTTATCACAGAACAAGGGCGAGGTTCTTTGTTGGCGTCACTATACCTTACGCAATCCAGCTGCAACCGTCTCGCCTTCGTGCAGTTACCCTTCGGCAATATCGTTTTGTTCTGAGGGATCATTCACCGTCTACGTTGTGCCGTTTTAGGTTCGAATAAACGTCTTCTCCCGTGTATTAAAGGTATACAATAAAAGGAAGAGTAGCTAGGCAATCTCTGTGACTGACTCCGTGATCCCTATCTGTCCCACGTAAAACGTGTTTAAAACATGTTCACGCATATTCCATTGACGTTGCAGGAGCCATCCAGTTATGGCTCCCGAGGGTACACTCCAGCAAAAACGCTACGGTACTAAATAGGTCTAGGTAAACTAGTTGATAGTAACTGACGCAACGCGCTCCATTTTCTTTACGGTGGCAACTAACGTTGAAGATGAGACCTTGTTTTTCAGAGGGCAATAACAATCGCGAAACCTATCCAGCATTCAACGTTGTCAACAGAGAGAAGCCCGTGTTGCGGCTATTTGTTTCGCTGTTACTGCTACGTCTGCTACTACTGCCACCTGGTGGAAACGCTGGCTAAACTCGAAAATGATAGCCGCGTATGGCACTCGAATCATTGACTCTCTACCACTACCATATTGTGACTCGTCAAAATTGGCCTAATAGCGACTTGCCACGTGGGTCACTGCGACGCTCAATTAGACGGGGGTGTGATTAACCTAGAGTGTCCATCGTTTCGTTGACAGTTTTGCCATTAAGTGGATCGACTAAACGAACAGTGGTTTATGTGAATGTCGACTTTAAAGCAAAACGCTTCGATATACGCGAGCCATTGGCGCAAATATTCGCCTCGCTCGTCTAAGGACAGAAGGCACCAACTAAACTGACTCTATTTCTGTCCATTAGCGTGGGTATTTTTTTGAAGGTATCAGTCTGAAGACGACGCTGTGTCTTGTCCTTTATCTATTTTTCTCATAATCTCTGCGGAACGCTAGAGATTCAAGATAGTTTTAGGGGGAAACAACGTAATAGCATTCGATTTGTAATCGCTCACCGGCACAAGCAAATTACGGTGTCATAACTAAACGGTTAACGCTGCGTTTGAAGCATGCATGGTTCAGGTCGGCCTTGCTAGTTAAGATTCGGCGCAACGCAAGCAAGCCTGTACCGACATCGACGAAACATTGCAGTTTACTCCGCGTAAACTGGCATTTAATGTTGCGTTGAAACGTTAAACCGTTGCTGCTTTACGAGAGCTGCGTAACTGTGACAGCTTGGGTACATCATCGACAACCTCAACGGTTTACGGTGATGTCCACAAAGCGATCTATTAATCAGCGTCTGTGACATTTGAACAAGTGATAGAACAGAAATGATAGAACTCCTACGAAGATTCATCGTACCATAGTTATACTTTGGAATCGAATCCACGACGCAAAGAAGCTCGGAGAAATCTTCAATAAGAAATCAGTGATTGGCAGTTGGCTAAAGCTACGAGTGACGCAGAGCTACAACTTAACTGAGTGTGTGTGTGTGTGTTGTAAATCAATCGCTTGTGACTGTCGTCCTTCGAGGATCTACCTTCAAATTTGAATGCAGCGATGTTGGTCAAGGACGGCGAATCTCGTTTGAGGTGGCTGCAACTTATGGTCTTTGTAACTATGTTTGTCGGGTACGCCTGCTACGGCTACAACCGCAAAGGTGTGAGTTTAGCGTTGCCGAAACTTATGGAAGAGGGCTTGAAGAAGGAGCATGCAGGTAAGTCATAATGCATTGAGATGTCAGGAAAAAGCGCCGAACTTGTAAAACTCAAATAATTTTACAAATTCGGCGTCTTAACTTAAAAACTGATTAAAGAAGGTCATATTAATATTGTGAATGCATTTAGTTGTTAGCACTGTCTCAGTCAAACACTGGTGACGACGTAGATAACCCTATTAACAGAAAAGCTATCGTTTATTTATAGAACTCAGTACTGATACCGCTTGTACTCGTATAACCTTATTGAAACATCACTGTACTTCAGACTATAAAAACATGTTCTCCTATTGAGCTATTCATCAGGCCTAAAATAGGCTTATGTTGTATTTTGTTGTATTTCAAAAGTCAGAAGAAACTTACCGCACTTAGCGTACATTAAGCATTGATTATGTTCAATTAATATTGGCCCAAGTTGACAGGATTGAGATTTCCATAAAGTAGCCGCGCTTCTTGGTCGATATTGTATATTCATACATAGTAATATATGCATATAACGATGAAAATTTTCCAACAGTGAAAATACGTTCATTTTATTTTAACTTCTCTAAAACGTCTTTCTCAGTCAGAACGACCATAGAAACCTAGTTTTTCTATTAGATGGTATTCGAGCTTGATATCAGTTTTCTCATAATTCATTATTTAGCACTCCATAAGGAACTCCGTCCTTGTGAAATATTACATCACGTTTATTAGTAGCATTGAGTTAAAGCTAGCAGACTTCTATGATCATATAGATATGCCAAATGGCACATTTTTACTCTGGATTCCATTCCCCGATGTTCGATTTTCCTACGTCGACAGAAACAACTATCATTGGTCTACCGTCACATAGTGTCCTTAAAGATCTATTCAAGCAATTAGTTTCTATTGTGCCTGCGTCCAACTTGGCAGCCGCCGCCTCCTAAATTGTACAATCAAAAGTAGTCATTATGCCAGATACGATCCTGCATGAACGTTTGAATTGTGTTTTCGTTTATCAAATCTCCCCGAAATTGTGTTTAGTTTAGTGAAAGATTGCAACCGCTATTCACCGTCTAATTAACATGCGGTGCACTCATTGCCTTAAACTGTTCGTTCGGCTATCAGCGTCCTGCAAACACTATTATAAAGCCGCATTACCCTGTACGACTCTTAATGGCCCTAACACTGTTGCTGTCGAGCTTTCGTGCAGGACCTGGTTTACTTTAAATACTGCTGAGGTTCTATTAGCGGCTTGACATTACGGTACCATAGTGATCTCAGACTCTTGGACACAGCGTTCGTCAAGAGCGCCAAAGCTCCCCGCTAGTGCTGGACTAGAAGCAGACGCGTTGAAGAAGGGACACCTGCATGTACACTTGATTTATCGTCTTGTATTTAGTGAGCAGATGGTTTGGTGCTGTGAATTGCGAAATTTTGGTTTTGTGGTGCATCATTCCTGCGGACGACAGCGGTGCTCTTCTCGTCAATGTGTTTATAGATATGGGTAGTCATCAGTGGCTAATAGTGATGGTGGCTGGCCATGATCCAGCACACCTGCGATTAACGTCGAGAGAAAGTCCCGTTGAAGCAAAATGTTCCTTGAAGTATCTCTACTAATTTGGCTTATAAAACGCGAAAAATCTACGCATTTAGATCTATGCGATAATGAGTGCGCTTGCTAGTCCCTGTTCATAATGTCAGAGAAGTAGTTGAGTTTGTGTTGCACTGTCAGAAGCCGAATGAAAGGTCTATAAAGTGTTGATGCATTATATAATATGATGAACGAATACGACGTAGGGCTTGTTAGATAACGATTAGTTGTCACTAAGTGATTTAGACGGCACTTATGCAAGTGTACGGGTCCGCTTTGCATGACGGAGTAAAGTCCAGTATTGCTAGATCATAGATTTCCCTGATCCAAAAACTTGATGGGCAAACTCGTACTATGAAGTGAAACTGCAATGCATTGCACCAAGCCGATCATATATATACGTATTCATTCACCGTCTAGCTTTGTAATAGTACCTTACACTTGTTGCCCAGCACAGCTATGTACTGAAACGATGATAGTTTAGAGTCTATGATAGTTCGTCCCGGTTTTTGCAGCTAGGATATTTCTCCGACTGGAGACGACTGAATAGGACCGAGAAGAGATATCAAGAGATCACCAATGATCGATGATTAATGGCCTTTCAAAGTAGAAAAAGCCTGATGAAAAAAATCTTGAAGATGCAAGCGTGTGAAGAGAGGTGCACATGTAATAACGGGAGTGCTGAGTCCAGGGAATCTTCTACTGTTAACATAACTGATGGAGAAATTAATAGTGGAAACGGAGGGATGCTCGTCAGGGTGCCCTTAAAAATATTCTTCTACAATTTTAGTCCTCACAACTTGAAGTTATAAAATGAGGTAGTTATTTGGGAGCGTTTTCTTTTTTCTTAGTAATATGTTGGTTTCGGTAACATTTTGGAAAACACCCTGTACAAAAATATATTTAAACAAACATTTTACAATTGTGCAAAAATTTACCAAATACAACGCCAATATACTGCTATGTAGATATCATGTAGCAACCTACAGCTTATTTTTCCCCTTATTCTCATTAAGTAACGCTAGTATACATATTTTGAAACAATGCTATTCATATGTAAATTTTTATTAACCATGGGATCCCATCATACGTAAGATTCCAAAGAGATCTTTCGGTGAGCAGTTAAACCCATCAGAAGAAACATGGCTTCTTTAGCGTATCATACTTGTGTAAATAACTACATGCTTAATCTTTATTATATACAAAGGTAATAAACAGTGCGGGTCTTTAGCTTGTACATATTATATTTGCCAATGATGGGCAGAAGCAACAACAGGTGCACGGCTCTTATTGAACTAATCTCTCATATAGCTATCTACAAGCGAACGATGATCAGCGCCGCATCTTGATACAAAACCTCACAGACTCGCTTTGCTTACAAATTGTTTTCTGACAGCGATTATGAGTTTCTTGGATAAAGATTCGTTTTCATTGTTTTCCGGGCAGTTAACAAGCGACAAGACCTTTCGCTAGAATTTACTTTTGGTTTTGGCATGGCTAGATTTGGTCTTTCGGCTACGATTTTTCTAGTTTTTGTATACTATTGTGGAGTAGAGACATATCTATAACAAAAATACACAAAACAAGTAATATATTTATGGTACAGAGATGCCTCATCAGACGTTTGTTTTCAATTGATGAATTGATTCGTAATTAACAAATCTGCCTCAAGTGTTTGAAACCTTATTGTTTAACCCTGACATGAGTGAAAGATGTTCATTAACAATTTTCGACAAAAAGAAATTGAATTCAGTCGTGCGGCGAATTTTTAAAAGGATAATTTTATTAAGTATGATATGGTGTCATATCAAATTAATCATCTAGAACTCCTCATGAATATTTTTGGCTGCATTCACTGCCTTACTAGCCATAAACGTTGCTGCTTGCACGAGAACTTCGATCGTGGAAAGTTTTCCGTCCTTGTTGGTGTCCGCCTTACGAATCAATTCTTCAGCTTCCCTCTTTGCATGAATGGGGTTCATCGGGTCATTGTACAAAAGAAGCTCTTGCAACGTGACCTGTAAATGCCAAACGCCAACCTGAGAGTTAGCGGAGAAATAGGTCAAACGGCAAATAGCCAATTGTTTACAAGGCGAATACTGGTGTGTCGCTTATAGCGAGATAACTACGAGAAAGCGACCTCATCTGGGAACATTTCATTGTTAAACTATTTAAAGATAGCTGCGAATATAAATCGTACGATTTCGAGATGTTCGAGGGGAAAAGAATTCGTTACTTTTGGTACCTGAATAGCCGTGCATAGGCTTGTAAAAGAGCATTCTACATAGGCTTTGTTCACTTTTATTACACCATTGGACTGTTATTTAGGTTTAGACAATACTTTTCGCATAAAAGTTATAACTAGTCGTATAGTGTTGTTAATTAATGCACGATAATGTTACGCACTCCATATGTATATGGAAGTAGATTAAAAAATTAAAAAATGTTACATAAAATAAAATATTTCACATAAAAACTGTTAACGATCAAGTCACGTAGATGGCCACATCTATGACACACGCTTTTTATATGGATAAAAAAAACTTGAATTTAATTATCGGTGTTTAACAAACCTTTCCATCGTGATCCGCGTCTATAGCAGTATGAAACTCCACCTTTTTCTCAGCAGTCTTTTTTTCTGTATTGCCGCCTGTTTCTTTTGAATCGACGGTCGAGAATTCGTCTTCGCTCAAAGTTCCGTCTCCATCTGTGTCCAAATCGGAAATTATTTGCGTAACCTAAAATTAATAGAAAAAATCGACTGCAGAATACTGTCTATGTAAATTAATAGCAGATGGAAGAAAGCGGGCAATAAAAGTGAAAGCAATCACATAAATTTTTTTTTGTATTTTTTTGTATTGTAATATTTTTTACGTGCTGTGGTGCGGCAGTAATTTATGGTGATCTTTTTTGACCGCTCAAGCCACCACATGAACACATGGAAAGTAATTACGATTATTTGGTGCAGATTGTTGATTCGAAAATTAAAATTAAACTGCTTTTGCGGAAAAATTAATTATTGCTAGCATGATGCTAGAACGCAATGGCAAAATAGTGCCTTAAACATATTAAAATTATTATACTTAATAAGTTTTATTAATAAAGTTCAAAAGTTAATTTCATGTATAAAATCAAACCAGTAGCGAGAATTCCATCGGCTTCGCTTGATTTCGTTCAGAAGTGTCAACATTAGTTATTGATAGACAAACTGTAAAAATGTTGTCTAATTTTAATCATAGATGGTATATTTATATTGTTCAACATAAATTTAAGTTGGAATCAAAGTAAATCATTTATTGAAGGAGACGCGACAGTGCTTACATTGTCGAAGAGTTTTAGTACGAACATAATATCATCATCCACGGGTTTTAATTACCATATTGAGGAGCGAGACATGTGAGTGTTCTGGATGTCGAAAAGTGAGAAATTCGTCGATATTTAGTCCAGCGGGGTCGGTAGCTGTTTCGAACCTGAATAGATCAAGATTTAGCGAAATTCTCGACATTAGCGTATATCTAGGTGAGCTACATTTGTATCACCGCAATGTGCATTACTCAGGTGAAACACTAAGAAATATCGATTTTCCTATGGGCTGCCATTATTGTGCTCAAGGAAGTAGAAACAGTGTAGTTTTTATTTATCGGAACTATGCGAGTGTAAAGAAATCATTACAGCATCTGCCCAGATAATAGCAACAAATTTTTGACCTAAAATCTGCCGACCAGCAAATTTTTATTTTATTAATTATACATTTTATTATGAAAAATTATTAAAAATTAATACGATTAAGGGCAAGTATGTTTAGTTTTGAAAGGCCCAATTCAATCATAGGCCTTTATTGCAAATTTCACTATCATATGTTTGAAATTTCATAACGATTTTTTTCATCGTTAGACTTAAGAACAACAGTACGAGATGTTCCATTACCAAGCAGCCCGGTCAAGCATGATCTGTTCTTTAAGTTTGCGCGGAAGCCCTTTGAGGTCCCTGATGTATTTGTTGGAGTCCTCCTTCGAGTATCCGCTTTTGATGAGAGTGCCAAAGGCAAATTCCTCCCAAGATACTCGTCCATTGTGGTTATTATCCATGCTCACAAACGTGAAAAAATTATCCTTAGCTGCTTGTATAAAGTGGTCTTTTACCTAAAAAATAACGTCCAATTTAAGAGCAGTGTTAAATGGTTGAACTTATGTTAACGTTATCTTTGTACGGAGATTTCGGTATTATATTTCGTGGAATCATAAATGAACCTGTAAACAAATTAAACCATATATTTTCGGAATTTTGTCTAAATTGGAGCGATCGTTATTTTTTTTTTCTATGTTATTTGATTCAAATATTAATGTAATCGAAGACCAAGATGCGGGCGCGCAAAACTAAAAAGGGGTGTATTTTTCTCACCTTCGCATTGATCCACGTCTGAAGTTCAGGTAGATCAAGGAGGCCATTTTTGTCGACATCGGCATTATTGAACACTTGAGCAAGAACGTGCTCAGGGGTGAGCCCTAATGTGGTATTTCCATCGGTTATGTTTGAGCCCACAATAAGCTCTTTATGGAATTCTGCATTTAAATCACCATCCCTCTCAAGCGGAACTCCGTTAACGTGTGTTGAACGGGACCCTGGAAGGATACGGCCTGAAAAAAATCCACAACGTAGTACGAGGTATTAAGAATTAAAAAGATTTGAATGAACATTCACTAACTTTTCTTACTGGTGGTGTTCGCTAGTTGAGCCTACTACAAAAAAGTTTGTAATATGCAAAAGAAGTAACAACCATACATAAGTTATTACTAATAACTTATAACTAATAAGCACAAATGCAACTTTTCTGTTATCCAAACCGTTTACCAGAGATACACCAAACTGCCTACTGATAATTAATAAAAAAAAAACTTAAATAGTGCTATTTGAATAGAGATCTACAATCTTTTCAAGTTTGATTTTTGATTAAGCTCGAACTTCGATTTTCTCTGAGCATTGCTGTGCCTTACGTTGCAGACTGCCAATCTCAGCCGATTTGTTAAAAGGCCTGAAAATATGAGAAGACTAAGTAAAAACAAACTGTGACAAGTGTGTACAATGTGCGGTTATAGCAAAGCTATTCTTATCTGTAGCCTGATAGGGACTCTTTTTGGCCATTGTTTGCTCTCATCTATCTTGCAAATATCATTTACTTTAAACGCCAGTAATGCTCTCTAACCTCAAAAACTGCAGTTATCACGTATGAACAGTATTATGTTATGCAGTACTTTCTTAGCCGATATAGCACACATGGGCACTGTGTAAGTTCCTAAGCCCTTGACAAGATCGAAGCAAGTAAACATCTGTGTAATAGAACGGACACTGAGCATGACTACGTAATCAACGCTTCTTATTGTCATTGTATTGATGTCCCGCAATCAGCATTACAATCAACTTACCCGTAACAATCACGCTGCATAGGCCAATTACCAGTAGGTAGCCAAGGTGTTCCTTATTCATCTTCGTTTTTGCCTTTCTGCTTGTGTAAGAACACAAAATAACTCACAACGATATACACGTCATTTGTCAACTCTTCCAGTTACGGTACAGAAACTAAGTATCGTAGCAGTTTTGTGGTGAATCGAAAAAAACACCGTCAATTTCTCTAATACTGTTCACTGGCACCGCTCTATACGACAGCATTCAACGTTCTTCTCATATAAATAAAAAATATATATATACCTTGACGCTATGAATACTTTACGGCGTAGTGTTTTTTTCATACTCAGTTTTTCTTTTTGGAAATGTTTGTCGAGGAAGTATCGCCTCCTTGTGTTGTATTCTTCTTGCGGACAGTTTATCTCAATCAAATAGTTGTCGCATCTGGGTATCATTGGCATTTTCTACATAGAGTTAGCCCATAAAAGCACAATCCGTTCACATTCTGTCTTAGTGCCATCAACTACTGGTAATTAGTAGCGTCGATATAAGGAATATTAGGGTTGTTCGCCGAAAAGAACGACCACAGTTCTAATGTTTGTAGGACTGCGCCAAACGATTCTGGAAGTAACGAAGGTGAAGCTACACTGAAAGCGTTCAGCGACTATACGTTTGCATCGTTTTCGCTGGCTGCGTATGTAATGGTAATGATCAGACAGACAAAGGTTCATTCAAGCTGGTCTGCTTCCTTTTCAAAACCCCAATGAATAGCAAGCGGACGAATTGGCACTGGATAGAACAAACCAACGGCACGCTATAGTACCAGTTTTCGTTGCGCCAATAACAAAGACTAGAGCACCCGGGTAAAGAAAGACCGAGCTCTTGGGAGAGGGAAGGGTACTGCTGCGCATCGCAGACGAGCCCCGATCTTCTTGAGAGAGAGAGAACCGCGATTTCGGCAAGCACTAGGTCAATCAAGGTTCTAAATTCTATTAATAAAGTACTCGGAATATATTCATTTATCGGACATCGTCTTTGAAATTAGCCGTGAACGGGTCACAAGCAGTATTGTACAGTGCGATAGCGCTGATCCTAGAGTTTTAGTACCTTAAAAACGAGTCTATTAGATGGTGTGTAATTTCGCAATGGAATGGGTAGATCGCACCAAGCAGTACCTGGATCCGAAAATTGCTTTGAACACTCAGGAATAGTATGTAGATGGCAAAAAAAATGCCTAAACACTTGTTTATTATTAACCCAATATATGTGTATTCAGGTTATTATTATTTATATTACAAGTTTCTCTATTCAAAGGATGTCTGTTAATGGAAACATGCTATTAGTACGGTCTACGCACACTATTGTATTGTTCTAATCACATATCAACCCTATTCTCAGCCGAACATTTTTACCTTCCGTTGAAATGTTTTTGTCTTGTCAATTTTAAGGAATCATTTAAAGTGTCTGGTAAGTATGTTGTCGAAAACGGTAGTGAACTGTACATCAATTTAGCATATGTCGTTTTGGCCCTATCCTTACTTTGACAGGTTTAATTGTGTCCTGTCAGAACCTGGCGTATGCTGTAAGCAAATTCGCAGGAGGCATTTTATCGGATCAGCTATCAGCCCGACGTTTGTTCTCCTGTGGCCTTATCTTGTCCGGTATTGCGACATTGCTGTTTGGCTCAGCCAATTCCATCGGCCTGTTCTGCACCTACTGGTTCCTTAATGGGTTCGCCCAGGGTGCAGGATGGCCCAGCTGCGCGAAAATTATTCGACAGGTAAGATCTTACGGAACAATGTTTATATAGAAGCTTTTAAATGTGTGTGGACGTGAAAATTTGATAATTTTCTTAGTAATGTATAGTGCAAAGTTTCATCGAATACCTATAATACGCTATAACCTAATACTGTAAAAAGGACGATTTTGTCGCACAAATATAGAAATCAATTACTAACATTCAGTTGGGGTGACACTTAAATAAGCCCTGTTTTTGTGGATTGTTTCCAAACTGGGATATTTATTTTTCGTACTGTTTTTTTTTGTGAAGCTATTGTCGTATTTGGATACCCTTGTTTTAGGCTCCAAAGGTGGGTACGTTAGTTAAGCAAAAAATGTGTTTCACGTTTCTCATTTGGCTCCCACCGTGGTTGAAGACTATCAGAACAATCCCAGAATAAATGTGGTGTGTACGACGTGGGCTCTAATAGCTGAAAGTAGGAACTTACAAGTGGCTTGCTAATTCGAGAACGGCATTTCTGCTTGGCTTTTTCGAACCTGTCGAATATTGTTACCTTGACCCTTTTTAAAGGGAGAAAATTGCTAGGTAAGGTTGCAGCAGCTAGATACGGAATTTCGGCTATCTGCAGAACAAATATCTTGGGTTGCTTACTTAGCTTTTTGGCATTCGCAAAGAATGCATAGCAAAGGATATGGTAATAAAGCGTGTGTAGGAAATTCTCTACTTTTTTCGCACCCCGACTTCTACTCATTTGGGGGTAAATTCATGATTTGAACCAAACAACGACAACAGCTCCACAAGGAAATGTAATCTATTTTGAACAGTACATAAAATTTATACAGCATCAGTGAACGAAATGGAAGTTAATAAACGAAAATGGCCATCACTTATGCATGAAGCACATGGCTTTCCAGTCTTTACACTTCCAGGGAGGTTTCAAGTATACCTTATAAGTCATAGAGCTTTACTGTTTCTGAACGCTCTTGAGTGAAGTCTCTCTTTTTGGTCACTTGTGTTGCTGCCATTAACACAGCTTAATTTTAGAAACATCATTTTGTCGAATGGATGTCTCTTTTTTCTCTACTTCCTTTAGCCTATGACGCTTATCGTCGTAATCTAAGCTGTATACTTTATCTAAAGAACTGATTTCATTTTTATGGTTCTTGACATGGTAATCTGCTGTACTCTCAAGTGGTACCATCCGTCCCAGTTCGGTACTTGGTGGAGTATTCTGTCAGCCTCCACAAACGTTTCCGGTGGAATCGCTCCATTCGTAGTCACATGGGTGATACTTCACCACGGCTGGAGAGCATCGCTCTTCGTAGCTGGGGGTGTCTCTGTTGCAATGGGGTTGATTAGCCTCTTCACTCTATTCAACTCACCGCTAGATCTCGGACTGCCCAGTCCACTTACGTCTGGGGACTCATCATCAACGAACAAAAAAACAGGTTTCTCGTATCGCTTAGTTTAGGTAAAACACACTTAACATTATACGTCCCCGGAGTCTAAACCAAACCTGATACCCGTTTATATAAGTCGTTTTCATTGACTGGGGGTTCATTCACTTTACCTGAAACTGTAGTATAAAATACCTTGTATGTACCATAAATTTGTATCTTAACAACTTTGGTACAGCTCTTTGATACGAAATTAGGTTACAGTAGATGAACACTTATAAAAATGCACGTTGAAGCTCTAAGTCATACCTTTTTATTGTATAGCACATAAATGCTAAACCATTTGTGTAGAAAAAAAGTACCGTTTTTTGCTTCGCCGGAAAGAATAAACAGAAATATGGGTTGATCACATTTAACTGCAGACGAAGAGGCCAAACCTACAAAAGCAGCCAAGGAGGGAGGCCTGGCTGACCTTCTGAGAAGTTTCTTCCTCTGGCTAATAGCAGGTGGCTACCTAATTGTGTTTGCCGCTAAAACCGCTGCCGTTGACTGGGGGCAAGTTTACCTTATGGATGAACACAAACATTCGGCCTATGACGGTAAGCGTAATTTACCTCTTTAAATTTACTGGTTGTAGCATGGACAGTTTTTTTTTTATCAAGAGGACTCGACAACTCTGTATTGTCATTTAACTTTTTTCAAAAAATGCATTTTCCTGTCTAGTTTTAATAATTGTTTCGTTCGAGTAACAGGCAGTACGCTGACATCAAGTATCGAGTCCGGAGGTTTCTTTGGCGGTATTCTCGCTGGTATGGTAACGGATGTGCTCGTCGCGAGACACAACCGGCGCTTGTATAAGAATAATGCTCGAATTCCTATAGCTGTGTTTTGTTCTCTAATTGCCGCTGGCTGTTTCCATCTACTTGTCTTCAACGTCGACCATAGCACATCAAAGGTGATTGAATCTCGATTGACGATATTGGGGCCGATCAATTTATGAGGTAGATGTCGATACCTCGATAGGAAATTTGCTGTTGCAATAACGTGAGCGCCTCGCCATAATTCACTTGCTACCACGTTATCAGAAATCGTAGCTTATTGATAAGTTTTATAGGCATTATTTGTCTAATATAATCAGACTGTAAGCAATAAGCATTTGACCAGAGTAATGTGAAATATAACGGTACCAGTTCCGTCAATTCGTCCACATAACAAAAAGTCAAACGAAGATCCGTTTCTACCACGCAAAGAGGAAAAACAAGAATCCCAATACGGGTAAGTGGTAATATAATTTTACGATTTTTTCATGTTATTATGTTTTGACAGATCTACATCGCTGGCTTGGGAGCGGTTCTGGGCGCAAGTCTCTACGGAAACATCACGCTTTTCGGTATCATAGCATCGGAATCAGCACCTTTTCATCTGTCCGGTTCCTCGCATGCGCTAGCGGCACTCGCTGGCAACAGTACGTCTTCCCTGTTTTGCCAAAATCTTAATTTTTTAGGGTGTCATAGTTGGCTAGTCATCACAAACAAAGCCATGAGAGTGCGTCGATAAGTATGTTAGCGTTTGCGTTTAAATTAAAAAATATATATATTATATAAACGACTGGACCTGTCTATGTAATCTGATAATTACAGAAAAACTGTTATAAATATGTGTATGTGCTCCCAAGATGCTTCAAATGAGCTCTTTTAGATAAACAAGGAATACTATATCTCTCATATTAAGCATGTCGTTTTTTAGCATAGCCCTTCTTTTTGGTTAGAAAAATCTAATTCTCGTTTGAAAGCAAGGACATTGTTACATTTTTTTACTGTGTAACTTTATTGGTCGATGCTATCTAGAGGTATTTTGTTAGTTAGATGTATATCCTTGCTTCTATCACTTCGTTTGTCTCATTCAAACATCTGTATTGCTCCTCTGGGCGAGAGCCTCACTTTTAAAAGCATCTGGAAATATGATCAAAACAGCGCAAAAGAAATGTTTGCAGAACACGTCGATGACGCTACTCCTTCCTTATGTTGTGCATTTAATTCCCATCACTTCAGGACGAGCTTTAGGCCAAAGTTTTTCCAATTTAGACCGAATTATCTAACTGAACAGGTGCTATTAATGCCGTGGCAAAGACTTAGTTCGTTAATTTTATTTATGCGTGGTTCATGAGCAGGTCGATTTGCGTGGATGATTCCTCTTTTTCGCATGTGTAATCGTATGTACAAATAATGGTGTTATATTCCCATTTTTCAGGTTAAACATACTTGTCAATTTAATGCATGCTCAAAAAAAATCTGGTTTTTTCTCTAGCAGCTCGGTTCAGGCTTGAAAATATCGTAATGCTCTATGCACATCTACAGCAAGATTGTAAAGCCCTTGAAATTTCCCTATTTTTTCTAATATTTCTAATCATTTGCAGTTGGTGCTATCGTATCGGGTCTTCCTCTCAGTATGCTGGCAAGCGCCATGGGCTGGCGGTCTGTCTTCCTTCTGCTGGAAGTATTCTGTGCGACTGCTGCAGTCGTCCTATCCGTGCTCCTGCGCGTGGACGCACGTATTGCGAGGCATTTGCATCAAGACTAAGTATTAGAACAATCCACTTCTATTAATCCTCTACATGCCGGGGCCTCAAATGATAGAATTCACTAAATTTGACGAAAAATATAGTGTTTCAGAGGCACGTAGCGCTGTCATGTTACGACGCCCATAACTGGAATACACCCAGATGCTCGAATTCAAAACAACAAACGTCGAAAAATACCAGTAATATTAGCGTGGTACGACCCGGAAAAGATATTGTTGGGTTTCTCGTCCAACACGACGAGACCACACTAGACTGCGAAATAATTTTCCGTATATACTACCTGGACTAATTTTCTTCTATTTCTACGCAACGATGACATGTCGAATGTCTAAGAAGGCAATCTACATAGCACCGTGCATCTACATTTTTTATCCATTTACGTTAATTCAAAAAGCTTATTCCAATCAGCATCAACGGAATTCTTGATAAGACGACCGTTTGAAGCTCCGTCTACGATAAGTGACGTCTAAAGGCGAATTTATCATTTATATTGTGTGCACATTTGTGGCCGTTTCTTCCGACCACAATAAACCGGTGCAAAGTAGAAATGCTTTTGATCAACCAAACTGGAACTAACACGTTAGGAATGACCCTAATGTGGTACTTTAGAACAGAAATTAAAGCACTAATGCGTTCTATTATTTATTTCCTGTTAGAAATTCTACTAAGTTTAAAAGATAGTAGAAATGATTAAGCAAATTCACATAGAACGTATCATATATGAAAAAACAACCGATTTAATAACAAACATCAACGCACTGGAATCTAATTAGGATTACAGAATGACAAATTAAGTCTGACCGGGACGTCGATGCAGAACTGTCAGTTTAATCTAAGTTATATAGCCAGTTTTTTCTACGGTACACACCACAAACGTAATTTTATCACTGACACAAACAGGCGTGTTTTAACCGTGAAGACTTGCGCACGTAGGTCTTACAAATTCGATATATTTTCATGTGCGCCTCTAGCATACTACGTAAACTTCAGTGATGTTTCCTAACGAATGTCTGAGGGTACGGTCCAAGATGGGCTAATTGACTCGCGAATCGTAATCCCGATATTTCTCCTCAGGTAACGGCTTCAAGAAAAGCAAGGTACTTTTAAATTAACACGACATGGCAGACTCACTTCTACATGCCACACGACGTTGCTGATTATGATTCTAAATTGTTCGTGGTATTGTAGCGCTCTTTGTGTAAGTCTCTTAACGATTTTGGTCAGCTTTATCTATCCGTGTAGACGAATAACGAACAACCAATAAAAGAAAATGTCATGTTAAGAGAAAACAAAGTGAAATAGAATATGATTTGTTCGATTTTTGAAAAAAAAATGTTTAAAGTATATTTAAAATAATGAGAAAATAGTTCTTTGAAGTAAATCCTAATGTAGTGCGTTTGTCAAAGGAGGAAAATAAAATTTACAAAGAAACCTATTTGTATATGCTTTGAAAAGTACTTGCTATTTTTTTCGCTCTAATGTAAACTAAATTTTCTAAATTCTGCCCAGACTGAATTTACTCTATCTCATGATAAACGAGAGGCAGAAATCTATCATGGGGATAGCTTTCAGCCTGAGTTGTTTCTCCTGTGAACGATAGCGATTACTACAAAATGTAATTTTTTTCCACTCTAAAACGCAAGAAGCAAATTAATTGTCACGATTTCCTAAGGGCTTTCGATCGTATTGTATTTTATCTGAGGATCGTAAAATTTTATCGTGGAACTCCAGGCCACATTAAAGAGTAGATAACTACTCAAAAATGTCTCTACCTTCAAATAATTAACTGAATAAGAGCTTCAAATGCTTTTACTTCCGTCAAGACCAAGTTTGTACTCTAGTTTGGCAGCATGGTAAACGACGACGTACGTTATCATCGCGCGAACTCAGGGGGCGGTATACGCGAAGTGAAAAGAAAAAAATAGCCGACCTTTATATGACGATCGTTAAATCTGCGCTAACAAATTCAACGTTTTCCTCGATTACAGGTTGTTACAGATTGAGTTGTAAGCACACTCGAATAATATTATATACAGAAAAATACACGCTTCGGTCTTGACGTCTTGAATCGCCGTCTGACTATAATACATACGCCGTTCGCTTGCAAGCCTAAACTTTTCGCCATAATTAATAGGTCACTGTAGAAGAAGAGAAAAAAAAAAAAAGAAGTAGGGAAAACAGCCAAATATATCCAATACGTTCACTGAAGTCCAACAAGAGGTTTATTACTTGTTTATGCATCGTTGTTGTCACTTCATACGCTTCATAGATATTTTGGTGTCAGTCGTCCCTTGCTTTTACGCTATAAACTTGTTTTTTGTTGTCTTTCGCTCGCTTTCTATTTCATAACCGTAAAGCGGTGTTATTATATCGCTCGTTACATGCATGTTAAATCATAATGTATCCGTTTAGTATATGTGAAATAGTTGATCACTTAGTGGATTTTTTCGTCGATTTTTTCGATTTGTTTAACATTTTTTTTTGTGCTTATTTTCTGCTTCTGCACATTAGTTTTGTCTGTGCTTGAATCGTTATTTAGTTGAATCGTTATTAAGTAGTCAGAACTGATCAGTCGCACTTCGCTTCGTCTGGTGTTATTTAATCAGCTCACTTTTGTAAATCGTAATAACCTCTTCGTATTTTGTCATATATTAAGAACGGCTCCTTTCTTGAACGTCGATTAACTTGCATAGGAAGACGCTTATAAACCCTATTTTTCCTCAACATACCCGCTGTTTCATCCGTAGGCTCATATCTATATGTACATTCGTATTCACAAAATCTGCTAGCAACATGTAATAGCGACATGGCGATGCTGTAACTACCAGATCATCTACAAGCTATATAAGTCTCTGTTTGTTGGTACTATGCACCAGTTCTTCCATTATTTGCGCCCGACATGACACATCCAATCATTTCCAATAAACCCAATGCTATCTCGAATTTATCTAGTTCACCTTAATAGTGCGTAATAAAGAATGATATATAGAAAATATTGCAATAAACACAGCATAGGTCCATAGCAGGATTTCCGGAAGATGTCCATTCTTATTTTCGTAAGTGAAGTTTTTTTGGCAATGACCGTAGAGAATTATAGTTGTGCTCATGATTTTCTATCGAAGAGATGTTACTGTATGCGATGGTTGAGATTAGTGATGGCTCGTGCCTATTTCTAGATTTGTGGTGAAAAAGGACATAGTTCGCCCATTTCGTTAGGTTTTTTTTGTTGTAAAAAATCGGTGCTTTTTTTCCATTAAACGCTTGACTAGATGCATTACTGAATTGGAACCGAATAGGGCAATGAAGCCCACGATACATTTTTGTTATCAATGACTGCTCATATATAGGTGAATTCGTTTATTTGAAATTAATAAGGAGAAAATAAAGCAGCGCCAGGTATCGAAAGTCCTGAACACAACAGTCGATATCGGGCATGAAGGCCCGTTAACAATCGGCGAACTGACAGCAAACCAAATTAGGGCATTCGGTAGAAACACGTACGAATATGGGTTCTTGCGTTGACACCATGTAATCTGTCTGTTTTTCGCTCTTGATCTTTCTCCCCTGTAAAACCGCAGTGGAAGTTAAGTAATCGATCGATTGAATACTTCTTAAATATATAAATATCATTATCAGTATTGTCACCATAGCATTTGAATAGCCCGCCACCACGTGCCGTGTATCACTTAGGTGCCTTCGTCAGCGTGATTTGGTGGAAGATTTATCATATTTTTTGCCATTACAATCTCTATATAAATATTACTTCGACTTCCAACATTTGCTTTTTTTTAGCATAATATTGATTGCAATGATAACATTCATACTAATACTCCTGTCTGTTACAGTGTTTTTAGCTTCTCATTCTGTTGTTGCTGTTCGCCTTCACTGCGTCGGCCTTTGTTGTCGACGACATGTCTCTAAAGACTGCTGCGATTTTTCATCGATGCTTTGACGTACGTCAGATATATGCGCTAGTGCTAGGGGCAGCTGTTCGCCGACGGGCTGACTGCCAGTGAGTCGGCTTTTATGAATTTTCGCATTAGTTTCGGCCCACTCGATTTATTTACGTGATCAAATTTGGGCTGATGGCCAGCTTATTCCAGTAGGGGATTGAGAACAAAAGTTGGCCTCGGCCAACGTTTTGACCCGTCTGGTCAATGTTCTTAGGGTAAATCGGCTATTATTACCCGATCCGAACCCAGAAAGTGAGCCCAAACCCAATGAAACAATACTCATCGTTTCACTCCGCAGACATATTATTTCCATGTTTGATTACTATTTTCGTATTGACACATTACTAACCACCATTTAGTCAACGTAATCCGAATAGTTAGCCACCATTGTTGTTTGATAAAATCAAAAAAATATGTTAAACTAAAAAGCGAACTGGGCAATAACAGCCGATCTGGCTATGCGTTGTAGGTTTTATATTGTTTTTATAATATATATTAGTGTCTCTTTACTTATTTGCCACGAATATTTTCTTCATATTGAATTCAAGTTATTATAGTTCTTTTTACTATTTTATCTTTGTTATATTAATAATAATTATTATTATTATTATTATTAATAGTTATTGTTACCGCAAAGCAGATGATCTCACACCAGAAGCACTCAGATTAGTATACAATAGAATTACATATATTAATATAATGTATCATCGTCAATTCGGAGTAAGGATCTCCTTTTCTCTAGTTTACTTATATAACTATATCTCACTTAAGATGTTTAGTTACTAAATTTAATTGGCATCGCTCCAACAGAATCTTTCTCATTTATCACTAGCATGAATGTACCATCAAAAACAAACGTTTCATTTTAAATATTCGCGTTTTTCCCATTATTCTCTTCTGGGTGTTTCGTAATGATGCGGTCCTCTCTTCAGCTATAGACGTTTTTTTCTTAGTTCAGACCGTTGTTATGGTTTTTTTTTTTTTTTTTGCGTTAATACCGTATTTTCTTCTCTCATTTGCTTGCACTCATTGTTGGTTTTCTGTTGTATAACCGTGTGCAGCACTCGTATATATTTATAATTAGGTTATTATTACTATTACCATCACTATGTGTATCTCTTTATCGATATCTGCACTAGTTTCCTTTTTCTCATTGGTAATTCGGCTGTAGCGTACATTCGTTATTTGTCCTGTCGTAGTAGTCACTTCTGTTCTTAATCAATTTGCTTTTTATGGGCCTCCTCTTATAGGCACCCCCATATTAGGTACAGGTAGTGTATCCTTTTAACATTAGATGTGTGCTAGCAGTTATTACTACGAGCATAACGAAGACGTAAACCACCCCCGATTAATCGAAAGGGTTATTGTCTTTTTGGTTTTTCGGTTTCTTTAGCATTCTTTATGCATAAATCTGTTAATATTATTGCCTGTAACACGTTGACGATAGCCGTCACAGGTCGCCGCTTCAGGTGGCTTCATCCTTAACGATCGCTAGCAGGTTCATTTCAGCGTAGAGATCGCGTAGAGCAAGATCTTCTTCGAAGAGTTCGAGTGCAAGACTGAATGTGGGCGAGGGCGTAACGCGAGAGTCTTCCGAGTGGTCGCAAATCTTCCCTTCAAGATCTCGACCAGTAATGTGCTTCTGTAATTATAGTGGAACATTATAAACGTATGCATTTATTTAAATGGAAAGACGTGTATTTAATCAGTGATGACGTCTACCTAAGCCACATTCACTTCATACTTACGATATTCATAGTTCATTTATACCATACTTTTGACCCTGGTGTTGTGAACTCATGTGAAAATTGTTGAAAGATGCTAAAGTTCCTGCTTCTACAAAGTCTCCCTTTTGTCACACATCCCTTAAGGTCCTACTCTGCACCTGCGTTAGCATAATCATCACGCATATATACATATAGAATTAAGCAAATGTAATTCATACATTTCAGATGCACTGTATATCTCGAACGCTAAAAATATAAATTTTTCAGCAGGACTAACCTGGAAGGTGATACAGTCCATGGGGTCGAAGTCGGCTGCTCCTTCTTTCGGCCTGACCCCGTGTAGCTGCGCCTGAATGGCCTGACGGGGTAGCTTCCTGAACTGCTGGTGCAAGGGTTGGATGGAGGTCGCCGCTACCGTCAACGGCATATACGCGCCGTTATCGACAAAGTAGCAAACGGCCATCGTGCAAGTGGCGCCGTCTGGCGAGGGTGCTCCGCTCACTTTCTCAACGTACGCCCGCTCCCATATCTCGTCTTGTAAACAGGCGTAGAATTTGCCCGTGCCAATCTCGAACTCCGATAGCTCTAGGCGGTTCTCCTGTGATGCGTCGAGTACACGAAATCGATGAAGCGGAACAACGGTTAATCAGTAGTTTATGGTAGTATGAGAAAGTAGGGAATAAGTTGTAATGCACCTTTTATTTATAACATACGGAACGTGCATTTAGTTCTATCTTTTTCAGCTTTTTTGTCTTTCGATTTTCGTACGTTTTTACGGGCTGTCAATTCATGTAATAGACATACGACAGAACTATGCGAAGAATCATGCTAAAAACCGTCCTTCTACACGATAAAATTCTTGCTTCTTAAAAAAAATGTAGCAGCAAAAAAGCTCCTGAGAGTAGCATGTTCTTTGGTATAGTTAGACCGGTACACGATATGGAGTAAACATAGGCAAGTTGGCCAGCATATGGTCAGCTGTTCATAAAGATTTTTTCAGTTTACGTTTTTCCATTTTACATCCAATACGTGGAGGGGAGGAATTAAAACTTGTCGTCCAATTGACAGAAACCAGTTACCTTAATGTAATTTAATGTCGTAATACACGTTTTTCGATATTATTTAAATAATTTGATAATGCTTGCAAGCGTATTGTTGTTAAAATGAAAAAGAACGAAAAGCGCATAAAACAAGAAATCAAATCAAGAAATTTTGTTTATCAATTTCGGATCTAAACAATTTGAACACATAGACTTTCACAGAAATCTTAACGTTTTTTAGACATAATTTAGTAAGAATGCGCTGTTTAAACGCATAGTGATATTGAATATGATCCGGGCACCTTTTTAAAAACAGCCCTGGACATTGTCTCTTTTTCTAGGTCCACTGAACTTAGGTACTATTTGATGGTTATCATTAGAAAATTCTGCAACGGAGCACTCCGTTATAGTCTCTAAAAATATTTAAAGAGAAGTAAGCTTGTCCATCAACCGAAACGTTAAAGTGGCTGATACAAAACGCGCTTAAAGACCCGTGAGATACAAATGATTTTTTTTTCAACAAAAGCCGTTATCGCAAAAAATCCAAATTTTTTTAAGACGATTCCTTCGCTAGTTGACTTGACAGAGCGCTGTTTCCTCTGCAAAATCACCGCGAAAAATAATTCTTCAGGAAAATGTTATTTGCAAAATTTTGTAATTTTCGGAAAAAATGTAGAAATAAGTATCTTGTAATTTACTCAGATGTATATCTATTAAAATAACCAAGGTGCAATATCTGGTGCGATTCTTATCATGCAGAATACCAACCGTCAGTTTTACAAGTTTCGAGTCCATCACCGCATCAAAAAATGAACGATCCACCTAACCATAATTCAGGATCGAATGCAAGACCACTCCATAGGAGAGGTAGCAAGATATGATTTAAGATTTAATTCGTGCGACCCAAGTATCACGAGTCCATGGTGTGTCCAGTAGTAGCCCACTTGTCTACAGCATGCGTGTTCAAAAAAACGTATATTTGACAAACGGTCCTCACGGTGTATCCTGATATAACGCAGACATTTATAGTAATTAGGGGAAATAGGTTTGGTCGCTGTCTGCCGCGGTTGGCTATTCATAAAGAGAAGGATTTCTAATGAATTTGTTTTGGAAAGCATCATTTTGTCAATGAATTTTCTGCTCATCTTTTTAACAAAACGAGTGAGATAAATGACAACTTAAATTTGCTTTCGATATAATTTATGCTAAACCTAATCATATTCGTCAACGGAATGGCGTCACGTGCTATGTTAGCTATAAGTCTATTAGTTTACCAAGTCTATTAGTCGAGTTCTGGCCATATGCCATCAATACCTTTTTAGTGTGGTTTCCGCTTTTATTCTGTATAGGTAGCCTTGGAATAATCCTTATATCGTTTTACCTTTTACGAATGAATCGATTGCCCATCTGACGCACATTTCTCGTATTACAATTATAATCATGTCATTGAACTCCTCTTTAAGTACCACAGAATTTTCGAAGTTGAACTTCGTGACAGATGAAACGAAGCCACTATCACATGTTCTAGTGCGCATGCGCTGTGTTGTGAGGGTGATTGATTCTGCTTGCTAGTTCTGCGTGATCTACCTGTTTGCCGTAGTATAGCTGCATCTGCGCGCGCAGATTAGCCAGCTCGCTAGAAGTGTTAAATGGCTGAATGACCAGAGACAGCGGGGAGGCTGCGGATACGACATGCAGCATAATGGTGGTACCGTGTGTCGGAGGCTCGGCCTTCGGGTACACGGGCACAAGAGGCGGCTGCGAGCCAGTCGCTAGCCACTCGCCTGCGTTTTTGCCCGCGTGGCCATTTGAAGCAGACGATGTTGACGACGTCGTTGCCCTTTCGTTTCGAAGTTAACGAATACGGTAGGTGGCGTCAATTCGGGACGATTACGCCGTTAGTTACGACCGATGGGACCGTGACGATCCAGGGCCACCGCATGACATCACGACGTGTGTTGACAGGTAGGGAAATTGACACAGGGGACAAATAATCGATCACGTAAGAAGAGCCGTTTATGTGGTCACCAAAAAGAACGAATGGAAACACCGAGAGAACGATAGGCAAAGGGCAATGGTGGAGATATTTGTGGGACGCAATATAGTAAAAATTAGACGATCGTAGCGTCATGAATGGAACAATATCGTCGTGGGGGTTTTGTAATGTTCAGAATAGGTCTCAGGTAGCAGTAGTAGTCGATTTCAGGTGGTAAAAGGTTATTGTAGTCGATGAAGTGGTTGGTGATGGTGTTTGTTGATAGGCACACGAGCAACGGGCAGCGGCAACAGCAACGGCAGCAGTATTAGCAAACATAACTGAGTTAGCTAATAATGAGACACGACCGGTGAGTGAAGGAGAAGTAAAGATTCTAGGCGAAAAGAAGTGATGCTAAGGTGAAAGCTTGGAAGGTAACAAAAGAGAATATGACCTGTTGTTTTGCTCTACTCGAAATTAGCTTTAGTAAAGCGAAAAAGGCTTGCGTAGCTTACACAAGGGCGAAACGCTTCTTCAATATAAATATTAAAGAGTCTATTAGATTACCTTTTACTACTATGTACTAGTAAAGCATATAATGATTAAATTTTCTCATTTCTAAGCAATGTATATTGTATATCGTCTGAGAGGATGAAAATGTCGAGCAGAACTTCAAGCTTCGAATATCCTGTATAAAACAGGCCATCATAAAACAGAATACAACAAATCATTTCACGACGAATAGTCGTTCCAGATCGGGTTTAATAGACCCAATTAAACACTCAGACAAGGTCAAGAAAGACTCAGAGAAAAGACAAAAATTGGTGTGTGCCATATTTGCGACGGATCAGCATATACAGCCAATACGCGTAAATACAGGGGCCTTTGTAAAAACGATTTGTTTAATAGGCCACAAGGTCGATTATCAAAAAATACTAAAATGAGGAAAGGGCGCACTCAAACGCTGTTCGTAGTTCGTTTGATGCCGTGAGGCAATCGAAACAAAAAGTAAGAGAAGCACAAGTTGTTCAAGATGGTAGTGTCCTTTCGGAAAGGCTTTCACCTAGTAATTATACATGAAATAGATAGACAATGCTGTTTTAATGTGCGTGGGTGCTTTCAGCCTAACCTATTTAACCCGAGAGCCATGTGTAGGTATGAACTTACTTAAGTTCCTCGTAAAGTCTGTGGTTGACCGAAACGAGTTCGTCGTTTGGTTGCGTCCGTTTAAAGATATCAACATGTCGAATGTTCTCATCGCATTCGCGGCCTTCGCAGCAGCTCGACGACGATACCTTGATAATGAGCTTCTGGTCTTCAGGACAAAAATCTGTAATCGTAGCGAGTTCTTCCACCGTCCAGGTATCAACCGGTTGAAGGTTCGTCATGTGCGCGCGAACCGCCTATGATAAAGATTAACCTTATACATGTATATATAGCGTAAAAATATATCTATAGTTTGGAAGGTAGTGCTGATTTTGCATCTATTAAATTAACAATAGAGTAAAATATGGTAAAGATTAAAAGAAAAAGAAGGTAATCAAGGGTTTTCAGACTGTCAATAGATGTTTACTTTACCTTGTATATATGCATAATATATATGGCAAAGTCACTTTGCTAAACCAAAGGCGTGCGACGTTCCCATCACGAAGTAAACAAGAGAAATGCTTATTATTTTTCAAGCGTGGCAAATTGAACTTAAGGCAGCACAGGATTTATACCTGAGGAGGAAGATCTTCAATATGCGAGCCAGTCTTAAGCGCGAACATTTTTTTTATGTCTACGGTGTCCTTGTTGCCATAATCGATAAACTCAATGTCGATTTCTTGGTTAGAGACAATATTGGTCGCCACGCAACGATACCAGCTGCCTTCAAGCTGCGCGCAATACATCTTGTTTTCTTGCACCTACAAACACATAGAAGCAACTGTGTAGATTTCTTCGCCCACTAATCTCGTATGATCGTATAGAATTGATCAGTAACTTACACGATAACGATTTCTGTCCCGATGCGAAAACGGCACGAGCAACTTACAAAGTTGCTAGCTGGACATATATGCGTTCTGAATCACCGAGGCCAGTTACTTAATTCTCGAAGATTCGCATCGCATTGAGTTTGCCCATCCAATGGGTTCACTAAGCTCGATTGGCCGAGTGGCTTTTAATTTAAGGAGGTCCAACGCCGGTCAAATCACCGGTAAGACTAGAAGCGACAAATACATTGGTCGACGACAAAAACAAATTTATTTTGTGCCGCCTTTTGTTCCCGCAGTCTAAGCTAGATCGATTTTCCTTTGGAGATGATGACGGCTTCTTTAAAGACTTTTCTTCCGTACGATTTTACTTCTATATGTTGAAGAACGTAGGGTTGACATAAAAACAGAAATCCAATAAATAATCCAATCATTTCGAGGTCTGAAGGCACTACGTGACAGCCTTCCAAATGTTCTTATAAAACAATAATAACAAGCTATTTGCACATCGTACACCTATTTTTTTTTATGGAAGACTATCCCGTTCGCATGGTGATAGCGGTATGCATCTCTTAACGTTGCTCATGATCTGTTCTCATATGTAACTATTACTTGTTGAAGAACTTCACCGCTATCGTCATTGAACACGATCATACTCTTTCTAACTTTGACCACGAACTACTGAATCGCGATGGCTGAATTGAACCACTAATCCCAGTAGTACTAGCATTATGACAGCTTTTTAACCGTTCACTGCGCTGCCGTCGCCAATGGCTTGCCTCTATAACCCATTCACCCATTATAGTTAAATTTCATCCCTAACTATGCCTGTTACAAGTACTGACGGCCGCACGTGTGTGTTCAGTGGATTAAGGATTTAGCTCGCTAGCGTGCACTAACATAAGCTATTTCATTTATCGTATGCGTGATTTAGTAAATCGAATAACAAGACCCGCTGTCGTGTGCCGAGCTTTTGACGCATTATCTCGCAGCTTTGAAACTACGTTGGAAATCATGCAACAACTGAAAGTATTAAGGAGTTTGAAACGATCATAGGCGTCGGTCTTATTCGATAAGTGATAAATAGCACTATTTTACCCTATACATAAGTACGGTTGAGAACACACTAAATTAAAAAAAGAAGCAGTACTTGAAAGCATCTGTTGAGTACTTGATTTGGACATACTCAACGTTAACGACGTTTAGGGTTTAATAACGGTAATGGCACGCATGATGAGCATTCGCCTAACCTACATACACCTTATTTTTAGTAGCCGTAGAGTTGTGTAAGGAAATTTTGCAAATAAGTCAAAAAACAAAGGAAAAGATTTACCGATTCAACGGGCGTATCGCTAGCTGGTTCGACAGTGAGGCTGCGCAGTTCGCTGAGACCGAAGTCTTCAATTTGAAGATAGATAAAACCGTCCGGTAAGACACAGCTTAAATAGCCTTTGGCGATAACGGGTGCTGGGAATATTACCGGCGTCGCCACGATCTTGTAGATTTCCGTATTGATATCTATCTGCTGACCCTGAAATGCGGATAAGTAGTTAAGGAGACGAAAGTTTTTATTAGGAACGGTAGAGGATGTATATTTATCTATATAATCCCTTTTTGACGTTCTTCTACCTATCATGAATGGTGCTAATACTAAATGCACTGCCATTTGTGATTAATTTAATTCACTAGAATTACAGTTGATCAACTATATTGGTTGAACGGCAAACTACCGAAAGAACTTCAGCCCAGGGCACATACCATGGAAAATTACCACAATTGATTATTGTCTTCCAGTGGATTTGCTCTCTTCGGCCGGATATTCTAATTAACTAATAAGGAGCCTTTTTGCAGCTACTGTTTTCAACAGCCAGTAAACGTACTTCCGTTAGCTAATACAAGCTAATTTTTTACCTAGATACTGTGGTATTCCAGTTACATGATGACTCAACTAGTTAACAAATAGCAGCTGGACGCTAGGCCTGGGACGTCACTGATTCAAATACGCCAACGCGCATGTAGGTATAATGTTTGCGTTAACAGAGAAAGGCAATCGTATCTTAGAACCTAATCAATTGCTCACCTGTGACAGGTCTTTGTTGCCTTCGACACTGCTGGCACAATCTGCCGAATCATCTCCAGTGTCGTACACTTTTACCGGTAACGGCCTAGCGGACAGATCGACCCCTGGAGCTGGAACCGCCCACAGGATTTTGTTCTGCATGAACCGCTCCATCAGGGCCTGTACTGACGGCCGCTTCGATTCGGACACACTGGACTCTTCGAATTCTTCTAGCCGTAGTTGTATGGCGAGGAATGGCACCGCGTAGAAATCATAAGCGAGATGCATCAGTTTCTGCCGGGGAATCAACTCGGTGATGCCGAGATCGACATAGCGGAACTCCGCTACCTCACCCCCAGCCGCATCGTCAGCAATACACTGAACCCGGTGCCAACTCTCGTCGTAGACTGCGTACAGTGCTCCAACAACGGGCCGATCTGAGGGTTCCAACTTTTGTTGGGCTAGATTCGCTTCCACCTTATAGTAAACTTCCATATCGCTTACGAGCGTGTGGTACTCCTCACGCTCGACGCGCCCGTAAAAGTTGTGTACATCAACAATGAGCATCGTGACGAACATGAACTGTTCCTCCGTTATCGACAATGGAGGCACTTGTGGTGCGACGGAACCCTGAGCCGCCGGATTACTGCCTTCGACCTCACGGCGATAGAGTACGTCACACTTTGCTACTGTATTTGGAACGAAATCGAGCAGTTTATGGCCGGCAACCTATAGAAAGAGTGTATGCCTAATTTAGAGCTTAACAGATAACTGATCAGGTGGGTTAGTGGGCATGGTGATCGTTGTTCATCAGGTGCCCTTCAGAACTATTATGGGAGAAACCTGACAAAACTCTGAATCGGTGCAATGTATTACTCGTAGACTGTCAAGCTTTTGTACACGCTGGAAGTGTATGATCTGAATAACTTGCTTTACGTTAGAGGCCTTTTTCGCTATAGTAAAGATGAAGTGGATAATCCTATGGTCGTTGCAATTTTTAGTCGTATGGGTTGACCTTAGAATGAGTAACTGGCATTAACAATAAACATTTTTCTCTACCTATATAGATCAATTCCATAATCACGTGCTTATTAGCTAAACTGCATCTATGCTGGAAGAAATCAACCGCTTGAGGCGATGCTTAACGGAAACTCGAAGAATTTAACGACCTAAGACAAATTTTGTAGCCAACCTTTGTTTGCCAGTCATCAGGCAGCTTTTGTTTGAACTCTTCGGCGAAGAGCTGTGGTACTGAATTGGAGAAGACCCCGTTGGGCCGTTTCTCGAGTATCTGGGCGAGCTTTACGGCAATAGCCTCGGTTTGCGACGCAGTCGACATATCAGCTAACGGCAGGGATGCCTGTTTTTCGGCTACGCGCTGCTGCAGATTGTCCTTGGTTATTCCTGCAATAGATCAAATGAAATAATTAGCAGAACCACTGGGCGCCTCTGTGTGCACGATGAGCTTAGAAAAAATTCCAAGGCAATGACGATCCTCATTTATTATCTCAAGATTCAAATTTAACTTGGAAAAGATCTACAAGGAACAATTGAAGAAACTATTATGTAATTTTTTTCTAGTAGTTGCAGCATAGCTACAATAATAATACCGAAAGTAGTATTATTACCAAGGGCTGCGAGCGCTTTTGCAGCGGCCGCTTCCTTTGCGAGCTCCGCTGTCGGTCTATAGTCGGGATAGCTCTTGTACTTGATACCGTCAAGTTCGACGGTGCAAAGGAACTGCGCCGCGGCTGCTTTCTTGTTGGTCTTCGATTCCATTAACTGAAACTCGGCAGCCGGAAGTCCGGACGCTCGGGCAAACTCCTCGAGCATGGCAAGTGACGTCGTGCTGTTATTGCCTTGTTGTTGACCAGCTCCATTTTTGCCGACGCCCGTCGGAGTGCCGTACACTCCGTGATGACCTCCATGACGCATGGGTACCACTCTACGAGAACGTGGGTCGACGATTGGAATTGCGTTTGGACGATCCGCCTTATATACGTAGTTGCAGGGAAATTAAATTTATAGAAGAAAAATACAAGTCAAGTTAATGATCAAGCGCACCGATGAATCAAGTCAAGGGAGAAAAAAGATTCGGACGGGGGAGATAGTACGATACATTAGCGGGAATCGTAGCTGACTCTTAGCACCTGCCAATTCATGGGCTGGTTTAAGATACTACACTGGCTGTGAGAAAATGGTGACCAAGCTTGTGGGCCGGATAAGTTTTACTTATACTCTTTATCCGATCGATCGTGGATCACGTCAAAAGCCAGTATTAGTTTCAATACACTTAGTCTACAAGGACACATGTGGGCTGTTAGAAGTGCTACAAGTATATTTTCACTTCTTCTCTAATTTCATTCAATGACACTTTAGAAAACAAGAATCTCGCATATCTTGTTACGTAACAAACACGTATCGGAAGATTCGCTCCGGCGGAAATATTGGCTTACATTAGCCAACATATCGTTAGGGAGAGACAATCGCTTTACTAACTTATGTAGTGTATTTATTGTTGAAAGTCCCAGACCCCATTTTTAAAAGCGTTACTTGTGTTTGAAAGCACGATGTGTAATATAGCAGCTGAGTCAACATATGTTTTTAGTTGAAAATGGGGTAATCATTGAACGCGCTGTTGGAACGGTTCGATTTATATTTTTGTCCACACTTCGAGGGTTTTCTAGAAACATAGATTAAGCTAACACAGATAACCTTGTGGCTGGGTAGATTAAAAAATCCTGATTTGATACTATGTATGAGGGTTGACGCGCGCTACACACCTTCGCCGATAGAGATCTCGTTCAAACAGTCGCTGTTCGTTTACATCGCCAAAGCTTGTAAATACCTCTCGTCAAGAAAAACAGTTACTGTTCTTATGTAGTTTTTACAAATCGCAATAAACATATCGATTTAACGCATTTTAGAATGTAAATGGGTTGATTATTTCGGCGACATTTTTCGTCAGGACAACAACATTAGGAAACAGCTCGCTATTAGCAATTCCTTTGGTAGAGAGGAAGACATTTTCAAGCTGTCCTCAATCCTGCATCATACCCAACACATAGTACATAATAGTTTAATACAAAATAATAATAATAATAATACAAAATGTATATATGGGTCATAGTATTAGTGAATGTCTTTCGTACTCTGTTACACTACCATTAGTACAGCGGAGCTCAATCACGTCAAGCTAAATTTAAACTCAGGTTAATTCATTTCCATCTTAATAACCCTATAGCAGTTGTCACGATATGACCAGCGTTTCGAAACGGAAATTTTCCATAGTGAACTAGTCAGACCAATGACTAACCGGATCATTTCTCCACCAACGCGAGATCTACATAAGGAGAAGTCTCTTTATTTAGACCTCGCGTTTTCACTCTGTACATTGTCCCGTTTTCTCAGTAGCAAAACAGTTGCCGCTAAAAGTTTTGAGGTGAATCCAGCCCAAGGAGTTGACCAATCATCGTTGCAGAGGCAAATCGGCAGGTAGCAATGGACAGACACTTTTGTATGAAGATGCTATTTTTAATCAGATTGATTCAACGAACGCTGTGCTTCTTCCTCAAGCGACGCTGCCATCAACTACTTGACAAGCGGATCGTCATCCAGCGAACGGAATGACCCCAAACAGGGAAATTGTCATTTACCAACGACATCTGCAGTCGACGGTTGATTTCTACTAAACGGTTGGAGCCGTTGTGGCTGCGTTACGCAGACAGGAACGGCGGGCGGCTATTCCTAGCACGTCGAGAAGGAGCTTCTCATTGTTGAAACCTTGCTTTTTGAGTGATAATTTCGGAAATTACGTAACTGTAGCTACAGCTGTGAGAGAGTGTGTCGAGAATTTCCTTTCTGCACACTGGCAAGCCGTTATCTTCTAGATGGTGTTTGTGTATGATGAAAGTTGGTTTGTGCGCTCCATCGCTTGTTTCTGCATACGTTGTCCTGTTAAATAGTTTAGGTCAATTCGATGGATATCGTTTGATACAGTTGTTAGCTAATAGTCGTCGCAGACCGTCGATCAGAAATCAAGATACTGGGATCTCGTTTGCAATCTTCAAACTGATAATCATTATGGAACCGTTTAATACACAAAGGCTATTTTGGTAATGGATGAGAATTCATTTTGGCCCAAAACTATATTTTTATTGTTATTCTTATTATTCTGTTACAGAGAAGAAAATCGGCGATCGATCGTCGTAACTAGGGCAACAATCGGAAGCACTTATCACATCAAAATATACGTGCCGCAGTAAAATCGCTAGAAATTCTCATCTGACACGATTAAATAACTTTCAATCAATGCCAGTTTAAGTCAACAGAATCCCCGCAAAAAAACAGTTACTAGATAAATAGGCACAAGTAAAACAAACGCGGGGCCGTTCTCTTACTGTTATTCTTCATCTTTACATAATATAATCCCATATTTCGAATAAGACTCCAACTATTACTGATAAACGACCTTGCGAAGTCTAAATCTGTTTGATTTAGGTGTCTTTGTTAGACCAATCAATAAACTATTGGCATTATTAGTCAATCAGTATGTCTCGTAGTTGTGTTTTTATTTTTGACGCTGGTACGGACTCGAGAAGGCCCGACGACCACTTGTTAACGTTGTACTGCTCATCGTTTAGGCCGCCAGCCAGAGGGGCTGCTGGCCGACTGGTAACTGACGACGACGACGGCGGGACGTGAAGCGACGTTGGAAAAAGTGGCAAACATGCTCAGCATTATTAGTGCACACCATTCAAGCCGCTCACTTCCTGATTTGCTCGTGAGTGCCTGCGGCAATTATTTAGCCAATGTGTGTGGAAGAATCGGCCTGGAAGGCCGAATGGTCGCGATGACACCACGAATAAAAAAAAACATCGATAGAGCAACAGCAGTATTATTGTTTTTATCATCAACGTCATCATGCGGATCATTGATGTCGACGCTTTTACGAAGATGATGTCCAGGGCGACGGTTGTAAAACGTACCTCCGCTTTGTGGAAAACATCGGTTTCAGTAGAATCTTATGTTAGCAAAAGGAATTGGCAAACAACATAGTATAACAAAAGCGGCGAGAGATGCGATGCGAAGGCCTAACTTTGACATGAAGCGAATATGGTAGCTTTGTAGTTTAAGGTTAGCGCAAAGTTTGATAATAAACTTTTTTTTGGGGTTTGTACGGCCGAGTAGAACTTGCCTTTTGGCTATAGCTTGATTAACACTAAGGAAGTTAAATGACGTTTTGCCCCCAGGTAAAAGGAATAAAAGAAAAAGTAGACAGATGGGTTTGATCTTCAGTTTTCCACTATGCTCTTTATTGCTTAAGCTGTTTTGAGGCTCCTCTACCTTTAAAAATATGCCTCGCTCTGTATGTTGATATGTACACCCTTATCGCCATTCCCATATTGTTTCGAGAGGTTCTTAACGAATATGGTGGAAAGAACCACGTCTCGAGAACGCAGCACCACAAACTGGTAGCAAAAAACTATAGCGCCAGTAAACGATCCGTGCCCCAATCCACTAATATTTAAAACCTATTCTACGTTTAAAAAGAACTACGCTTACCACGCATAAAGCATCAGTAAGTATCGATGACAGGGAGCAAGTCAGCCCTGACTTTCATTACTTACCTGGATAGTTACTTGGTTGAGTCTATATTTCGCATATGCGTATATATATAAAAACAACTCAAACGATTATAAGGGTCCATACAACAATAATAACAATAATAATGACTATTATTATTTGCATTGACTTACCTTATATTCTCTGGACGACCTCGAGCCTCCACTTCCATTGTACTGAATCGAGGGATTGATCCAGACCATATTGCCGCGCCGGGATCCGAACGACACCTGACTTTGGTTCAGGTTTCCCGAAACATTGTCGTGATGGCCGGGAGACATAGGGCCTCGTCCGGTGTCTCCACGCCAGTGTCCGTTGCTCGTACTGGCGTTGCTCCCGTGGATGTGATTGCTCTGGCCGCCGGTGCCGGAGCTTCCATTGTTGTTATTGTTATTGTTGTTGCGATTCCTTCGATTTTGGTGATGTTGATGCTGTTGCCCTGTAGAGTCGTCGAAATCGATGAATCTTCTGTGTAAACCTGCCTCTAAGCCTCCCATAACGCTGCAACCACCACCATTGTTCATCGCTGATGTTCCTCCGCCTCCGAGCCTATAATGCCTTCCTCCAGCAGGTCCTGCACCACCGGGTAAGCTGCCGTCGATCGGATCTTCATGGGTGCTCCACTGAGGTGGAGGACTGGGTCCTCCGAGAGTACCCTCCATCGAATCGACCTGATGCCCTACACCTACACCGCCGCCAGCACTACTGCAACCCATATCACTACAGCCCCAATCGGCGAAAGGGTCATCTGGGTCGGTTAGCGTAAGCGGTGTTCTAGCCCTACTATTTCCGTAGTTCCACTCACTATCCCAGTCATTAGCATTATCATTAGTGTAGCCGGTGGCCGATGGCGAAGGGCCGATAAGACCGAGTTGGTCCGACTGAAAATGTGGTGCGTAAGGCCCCTGACCGTAACTCTCCTGCTGAAGGTTGGCCTGGTAATCTGTAGAGTGGTGTGTGGGTTGAGCCGTTTAGAGGTGGAGGACAGCGATGGAAGGGGTACCGGCGGCAGTTGCAGAGGTTGTCGTTATTGGAGTTGTTGATGTTGAAGTAATAGTAGTGATAATTTTGGTGGTAATGGTGCCGTTGTAGCAGAAGCCGTTGGGTAATTGGTAGACCCATCACCAATTGTGAAATAAGATGATAGCAGCATAAGCAAAGGTGTACAGAAATAACAGGACACCAGAAGCCATGGACACCGAAGAAATGTCCGAACAGAATGAGCAAATTACGTCAGTGATTGCTAAGGGACCGCAGACTATTAATCGCCACACCGCATACACACGAACTTGTGATCATTCTCGATGTATCAGATCTGTTTAAATGTTCGAGGTACAATAACATTGTGGGTGCACACGAGGATCTGTTTATCGAAACCGTCAGAAAATACCATTCCATCATGGATTTAAATAATACCTTTCTACAGAAATAATTATTCTGAGGCCCAAGGTCCAGGACATCGCGCAATATGACCGCATCTTTCAGAAAATTCTTAAGCAGCTTTGTGCAAATGTTTAGAACGACCGGGTCTGTATTGATTGGCCCGCCTCTCTTAGAAAATGCCTCGCGAAGGAAAACTTTTTAATTAAGCAGTTGATAAAAAGATAAGGTATTCATACAACTCAATTCTTTGTTGATTGCCGCAATTAGGTATGTTTCCCATTCTAATCTTCAGCTAATTCATTTTTCTATCTTAATCGACCCGTAAACAAAGAAAGTTGCAGCACGTGGACCCGTACCAAAAGTGTCACTCACAAACAGCCTCTTTACGAAACTAGAACAGTCACATGGCGCGACATGTCGTCGGACCGTTTTTTTTTATTTCATGATGGCTTCCGGTACATATAATAAAGACATGTGGACAAGTTTCTACGACCAAAGGGAATTTGGTTTGGACATGGGTCTAATTTCAGCGAGATGGCCGTAACACATTCGAAACGTTAGAGTTATTGAACAGAAAAGTTTAAAGAACGTACACTTCTTTCGGGGCACCCACATCGTATACATAATAATTCAAACAAAACATCGCCGTAAATAATATAATAATCTTGACGCTATGCATCTTAGAAAAAGTACAATTTTATCAAAATTCGGAATTGATACATCAAGAATTGATGACAATTATTTTATAATATAAGTGAGCATTAGTCGTTTTAGTTAGGCTGTATAATTCGCATTATTGGGGCAAAAAACTAGACAGGACCCCACTGTCTAGGTTACACATGATTCAATTACCCACATCTTAATTGAGCCCTTCGAAGTAATTCCCGCTCGGTACCATGCACGTATAACGTTGTGTTATCAAGCTTCAAAACAATCTTTTTAGCTCAATGATAAGAACAGATCTTAGCTTTCTGCCTTTAAATTTTCTCAGATTTCCCCGATGTCTAGTGAAACGTTCTTTGGTTGTACTCCTATGGCGATCACAAAACTATTTAGTATGAATTTAACTTTTTGACACATAATATTAACTTTACTTTTTGAAAAACCATGATATGACTTTAAAAGTCTATTGTCTATATCAACATTTTTTTTTCACCCAGTAAAAATATTGCTACATTCTATGCGCTTTGTGATTGCAGTAGCTGTTATTAGTAGCATAACTATTATTATTATTATTATTATTACCATTAGATATGATTTGCTAAACTGTAGATAAAATAAAGCCTAGTATTTGCACACCAGGGTGAATGACGCCACTATAAACCCCGAACATTAATGTCACGGGATATTTAGTACGTATTACAAAATGATCATTATTGCACACTGCAGAATCATTCGTAATATTATCAAATGGCGCAAAGTGTAAGTTGCTACATTGATTAATATTAGATGTTCAACACGTTACAGGAAAAATGCGTGTAGAAAGGCCACGTTTATACACAAGCAAAGCATGTTTAACGAATAGCCAGGCTTTCCGAGCGTTAAATTAATCTATCTATCTATCTATCCATCTATCTATTGGACTCCATTTTGGTTGAATAATCACACATTCACGTTAGAAACGTTAAAATATTATTAAGTTAAGCGGCGAAAACCGTGAGGGGATGTAGCGGCATTAGAGAAGAAGTAAAAACCTTTCAACAATATACTTGCAGTGGCGTCTAACAGTTTGTAAAATAATAAATAGCATTGTATAAAAATTTGGTGTTGGTAGACAGTGGTTAACCATAAAACCCTCTGTTCTATTACCGTGTTCACGGCACATTCTATTCATAAAAATTGTGATACATATGTTACATTGAAAGAGGGGGCGTATTCCTACTGTCGGTAGCAATCATTTTGATGGGAGCATACCGAAAGGGTAAAGACATTAGTAAAGGGAAGTGGAGGCGTTTTATCCAGTCGACGCAATTCCCACACAATCAAGCTATTTGTTGGCTCTCATATGTGATCGTAGTTAGCCTGACGTCGACAACCCGTGACATTTTCAATGTTAACAGCCTCGTCATCATCATAACTACCATCATCATCGAAATGATCGCATGTACGTCGCCAACGTCTTAGCAACCGACATTTATCCTTCCTTATTATCACCAGGACGGCATCTTCCATCACCCACCATGAACGTCAACATCACTTTCATTAGTTCTACTTGCCCCGCCGTGCGCCAAACAGTAATAAACGACGCAGCCATCGTAGTTAGTTACGTCGTTATCTTTTTAACGTCAACTAATAGCATGATCGTAATCATTATCATCATTCTTATTATTGTCTGTAAGAAGCAGGACCATCACGAGCAGATTGAAAAGTACAGGTAGTAGTAGTAATGGGAATAGAAACAGCGTTAGAACCGGTCTTAGTGGGAAACGGAGGGGAGCGGGAGGTTTTAATGGGGGTGCTGTTACTGGCGTCGGTGTTATCTCGATAACTGTCTTGATGATAGCAAACGACGCAGCCGTGGCCCGGGTCGTCGCGTTCGTCGTCATCGTAATTGTAGCCACCACAACCATCGGCAGAGCCCTCACCCCAGACAGAGGACAACAATTGGTGAAGGCGACAGACATCTAGAAACAAATTAGAACATTGTAGAATAGAAAGAAATGACGAAGACTTGTAGGGGGACTCACTGCTGGACTGCGGTAGACGTCGAGGAAGTCGGCCTGAGGGTCCGGTGCGTGGTCGGGGTGTGTAATGTATCCCGTTGTTTTGTAACGCTTGCGGATGCGAGCCACGAGCTCCGCGGCCTCCGGGTGGGGGACGTTTATTGCTGCCACCAGCGTTACTAATCTGGCCTCCGCCTCCGCCAGGCCCACGGCCTGATGACGACGCGCCGCCCTTTGAGTTACCCCCCAGCACGGTGGCTGTCTGGTATCCTCGAAATTTTGTGCCCTAGAAATTCGCAGAGTTTATTTATAGAAGAGTGGAGTGTGTTATCTTTTGCAGCTGATAATAATTATTTTACTAATTGTTCTTTTTTTTACTTTGATTGACAGCCCGACTAAAAACAAAGACTCGAAAAGAGGTCATTCTTTTTTGTCCGTACAAAACAAACCATTGAGTAGCACATTGGCTCTCAGTGTGTGCCCTATTCCGAACTGTATCAAACAAAATTTCTTGATTCATCTATTTGAAAATTCAGTCAAGCGCCCCCTTTAAAATTAACTTTTTTGAGCTCTAAAAGCTACTTCCCTTGGCAAAAGCTCTCAAAGCTCATTCTGGAAGTCGTCTACTGTCATCTATCATGATGGCCAGAAATTGCCTGCGCTGGTTTTTTGTCAAGGTCAGCATTCGAACATTGAAGTAAGTATTATTCGGGACATTCGTAAGGCACCAGCCACGTAGACGTTACGCATGTATATATAAGAAGCAGGGCACAACAATTTGACCATTGTATCTGCTACATTATAATAAAGGTGCGACCAAATGGGATACGTACGTACATCTGTAGAAATATATAGACCGAAATCATGTCCTGACAGGATATTGGATGCAATTGAAAAAAAAGAACGTCAGATTTCTATAGCTTGCAAATCGTGCTTGATAATAAAGATGACGCACCGCAAAAAAGCTATTATGAAGGCGGACTCTCTAAGCCAATATTTATATTGCAGAAAAAAATCGGCAAATTGGCAGGCAAGCAAACAGACAAGATTCGTTTCAAAAAGCAGTCTCCTAAGGTACGTTTCTGCGAAATGTATCACAAACACAGCACAGGGAGCCGCTTCTCTAACATATTCACGATTTGCCCCTCACTGTCGCACAATCCAGGGGGCCAGCAAGAGCTACAACCGCAGCACTGAACTGCCAGCCGTTTTCCCGCTATAGCGTATTTTTCTGACATCAATAGCGTTATCGTACCTAACTCTACGGAGCAACCGCAGGCAAAAGCTTCGACTAAACAAAGTGTCACAGATTATGGCCGTTTGTGCACCAACGTAGCTATACTAATCATTTCATACAGCAGAAGCAGCACTTGCAGCAGTCTAAATAAAAGCAGCAAAAATCTGCAATTATATAGTCAGATATAAGCCTTCTACCGACGCATCCGTACCGCCATGACAGATACGCTCGGTGTAAACTAGTTCGTAGTGCCGCTTTCCACCAATAGCAGCAAAAAAAATTACAACATATTTTATGCGCTGATAAGCGGAACCAGTTATTGTGTGAACGCGCCCAACTGGTTCTTGGCGTTAGAAGCGCCACGGGTTTTGTTCCCACAAAATCTCGAACAGAAGCAGGAGGATGATCAATACGGCATCAAGTGAAGATATCATATTTTATTCTACCTGATAAAATATTTCTTCGAAAAAATGTGCACGAGGGCAAAAAGTCCGAAAAAAAACGAACAGCCATAGGAGATAGATAGAAATGAAGAAAAGTCGCTGGCAGTAAAGAAACAGGAACTTCCCGTCAGCTTATCAATTGAACAGTTGAATGGCCGGCCATCTGTGCCGATTGGTTGTGACAATACAACGACCTTCTGTCGACAGTGAAGCACCAGCCGCGGTGGTTGAAACTGTAACAACAATAACAATTGCAATAATAGTGACGAGGGTCGTCATCGAAACAACAAATATGGCGACAAAAGAAAATTCGAGCGGATCCCGCCGCGGCACAGTAGCCTTTGTAGATCGATTTAACGCGTACGTCCTAGGCGCGGATAGGCAGACGACGATCTAATGATTAATGTAGAGAAAAAGCGATATGAATTGGGTGTAATACCTCACACATTTCGTTCGGCTGCTCCTGTTATAGCAACGCTAATAACGATAAAAATCATTCGTCAGGAAGATTTGTTGGTGAAAGTAGGCGGAAAGGAGTTAACTCCAGGACCTTTCCAAATGTACTCAGGTGATTTATTCGATCCCTATTTAAACGTTTCCATTTTTTCGTCGAATCTATTCGATCATATGTTGGAGAAGTATGGCTTCCCGCTAATGATTATCGTGGCGGTGCCACTGATTTTGCTATTGAACTGCCAGCCAAAAAGATTGGCCGCCGTAGAACAAAGATCAGCAATTATCTTTGTTTCGACTTATTGTTGACTGCGTGTGTATGTCGCTCGATACCTGCCAGCTCGATGCACGGATGGAAAATCTGCAGAGCAAAGCAATAACATATCGTCAACAGTCGAGTTATATCCAATCCAAAAAATCGATTTTTGAGCGATGCGGACATCTAACAATTGTGTTCGATTCCCGCTTGACGCGAAGACTATTAACCGTTAACGGTGATTTTGTCGCAAATCTCAATATGATTAAGTCATAATTGGCTTTAGAACTGTATCATACCGAGGGGTATTGCGACGTCAGCATTAGTCACTGCAGCATTTAGTCTACCTAAGCGCTTGCGTGTCGGTCCAGGAGATAGGGACGCCGTTAAACCTGCTATAACTTCAGGTGTAGTGCTCGATTGGAGATGCGATTCGGTAGTCGAGCTACACCCCAAGCCGTCCGGCAATACGTTTTCGATGCATGAAGCTCAGCTTGACTAACTACCAAATTTCTTATTTATAGAAATTGCTTCCGCATTTAGCATAAATGGATGAAAATATTAGAAACAATGATAACCGCAAGCGTTTGATCGTAGAAACAGTGGCCATCAATCTAGAAGCTTTGATCGTACTAGAATTACGTACGTGTTAAGATAATTTAGAGAATCACTATATTACATGGAGGTAAGCTCACCCTAGATTCGTTTCTATGGCAGTATTTTCTCTCTTCGACGGAGACAGTTTCAACCGATTCAATCTGGTTAATCCAAAGGTACATCTATGCGGTCAATCAATGGCGTAGCACATTTGGTGTTCTCGCTATGCTATGTTATGTTGAACAGAATTCATGCTGAAGTGTTGTACATAGAAAAATTAGAAGGCTGCTATTTTTCTGAGTAAGATCCATTTAGAAATGACAAACAATTCGAATAGGCTCGACGAAGGTTTCGCAGCCATGTAAAGAACGCTTCCGTGTTTTTGCTCGCACAAGATGATGGGGCACTGGAAAGTCAAATGAGGCCGTGTTGATTCCTTGATGGCAGTAGTGTCCCTAGGCCTGGTTGGCTAATTGTTGCATAGATCGACCAGCTGAAGTCTCTCCGTACTTCTGATTTCTTTCCATGAAATCTAAAAGCTAAACAGTTTTACTCTGTACATACAGGATATGGTCTTGTGACGTACAGGACACTTGAATTTAAAGTACAGACTGCAAGGCATGCCATTAATCATCGACTCAGTCGCTTCCTACGTACCTCTTAACAGCACAACAAAAATTAGCTAAAAAAATAAGTGTCCTAAATCTTACATCCGGTATGTACATCCGTGTACATATCTAATATAATTTCACGTATCGAAGTGGTAACACCAACGCTTAGTAAGCAGCGCATACACAATTCTCACACTCAAATTCACCAAATATACTCTTATAACAGTTAAGTGTTATTTTCGACTCGGACGGAAGATGGGTAGTTAGACAGTGACAATAATAATCACTTTATGAAATATTTCTAGTACCGAGACTATTAGTCAGTTGGTGCGAACGAAAGCAGTGCGTAAGAATGGCACAAAAATGCGCCTCCCTCATGATTCTATGCCAGTCTTCAGCCGTTTTTATACATAACAGCGGCCGCTAAGGCACGTCGTGCAGGAGCAGACGACACTAGCAATGTCTAGCTTTATAAATGGTCGCTCTTAGGCTCGTTACGAAATGATAATAGCCTGATAATTTCCTATGGGACATTTGTGTTATTATAATAATCTAAAAATCGCTTGAATGAGGTGTACTTACGTAAACGCTGAGGTGTCCACGGTCGTTACTTCTGAGCGAGCACACGTCCGGTAGCGTCTTCAGGAGATCTTCAAGGGTTCGGAACGAACCCAACGGAATATGCACTCCTGAAAACGTGTAGAACTCATCGTCGAGTCTTTTAAGTGGAATACCGCCTTTAGCGCTGCGCAGCAGATTTCGCAGGGTGTTTGCTAGTTCGGCTCCCTCCATTTTGCTGGCTGCTTCGTTTAAGGTTTCCGCCGCACTCCGTAGGCCAGCTGGCTTCGAGCTACTCTGAGAGTGGCGCATGATAATACTCGTTAGACTAGACGAAACCTTTAGGGAATAAAGTCGGACGCTGTCTTTCTTTCTATATTTTGTTGCAGTTGACTCGCACCGTTAATCTTTCCAGCTCTTTCCCACCAATCAAACGTTGAATTAATGACGCCGTATTAATCCGCTTACAAAGAAGACTGTCACGAATTCCATGTATTTTTGTTAACTGAAAATTATCATCATTTGATTCTGTTCTCGAAGATCCCTCAAAGAAGTAACGAATGCGGAGTAAACGTCAAATATCAATCGCACTGAATAAATCCTCAGATGAAAAAAAGTCAATAAACGAAAACACTTTCACTGATATCTGTCAGCATAGGCGGTCCTGAACTAGTCGAAGTCTCGGAAAGCCAGTGCCAAAGGCACGTTGCTAAACAGATTTGAACTTCACTTGGAATTCAGAAACCCCATAATTTCCTACTTCATTAACCTAACACTGCAGCACAGCCCCTCAGTACCGCTAATAACACCAGCAGATCGCCAGGCTCCGCCCGATCCCGTTAGTAGTTCTTATCCTACGCGCCTGAGATGGACGAGTTTTGTTATAGTCGCATTCACCTCCGAATTACCCTAACGGAGCACCATTACTTCTATGTGAGCCTTATGTTTTCGCTGTTATTTTGAAAGCTGCGTGCTCATGCCACTCCTACGGCATTCGGTGGATAAACGAACGAACAGAGACTAATAGCAAACGGACCTGAAACAGCCGCGGCGATGGCCGCCGCTCTTAGGCGGGGTCGCTTGCCGTAGGTGTTTTCCTTCGTTACGAGACTTACGATTCTCGCTACACTTGCTACGCCGTTCGCTGACCGGTTGAAGACTTATGGCTTTTGTAAGCGCATTGCACAGCGCTGTAGTAATATAGTAAGCAGGAAGCGACGTCACTCGCAGCCACCATCACTTACCAGTACTCTGCTCTAGTCTATCTGTAGCCGTGTGTCTAAGAGTCGACGACGGGTTGCCTGTCGGCATATAGAAAATCAGTTAGACTTCTTTTCCGCCGCCGCCGCAACGCAGTGGCAACGCCATCACCACCACTGCTTCCAGTGTCATCAACGGCAAGTCGCCCGACCCGCGAACGCGTTGTGCGCTAACCATGGTCGTACGACTACATTTACTACAACTGGTTTTACTCAAGGAGCCTACATTAGTCCGGACTGGCACAACCGCTAGCGCGGAAACTCTATGTAACTCCGATGGATAACTCGCTAACGAACTTCCCAGTGGCGCTCAGTTCGCTTGCAACGGCGAATACTGCCCTTGGCTGCAGCAAGGCTGGAGTGACAGTGTCAGCGCGACAGGGATTGCTGCCGTCTGCTGCTTGTCATGGCTAGTGAAACGGTTCCTGACTGCTTCCTTGCTGCTCGCAGTGCTGATTCTATGCCACCCTACTACTGGCTGTCTTTGCTGTCCCAAACTGTAGCAGTAATAAGGACCTGTCTGGACGCGACTGCAGCTCCTCCTAGTTTGCCGGAATTGGTAGTCGTCAGTACAGTTCAATAACTTCGTTATTCACGCAGGCTTCACAGCTAGACGTTCTCCCCTTCTTTCGCTACCTCTTTTTTTGTTTTGCTGTTGCTCTGATACCCGCACGCATGGACAGCCAGTCAGTCCCACGGACTCACAGGGTCGGACACTCACCCACAATTCATCTATAGCAAGGTACCTTAACACAGTTTCCCCTGTAGCAACGAACACGACGGCTGCAGCAGCGGAGTCGGAATGTGGAAAGAACCTGGTAAAGGCCGGCGAGACTGGCAAGAAGCGTTGTTGCTGACGCGAAGGGTAACAACGACAACAGACAGTGAACGCAGCTTCTTGCGATAGCTGTGCGTTGTTTGGCTCGGCCACTCATTAACTAGCCAGATGCCGAATTTCAAGCAGGCCTTAAGCGTTGGGCGGGCGTTCTGCCAAAGCTGCTAATCGCACTATCGACTGACGCTCATCCCGAGCAGAACGCTGAGGACAGAGCTCACAACGGCGTGCAGTACCGTGTGAAGCGCAACAACGATTCGATCTGTAGTTTATGTGAAATTTGCGCAACAGGCCCGCGTTAATGAGCCGGCCCTGTTCAATGTCCGTTTACAAGCTGTTACCGACAGATCGCTGCAGTGCCCAGTAGAAGCACATCGTATTAAAAACGCGTGGACGTCGCCAACCTCGACTTGGCTACTGTAGGTGGACTTTGGAGCTCCACTTGCAGTGATGACAGCGCCAGCGATTTCAGAGCCCATCAGAGAGGGCAAGTCGGTAAGAGGCAGCATAAACACTCGGACCGATAGATTGGCCGCGTATAAATCGGCTCTGATAGAAACAAGGCTGACAAAATAATTCGAATCTAACTCGAATACGATGAAAACAGCAGCGTGTGTTTGATATTAATAGACAAACTCTACTACACAGTTTCGCTGGTGAAAGACACTCCAAGAAACAGTGAAGAAATGCTGGGGTAAACACTAACGTAGATCGATCGTCTCAACTGACTGTGCCTAGGAGGTTGATTATTCTTCCGGCAGCGTCTTTGCCTTTTTGAGACGGGCTTAGAAACTGACTAATCATGAAGCCATTGGGGCCTACCATAGCGAACGGCCAGGCTAGAGACTAAAGGAACTACCAAACGATGACAACTATGAACCTTTCCCGACAGCTGGTCGCAGTTTAGATCAAGCCAAATCTCTAGCATTCGATATGAAAGAATAAGGAAAACGACTGTCCAATCTAGAATTTCTGGTCTGTTATTATTATGTAAAACACGATCGACCGAGGCAAGTGCTGCGGCAGAGATGAGCCGTGCTAAAAAAAATATATAAAAAAACAAATGTAAGAATCAACGGTAATCGGGAACTCGCAATATGCGTTAGGCAGATCGGTTCCGTCACGCGCCCACACGCGTCACACAAATATACTCATACAGATATATAGGGAATATCATAATTAGATTACAGTGATCGTACCTAAGCAACAACTAGGCGTGGTCTTCACTTCCGATGGTATCTGCGGTGTCGCCCATTTTGTTAGTGCTCCATCGGCCTATCCAAGAACCCCAATCGTTGCAGTCGTAGCAGCGATGTCCTAAGAAAAGCGTTTTAGATTCAGCACACCAGTTCAAGGTGCGTTAAATCTTATCAGCTCGCCTAGCTAAACTCCTCAATAAGATCTAGGTTAGCTATAGGCAGCCTTAAAGTGCCAGGCACCTTTGGCTGAGCGTTAGCTAAGGCTGCGTGCGTCTTTGCCAAGGCTTCGTCCTCACTTAATGGCATCTCGCTTAACTGTGTGGCTATCGTTGAGCCGACCGAATGTTTAATGTTGTTATTTTGTTACTCGTTTGTTCACTGCTGTGGCCGGCAGGCTATAGCTGGGAGTGGTAATGCCAAGCACGTACTTGCTTCTGAGATACTTACTACTTCAACTTGCTGTAGTCGGCCGGTCTATTGTCCTAATTTGATGACAAGTCGACACGGTGAGCCTGTGTCATTCTATTTATAAGCTGAAATCGTTCAAAGCATTTAGAGGCACATCAAAGGTGTAAACGTATGTATAAACATGTTCCCTGAACGATTCGTCTAATACAACAATTTAGAGCATTTGAAAATGGTTTTCTGAAAGTGAAGAGAATACCCAATGGATAATTAGCTAAAAATACTAACCCAATAATAATCTAGAACAATGTATTAGTGGATGCTCGTCCGACTGATTTAAACTGAAATCAAGTGGAAAAAAGACCTTGAAAGCGTTGAAGATATCTTCGAGGCCAAAGTCATCACTAGGTTCGTCTAGCATCGAGTCTGACAGATACATACGAAGCTATTCGTCTTACTGTAATACAGCAGTTGTATCAAATGAAAAAAAAAGGAAAACTTCCACAGTCTGTCTCTTCATAACTCAAAGACTATATAGCATTGTGTGCTTTTTCAAATTCAAGGGTACGATTAGTTGCGGTGTCCTTAACATACCATCCTTTGCGACCTAGCCACAGAAGCTGTATGACATTATGTACGAGAGTGCACATTGTTTATTATCAAATTTTTCTACACACTGCCCTAGATTCAAGTAGATTGTGCGGTGAACGCCTACACGATTGTGTGTCCTGGCGACCGTTATTGTTTAACTCTGTTCTCCGCTGCGAAAATTTGTTTTTGTGTTGTTTCGACACTGTACAAAAATATAGGAAAACAGCTTACCTGATATACTAACAGCATTGATGTCGTTTAAGTATGCACTATTGAAAGTACAGAAGAATATTGGAAGAAGAGAGCAAAACTGTTTTACAAGAGGCCCAATTGTATCCGATTAGAAAATCAGCGTTTAGAATTTTATTCCGATACTTGCGGCGTTAAATAACAATGCTTCAGACGACTGGCTTTTAGCACCACGAACCCAGACAACCACTTTTCACTAAGTTCACTACCATGAAAACCAATCGTATTCGATTGATCTATTGATTGCAGCTTGCGACAGTGCACGACTCAATCATAACATTAAAACAAACTATCGTTAATCGTTAGTGACTAGTTATTATATATATACTAACTTATCTCAAGTTATTCATTGGCGCAGAGTTCCGCTGTAGGAGAGAAGATTAAAGCTTCTGAGCTTACTGAGTCTATAAATAAAATCTATTAAAGTATATTTATCTGTTTTTTTTTTCTACGAGTTAAAACTGGTGATCTAGCAGCCTGATTCATCTGAGTTTAAATCAAGAGAATCAAGGTCTTGAAAACACCAACGGTTCGTCTAAGGCTAAATTCCTGACTTGGCCCTTCAAAGATCCCGTCTTACACACACTCACTAAGCTATTTTTGAAAAGGAGAGCTAGCAAACCTCAATAATACTATACTGGAAGTTCAGAACTTGATTCTTAACCGTGTCATTTGACCTAGGCCACGTCAGGTTCCAGGGCAGCTATACCGCACATCGCACTCACCTATACCCAAAGTGTCTGCTCGTCATTTTGTCCTATATTTCATTTTTATATAGGGTTTCAAACTTTTCCAACATATATTGAGCAGTAGCAGACTCATCATAAAGCTTCCTTTTTCCACGGCTACCAACATGTCACTTACGACTGTAGTCTGTCAGAACAACTACTTCTCAGCTCGGTCAAACCCATTCAGATGAGAAAACATACGCGGGGCACATATTATCGACGTTAATATGAGGAACAACAATGCCAGCACCCCACTCGAAATCGTTACGGAAAATTAATCAGAACGAAGAGAGAAAAACCTCACCAATGCGCTATTATTGAAGGAAAACCATGTCAACCAGCAGGTTTGTCCGAACGGAGATGGCGAGTAATCTGCTTTTGATATATTTGCATTCGCCGACCCGACACCATGCACTACTTGGGTATGCTGCATACAAACAAGTCCGTTACGTGCTCCACTGTATCAATGTATGCCTTACGGGTGAACACCACTAACCCACAACTGATTAAACGTTTGTCTCGATCTTCGCAATCACACACGCACAAATGAACATAAAGAGAAGTGCGGATTTTCACTGAGAAAATGTTTTGCGTATGGCAATAAATTGGAACGAACCGTATATGGACTGCTCGTATATTCATATATACCAGTGAACAAGCACGTTCAGTTCTGCCGTACACAAGCGTTACGCTGGATAATAGCAACAGCCATTACTACCACTCGAAGACCATTACGCGAAAACGGCGACCAAGACGTTACGTTGCTCTTCCCTTTGAATATCCACAGCAGAGCTAGTGGTAACTTCCAGCACTTTTGCGTCTGCAAGTTTACGTCGTTGCATTCATCGCTGCTTCTTCCGCAGAAGCCTATGGCACCGTTCCGTAGCAGCTGTAGCTGCAGCAGCGGCAACAACAACAACAACAACAAGAGCCTAAACAATGGCAGCAAGTGAAAAAGGGGGTCTAGCGACGTCACCGCAACGCCGACACACGACAGATCGCCAGGGCCAGAAAGAGGAATCGAAATAACCACAGCAATGCCAACCGTAGCAGCGAGGACCCGTATCGAGCAGCGAAGTTCTGCCGTACCCCTGTTTCCCCGGGGGTTATTGCTGGAAGCGTTATGGACGTCTCAAAAAGTCACAATTGTTTTCCATTTGTATGCATGTTGGTACTATAATTTTTCTAGTAAAACAGAATATCGCGAGAGAACTTACCCGTTTATGCACCGATGCAGCGCCAGAACGTCTCAATAGTACATTGGGCTGAGTTTTATACTCACTCCGAGTCCACCGACTGGTTTAATCTTGCTCAATGTCTTATTCTACTTGGAGACTGGGTGTGAGGGGAGCGGTGTTCTACCCTTCTCTCTAATTTTCTAATTCGTTTCTCAAGGGTCCTTCTCCACAGGTTTTTGCAGACTTCTTCTTATTTCGAGAAAAACAATCATGCTCAAGTAGGATACAGTAAGACAACGGTGATTCGTCACGCGGGAACAGCCCCTATGATGCGACTTAAAACGCACAGCTCCCTAACTTACAGTAAATTCTCCACCTGACACGAGTTAGCGGTCCGGAGATAGCGAACAAGAGCAGATCACTAACAGTGTTAGTGGGCACCACCCTGCCGCTGTCGCTGCCATCAGCGGCGATGCCTCTGCCGCTCTTATAGCATTTAAGCGTATTCTTTGAGTTTACCGCCTGGAGCGCCTGCGTTGGTGAGCGCCAGTGCAGCTGTTCGATTGCGGGCCTGACAGGCGACCCGGGCGGGGCCCACCGGATCGGTTGGGCTCGAAAGAAATCTGATAATGTCTACGGGTCTATAGGCAGCTGACTAGACGACACCACGGACAGTGGGTAGGTAGGTAACTTACGCAATCAAACACAACATCAACACGAACGTAAACAGTAAGGACAGAGTGTGCCTACTGACTTGCAGTTATCGAAACAACAGTGAAGATAGGGCATTCGGCACAAACAAACCTATCTTTTACTGGAGGCGCGCAACACCACATATACATACCACATATATACGTAGATCTAGGATTATTAGCGACTGCTACCGAATGACTTATGCACATGTAGACGCGGCACACTTACCTGATCCGGTTTGTTTGTGCAGGCTGTTTCCACAACAGCACTAAAAAGAACTCTGGGTATCCGACCAAAACGTCGTTGTCCTTTTTTTCTCGTCCTGGAGTATAATACAGACGAGCGCAATCGGCAACACGTTGGGGGTCGATAGCGATTGGCAGGGGATCTGTTAGGGTAGTTTGCCGGGGCTACACAACGACAGCAGCGGGATAACACCGGGGGTAGTGGGGAGCATTACACTGCACTAGTTCGCTAGTTGACACGTTACGCGACATCGGAGTCGAGTTATTCGAGCTGCGTGCCGTTTCAGACTAGAGCGCGCTTCTTGGTCTATAGATTAACTTCACTGCATATTCTCTGTTCGTACGTTTCTTCGGTCGCCTGTTTGCGTCCTGACCTTCGTTGTTCCTGTCACTCACTCAGTTGCTCTGTCAGCTGTGACACTATTCACAGCGGCTGTCGGCGATGTAACCGCGAGTGCTGTTGTAACCTGACAGCTGCTTGCTGGTCGCTTGCGACTTGTCACTGCATCATCCACTGCATGTTTGGCACGGCAGAAAGGGGTTGCGTCTACTGCAGCTTCTGCTGTTACTGGTAGAACTGGGTCTGCTGGCACCCGTTACTAGCCCACGGAGACGTAGCACGCGTGAGACGACAAGAAGGCTGCTGCGCCAAAACCACACACAAGCTAATGAGGGCGATGCGATCCTCTCGGGTATGTTGTCTGCTCCCGCAACAACTGCGGCGGCTTGCAGAAGCAAGTTACCATAAGCCTCTCTAAACAAATGTGTTACCTGCTAGTGTTGGTAATGTCAACATGACAGCTGCGGCGACGGTGGTAACAGCTACAGCCGCCAAAAAACAGCAACGAGCAGGATATTGAGACACTTTCGGTTTAGATGATAGTGAAGGACAACTCTTGGACGGTGAGCGCACCGACCAAAAGACGACGGCAAACCAATGTTTCACACCCCATTCAGCAAAACAGGGGCCAGCGCTAGTCGCTGCTCATGCTTTCTGCTGGTGCGGAAAGGGGTGGGGGTATATGGGAACGCTTAACGTTGAGCGAGCGGAATGCTCCGAATGATGACGCGCCAATGATGACGAGAGATGGGACCGGCCGGTCTGATAACGCGATGAAGAAGAACTTATTTGTTTAATGTATAGTTTTACGAGTTTCTCTGTTTTAAAGGTAAGACATGTCGTTTTACGGAAGACAGATTTGAGTGAATTTTGCATAGAACATCATTTAGCATAGACTGCTCGAACGGTTGCATTAAAAGGTCATCGTTCAGAACATTGTTCTTCCCGGCTCCGTTATGCATTGTTTTTGTGTCATTGCATAAGCAGATCGTAAAGTTAGCCTTTTGCAAGAAAAAAAACTTTTTCAAAATAATTCATATGATAGAGGATGCGTATGGAATTCTGTGGAAGGGTGATGACGGAAATGCAGCTGGATTTAGTAGTGGTAATTCTTTTTGGAGAAACATGAATTTTCCTTATCCTTCCCATAATATAATTGTTGCGCGTTTTTTTTTTTTGTTAGGGACTGGCAGCCTGCAAAAACAGCAGCCTGAATGTTTTTATACTGGAACATTTGCGAACCTTTTCTTTAGGTTAATTGTTTAATGTGCTAACAGCAAACTAAGCGAATTGTTAAGACAAGAAAACGAATATAAACCAATAGCATTTTTGGGTAAGTTTCAACTAAGGTCTTTATAATCAGCAATCTTGGCGATCATATAATAAAAGGTCAAAAGTTATTATTGCTAAAAATAAAGGAAAAACGCATTGTATAGCTGGCGATATTTGATCTTAAGTCACCGAAATACTTGTACCTATTTTTTTTTTTTTATCTTTTCTTTGAACAAATTATGCGTGATTCTTTCGTTTTCATTAAGCTGTCTTTTTCCTTCCTTGAAAATATTGGCTTTCCTATTCTTTTGTAACAAAAATAACGATTTTTCTATGTTATTACTTAGTAGACTTCAAATACAAGAAAATAATTCTTTCAAGAATTTTAAATTCTACGATTCAATTGCGATAGTCACATACCGAGAGTCATTGAACTTCGGTCGCTTAATCACCTAAGGTGACCTAAGGCTCGAAACGAGCAAACTTCGAAAAAGCCTGAAATTTACAAGATTATCTTTTTCGGCATTGAACACATGGAGGTACAGGTCATGGCTTTCATTATAGTTACCTCGTGCTCGTTTAGGTGGATAAAGATAATAAAAATGTCATATCGTTTGCATATCAGAGGAAGGATATATAGATCAATGAGTCACCAATTATATGTCGATCTAAAGCTATAGGGAGGTTTGAACTCTGAGCTAGCAGGTAACACCCTATATATATGTATGCATATATATGTATATCTACGGTTATACATGCGAAACTGCAAGGGCTTGCATCCAGTTTGATTTTACTCCCAAAATGACGCGTGTTAAATTGTTTAACATTTAGAAGGTTGCAGCATCTGCTCATACAAAATTATGCCCCAAACGCCGTTAAAATAGATACATTGATAGCGGGTGTTGTACGATAGCAACATGCCATTTCAGCAACAAATCTGACATATGCCCGTCAAACTGTTGGGGAATTAAAAATACTACTGGCAAATATCACATATAACATACGAGAATTTAATGCAAACGCTTATTAACGGTACGGGCTAGAAAACACAAGTGAGGACTGCCTGTCCTCATTAATTCATGCTCAGTTTCAGATATGTTAAGAATATAGTAATAATGCAGATATTTGCTTAAAGTTTATTAAACTGACTAAACCCCACAGAATAATAATGCCGGCACGCGTCCACGGCTTCATATCTAAGGGATTTAATCATTTTCAGCACTCGTTAGAGAGACGGAACGAACTTCAACGAATCTAAACCTTTGACATTTTCCAACAGACTCGTATCATTTCACTGTGGTTATGAATATTGGCGTTTGCGAACATTCTGACGCGTCGCTGTTACCCCACCAACGTAATTCATAATGCTCCATACCTCTTCTCCCCCCCTCCCCCCCGCCACACACATACACGCTTTTTTTCTCGATGTTGCACTTGAATATACGTTCAATTGTAGCAACTACTATGCTTCGCTGTCTAGCAGAGTGTTTACGTGTTGACGTAGACACCTCCGCGGGTACATTTTGCCTTCTACCGTCGCCAACCGTGGAAAAGTCACTTCTACGTTCGTTACCAGTATGTGATGGTGTTTCAACAGCGAAAAGAACTCTAATAATACTAGAAATTCGGAACGCCACTGCAGCCTGGGGTCGGTGCCCTGGTAAAATCAGGTGGACGCCGCCATAGCACACACTGCATCAGCTACCGCCAGCACATACCCAGCTCCAATTCCTCTCCGAAGCGTTTTCTCCGTCGAAGCTAACCAGACCGAATTAGGGTGAATCGGCCAGTTGATTCGGTCGCTGGCTAGCGCGCTGCATCGCTTAGTAAATATGCGCTGTCCATTTGTTTCTCTTTGGATGTCCCATATTAGCATTGCTAACCATTCCTAATCACCATACGCGCCGTGGAAATGCGTTCGCTTGGATCGCTTTCGGGCGCTGAAATCGCGCCCTTACACCTATACGTGACGATTATGACTGTCGTGTATATATGCTGACAGCGCCCCTCAAATGTGTGGAAAAACAGAAAAACAGATGCAGACAACCTTAATAAAAAGGTGTGTCGTAATTAACGGAAGTCACGATTGTGCGTACAGTGTTACGAGCGTCCGATGGCGTTCTAATGGCGATCGGTTTACTTTCTAGGAACTATGCAGGTGATATGACCCTACCTAGATCCTCGTGTGTTCGGAACTGATTTTTAGGTGGCCAGTAATATGTTTAGGTAGTGGTCAAAGCTCAAGTACGAAAATGTTTGTATTACACCCCACGTTACTCAAGTACTGGGTGTAGTACAGGGGAAGCTGAGGAAGCACAGCCCAAAAAATTCTATAGAATGTTTTCATGAAGGAAATAGGTCTTTGCCAGAAGAAACTGAATTGATTAACATAAACTAGATACAAGGACCCTGTAAGTAGTTAACTGATTAAATAAAAGCCTGGTCGAGTTCCTATGCAAATTCAATTTTCCAGAAATCTATACCATAAATGTCCTGCAGCTCATGGCTATCTAGAGACGATAACAGACTAATATATACGAGTTCAGTTATTTAAATGCTTTCGTCAATTTAAAAACATACACACTATAAGTTTTCACACAATAAGAAAGGATTTTTAATGAACAGAACACTTGTTTCGTACGTTTGAGGTTTCTGGGTGCCTTATTAAAATATTTAACTACTTAGTAGCTGCGCGAATTACAACTTTATTCGATACATCCAACTTAACTATTTTTAAATTAAATTTAATTGACATGTATTGTTATACAATGATATTAAAGTGATCACTGGGAAGTCGCAGCAAAGAGAACGTCCAGTTGGCCTAAATGAGAAATACATTTGCGGAACGCAACATGGCCTTTGGAAGAAGAAAAATCTAATTATTTATTTCATATAATTGGTATCAGTAAAAATGATACTGGTACAAGGGGCCTCGCCTCTGGGCCTATCGTCAGTCATTGTCTTAGACATTTGGCTCTTTTCCACATGAGACAGGGTATGTCTAAGCCCGGTCTCAAGCCTACACTGTTTCACTTAATATTCCGGGATTAGGTTGCCAAACACATTTCCACTCCATCATAACAGGGACGAAATACAGGCAATATGTAAGCAGCAAGTTGATATCATTGCGTGTTTCTCTAGAATTAATCCGTTAATGTGGTATTTATAATAAACGACGAAGTTGCGATATTTAACGGTATCTAGTCCCGAACCGCCTCAAAAATAGATGCACAATACACCACTCTATGAATTTGTAACTAAAAAAATAACTTGGTCTTGGTCCTGGAACAAGATCGCCCTGTTTATCCGGTTGTTGTAATAAAGTGGTGGCATTACTCAAATTCCTGCTTCTCGTTAATGTCAAATGGCCTGGTGTAGGGCGCCAGCGTGTACGGTTGAGGTGATGGTTTAACTCCTATAAAGGCGGCAATGAAGTAGAGGACGTCACTACATTAGTATAATCAGAATTAGACATAGATTATCAGTAATAATAATAGTCTGCATATACTGAAACATGGGTGACTGAGGCTTTGGCCTGAGGTTACAGGCTTTTGTGTAGGTGCGCTAACCAGCAAACGCTATATATACCGCGGTGGAGTGTGAGGTCATTTTGCAACAAATTAACTGTCTTAATTGTCAGCGTCAGTTTGAGAAAGCCGTAAGCTCACCGGTGGGTATGTATGCCCCAAATTGTGACTCGGTCTAAACTGTACTATACGAGATCGAACCAACATCGCTGAAATGATCTTTTACGCTCGTGCGATTTTGATAGCATAGAATGACTACCCTTCGAGTGCATGAGAGATGTTTGTTTGCCAACTATTTTTTACGCATTTTTATACATACACTATGAATAACCTGCGTTCGAAGATTTTTTATAGATATATGAACATGTAATTTAGCAAAAATCAAATATTGCTAAAGAACTGGGAGACTTTTAGAAAGATTATTATGGTTAGTATTATGGCTGGTTATCAGATCATCGTCATAGTGTTAGAAACACAATTAACTACTGTGATCAGGGAAAACTACAATCGTTTATAGCAAACTAATAAATAACACAATATCTGAATTTATTGCGGATACAATAGAGCTTACATCATGACTTATTGACGGTCTAAGGCAATTAACCCTGTTGAGGGTTCCCTTGTGAGACATCAGGTTCCTCAATATCTTATAAAAGGTGCAGATTCAGCATCTGACCACTCAGTCACCCGCTCAACTGGGATACTACTAGGCTTACTTTCGCTTGTGTGAATAGAAAGAACGAATTCGGTTCTATATTTGATTTTTGTGTTTAACCTAACTTTATGGGTGCCGAAAAAAAGATTAAACAACCATATCAAAGCATCTATCCTACTACTTTTGTCCCAACAAAACAAGCATGAAGCAATCCGCCACACAACTCCTATGACAAATATATAAGACTATTGGTCCAGAAAATCGTTTATCGAAAGCCCCCAAAGCATGTTTTATCATAAACTTGTTAGACTGAAACATGTTTATTGTTGTTCTGCGTTATATCAGATAACCTGCTACTACAGAAGATACATCCTAGAACGTACTCGTGTAGAACTGCTTGTAGAATGCAACGTGACTTACCCTTAATATAAATTTGTTGCCCACGACGACAATCGCAAAACGGACAGTGTCCTTCTGTGAGAACACGTCGGCAATGGGTACCGCAAAATATTTCGGGGCATGCATCAGCGCAGAAACATGTCGAACACCCATCTTTTCCTTGTCGAAGTTGGCAATTGTTTCCAAGACCAGAGCAGTGGAACAGCTCCTTGCATTTCTTTCCAGGAGTGGAATCCTTGAATGCTCCCTGACTTTCTGTCGTGGACAAAATACCTGTCAGAATCACTGGTGCGTCCAAATAATTCGAAAGACGCAAGGCGAGTGAGCGTTCGTTCCTTTATATATATATATATATATATATATAGCAGGATTAAAAAAGTAACGACACTGGCTTGAAGTACCTTATAGTAGCTTCAAAAGAACAACCAACTGACTGTAAAAGATAATGACGCGTTGTTGGGTCAATGCAAAACGTTTATCGTAGAAGCATACGAAGATTAGGATATCTACTAATTTCATTAAGCTACCTTTGCAAAGGCTCGTATATATGTCCAGTTGTCAAAAAACTATTGACCGTTTTAAGGCAAAATTTAGCTAAGTAGTTTTTCGATATTTGGAAATAATATCACTCAAACAAATACGCGCCATTTTTATCGATGAGCCTCTGCGACGTTCTTTGCGCCACGGTAATTGCATCACTGTGTAAGTTCTGTGCTTTCCGTGTAAAAGGCTGTTACAAATGATTTTTTTAATTCTTCCAATTAATACTATTAAAATAATTCCGTAGAAACGGAAATCGAAATGGTGCATAGACTGATACTACAAGTTCTTAGTTATACGGTGGACGTATTAGAATTTCTCATTTGAGCTGCTCTCTCAGTTGTTGCCGGCTAGCTAAAAATATCTATGGTGTAGACAGGTTATGGTAAAAGACGACGCTTTCTCGGTTCGGTCGTCTCGATTGCTTGGCGTCATCTTATTAATTGTTGGCAGTAGAAGTCCGAGTCGATCATTTCTGGCTGACGGTAGCAAAAGAGGATTTGACAGATGGATATGCGGTCGAATATAATATCTTTGCATTGATCCATATGATACCCAAACATCGAGTTTTTTTTGTCACCAGCTAACTTCACATCATTCAGCTATTTTGCAGTGGTTATTTGGTTCGTTGACGACATTATGGTTACTCACATGTCGGCCTTGCTCAACTTTTGCAATCATTTCATCAACGTTTTCTGTAATTGGTCGATCGGTACGAGCAGCATGTTATATATCGAAACTTTCAAAACGAATGCGACACAAGCATCTTTAAGTCGCTCCTCCCGATAGTGTTTTTTGACTACGAACATAAAGCAGATGTTTTTTCATGGGTTTAGGCAGCACTTGTACCGTAAAAAAAAAGCGATTTTTCTGCAGACGTGCCATTCGTCTCTAAGCTACTCTACGTCTATGAGACGTCCAACAATTTTAACACATCTACTAGTGCCAAATTTGAGCTTTGAAATGATAGCCGACATAACTCAGATTACCCAAGCTAAGTGACCTTAAAGCCATCTAGCTAGAGAAATGGCGGATACTTTTTCGGTGACTCAATATAATTATAAATATACACGAAGTCCAACGTTGGTCTTTATGTCTCAAGGTTTAAATTTACTTTGAGAATGCATAGTACTAAACCTAAACTGTTTACAGGATGCTTCAGCATTGTAGTTCTGAATTAAAGCTTTCTAGATTTTAAACTGGGTCTCTCGAATCCACGGATGCATATCTATGGCATTGTATACCTCGTACGACTGGCGAACGATTGGTTTTGCCTATGCAGCCCTGTTACTCCTGTACCACTCGAACGAACGGAGTGATTCGGGTACGTTTAGAGGCATATTAATTTCTCTTTAGGAAGAAGCCCTTTGGAAGATTATCGGTCCCCCACCGAATGCTTGAAGTTGCTGGACTGAGCTAGCATCAGGGTGTCAGCCTATATTGGGGTGAGTTTCTAGTTAAAAAAAAATGGCCAATTGTCGCCCATTTCAGCAATGTATCCAATAATCCATTTCCGATGGTAAAGACCGCTGATAGGTCGCTTTTCTAGACCTATTTCACTTTAGGTAAACAATAGAAACAACACTTACCAAGTTGAACCATAGCTTTGCACAGCTTCATTTTGTTCTATTTGTTTGAACACCTCAAACTTACGGATATTTCCAATATGCACAAACACTGAAATTGGTAATGACTAGCGAAACGCTGGACGTTAAATGGTAGACTGGAATAACGTAAAAAATTATCAAACAACATGCGCTGACATCATCAGAAGCTGAGGGTACACTTTAAGACTTCCCAAACGAATCCGTTCTGAAAGAGCTTTATAACAGCGTTCGACATATTGCTTTCTGATCAACACAGATGCCTCTTCCTCTAATATTCGATACCTTTTCTAAGGATTCGAAGTTCGGTATATGAGAGTTACAGTATAATACGTCTAAAACAGTTTAATTGATCTTTCGATAATTCGTCGAAATGTTTATTGATTCTTTACCGAAGCCGTACTATCTTAGTGGGAGAGATAATTTGAAAATATTCTATATAAATATATGTATATAATCTGGAAAAATAAACACTGTTTTATTTAGTCTAATAGAACGGACCAGCTTGTGGCAACACGAATTACTAAGTTGGAAAACCACATTAGAGTGATTTATTTGTCGTCTTAATCTATTCAGTTATTAACCAGACGTAGCTGAAGATTCGAACTAATCAGCGCGTCAGGGCCTTCCCAATTATACGCCTTTGTCAGATCTGGCTACCACTCTCACCTGCAGCTGCCGAATGAAAAGGATTTCGTGTATTTTGATTTTCTCAGAAGCATCACACAAAAAAGAGGCGCAAGGTAATAATTACGTAACGATAAAAAAAAAAAAACAAATGATAGAAGAAAGCATATCACGAGCTGAGTGGAAGCTCCATGTTCTGACCCGCTGCGTAAGACCGCATCGCACAATCTCGCTTCCTACAGAGCCATCTCCTACGCCGTACAGCAGATTCGGCGAGGCAACAGTGAACGAAAGACCAATGTGGCAACAATATGTATTTGATCAGGGTATCCGATGCTGATCCGGCGGTAACATATCCACCGTATCTGAAGGCAAAGCTTATGGCGGCCAATCGCAGAAATATACATGCAATTTTCGATTAACTCACGCATTGCATGCAGGGCCAGGATGAAATTTGCCGGCGACTTTCTAGAGAGAAAAAAGAAAAAGATTCAAGCGTTATATGTACACATATATATATATATATATATGTGTATGTGTGTATATGCAAATCCACCGAATTGGCATTGGTTTTCCTCGAACGTAAATACCTACACATGCTGGATTGTAGGCAATGAATAAACTTTCAGCTAGGGTCGTTACAATGGCCTACACACATGAAGACTGAACATATCAGGCTGGTGTGGAAGACTGTAGATTCTGAACCGAAGTGGGCTAATAGAAGCGTATGGATTCGAACTGTGTCACTTACCATGCAGTATCTGAATGTTCTTAGAGGTTTATCATTGTCGAGTAGGCCCGTAAATAAATCGGAAGCGATCTGCTATTATTGAAGGAAGGCGAATTAGAATCCCCATCACACCACAACCTATATCTACTAGCTGATTAGTTCTCTGTCAACAAAAACCCAAGTTCGACTGGTAGAATGTTATTTTATTTTGCACCATGAGACGAGCTTATTATTGTATTAGAAATGAGTGAATTAGGTGTTCTCTTAATGAATAACACACTGAAATTTTAGGCAATAAAGTATAGGCGCATATGGGGTTTGAACGCATGCAAATATTCGCTGATATATGTCAGATAAGTAATTTATGAGTAAAGCCATGGCGTACGATTCGTGCAGGTCAGACGTCATCGACCTAGAATGGTACGGAGCAAAACGATTATACCATTTATTTAGTGTTCCTCCAGTTTTAATTAATTTTTTTTTTTATAGGAGATGTATGTAGATTCGTATTTACGCGTACACGTGAATCTTTAGACGGTGCTAAACTAATGTTTTATACAATAGATTCACTGCGTTCTAATTGAAGAATTGATGTCATCTGGACATATCTCAAGGTTATCAAGAACGTAATGCACTGTTATTACAGGAACTTCTCGTTTCCGTGTAAAGAAATTCTATTAGAATTTCGGCACTCGCTCATCAGCGAGGCGATAATTCAATGTAGTCGTAACTTAACTTTATTTTACCTACCTGTTAGAAGCGATATAATTTGTCATTAGGACTGCTGTATCTGCTTAATATTCGTCCGTAGAGCAACTTGTTCAGAAATACTATATTTTAAGCCATTTTTTTGTAAATAATTTGTGTCACACGGTTCGTGATTACAATCGACACATTTAGGTTGATGAATGTTAATTTTGTTGAAAATATCAAGAAAGAAATGTTCTAAATCTTACGTTCGATTCTACTGCCTTGGTTCAACAATATTTCCGACGATTGGTCGCTTCGAGCCCGAAATTAAAAGTGTCTACGCCCGCTCTTGAACCTAAACCGCCACGTGCCTAAGTTGAGCAATCAAACGCGTGGCCACAGCACAAATCATTGTATTATATATAATAACCTAACGCTTTATCACTTGATTCTGCTTTCGGTCATTTTTCATTAGGAAACAACAACAAAAGTTAAAGAAGAAGTAACCCATGAATAATTGGCACAAACTGTAAACTATTATCCTTTATTATTATATCTTACACATATATCTCATATATATCCTATTCTATATCCTGCCAACACGCCTCAGACGAGCGTAGTCCACCAACAAGCAAAGTCCGACAACTCTACGTAAAAGTAGCATCGTGTCCGGCGACGGTGAACTGGTAATTGACAGATTGACACCGACGCTTGTCTGCTTTTCAGACGTCACTCCAGTGGAACAGGTGAAGGTTTCGTATTGTTCCGCGGCCTTTCTACCGATAAAAATTTCATCATCTGAAGGAATAGATTGGCATTTTGTTCTATCGTAGCAATACGACGGCAGATTAAGCTGTCTCGATTCTTGACCGGACAATAGGCCACTGTCATTTTGCTTGGGGCTTACCTCATATCTGTACGAGAAAGTTACAGCTTGTACAGAACATACCTTACACTTGACCCGCTGCCTGTGGTAACCATTTTGATGGTAGTTCGTTTTGTTCACTATGTATTTTTGTGACTGGTGAAATATACTGGTATAGGTATTTTAATCGGTGATTTGATTACTCTAATACGGTTTAATCTTTCTCTGTACCTAAAACGTACCTTTTTAAGTTTACGCTGTATAAGTGTCATAGTTTCTGTGGTACCACTTGATTATGTGGTGTTTAAAATAAGACTTGCGTTTTTGCCATCGCAATGGTCGTTTGAAGCACAACGTGTCGTGCTGTCGCGGATCCATCTATGAATGACTGTTAAAAAATGATCACTTTTTTTATTGTGTGAATGATTTATTTAGATAAAATAATTCTACTCTAATTATTTTCTAGTAATTTAATAGCACTGCTATTTTGTGTTTATAAGAAAATGCGCAAACCTACGCACTCTTACGAATCGCAGCGTTCATATTTCCCATGCATCATAAGCATATACATGTCCATATTAAAAATATTACGGTAAAAGTGCTAGTAGTTACAGTAGTCATTACAGTAGGCTTACGAGTCAGCCGACAACTGAACTCAAATCCGCAACTCATCTCTGAGCGATCGTCTTACTCGCCGTTTATTATTATTTAATAGTTTCGTTTAATTAGTTAATTCGTGATTCTATCACACTCCCCGAGTTCGGCTCAGCAAACCGCCCGCTCTCGTTTGAATGTGCGTTGTGTTACGCCGCTCCAGTCGGCACAAATCATCGTCCTCATCCAACCTTCACTCAGGCTTGTTCTCGTCTGCTTTATCTATCCACATATACCTATCCCTAGCAATAGCCACGGCCACAGCAGCTGCGTTGGTAGCCGCAATGACACAAAAACAGTCAAAAGTCATAGCCAATCTCTCCATCCATAAGTAAGGGTCCACGGCCGTTTGCGAGGGAAAGGGCTCACCAGCGCCGACGTCCCACACACAAAATAGAACCCGCTCCGACGTGTTATTGTACGGCTCCGTAGCAGCAGCGGCGTCGGCGGCGGCACGTACAGCTCTGGCATCAACAGCCATAAGCTAAGACAATGGAAAGAATCGCTGCCGCAGGGTATCATAAGCAGACACCTTGACTATGGACGAACTCAAAGGAATATCGTCGTCGTCGTCGTCTTGCTTCGTGTGTCCGTATCGTAGCTATTCGCGGGAGCAGCGCTAGTGTACTATTAGTAGTTGTACACAAGCAGCGAGACGGTGCTACACTGACAGTGAATAGCAAACTGCGCTGGCAACGAAACGATCTTACCATGGGCGCTGTGTACATTGTCTTCTAACCAACAGCGGGAACATCCTCAGCTCGCGGATACCGACAACGGCTCTGCTTGGAAAAGGAGAGGAGCACTACAATTGAAGGAGACTCCGTTACTCAGGAGAGGTCTGCGTGATTTCCTGGCTGATTCTCAGAACTATACTCAGAGCTACCCTGCTGTTGAGCGGAATTAAGGAGCGGCAAGGGGTGAACACTAGAAAAATTGACGTTCGGCTGTGGAGTGCATGTTCGGGTGAGTCGTGCCCGTAAAGATGTGTTCGTGCAATGACTCGTATATAGTTTCTTGTTGTATTTCTTCATTCCTGCCCAGTGATCGCTCTAGTACAGGTAGCTAACTAGGTAGGTAGACAGGTAGGTAGGTAGGGGTTGTCCATCCCTGGGAACGGAGCCGCTTTCTCCAGCTACACTAGTGCCGCTGTTACGTGTTTCGCGTGGCGCTATGACCATTGTGGCGGACGACAAAGAGCGAAACTGCCGTTAACGTGTTGTGCTCGCCTTCCAAAAGAATAGTACCATTATTGCGAAGCGTACTGTGTTAAGACAAAGGGGAACTTCGATTTGGGAACGCAGCGAGCGACGATTATTGAAGTGAACCTGGCGTAGAGGTAACGTGAGTGAAAAACGAGCAGGTCAAAGAGGTAACGTTGTAATGAAGGGTAGCTGTTGGATCTGCGTTCGTAACTCGCTTCGGCTCTGATCTTACCTGGAGAGTCCTCCTGATTCTTCTTAACTCCTTCTACTTTACCATTTTCTAGCAAAGGAACAAAACAGGGTCCTTAGCACAGGAATGTCCTCCTCTGAACAACGAGTGGTAGGTTAGTATCCTTCCAGAAGTACGGGACGTATCCGAAGTGGCGGAGCCGATAGTATGATTATGAAATCATAACCTACAATTTAAAATATATTAACACTAGCAGTATAAATCGAGATCTCGCCACAACGTACCCGATTCAAACAAGAGAAAAGGACCGGCACCACAACGAGCCTCACGCGGTCACTCTCTTTTTTTTTGCTGCCAGTCTGTTCGCTGGAAGTAGAGCTACTATCTGATAGTTGTTGACGCTATGCTAACGGCAATGTTCGCAAATCCGTACAGAAGTGTCCATGAATGTTCGTGGGCTGCCTCGATTGCCGGTGGGGCAGACGCTGCGTGACTGGAAGGAAGTATTCTGCAATAGCATATACTGTGTGTTTCCACGCCCGGTGGGTTCGTGAGGGTGTCACATGCATTTGTTATTAATGCCAAGAAATTTCCTGCCTTGTGTTGGTTGGTTTGCTGCGGCAGCTGATGGTGCCAAAAGCGACAACCGCAAGCCGCCGCCAAGCTACGAACTACTGACTGCGATAGAACTGCGGGGTTGATCGTACGGTCTGGTATTTCTGGGAGACTTATAACGCAATGGCTAGAACGGATGCAATGATCAGCATAACTTCTAGTTATTTAATGTATGCTACGGTGCAATCAACGAAAATTTATAAAATGGACATTAGTGTAGAATAAGCAGAGAGGCAAATGGGCAGATAAGGCGACAATAACAAACTAATTTAGCATGGCAGAAATACGTCGTGATCGTAGTTACCGTCGTAGTACCGATGTGATCGTCAAAGACCCTTCACGCAATAATTATTATCGACGAGGAGTGTCGCTAAAGAGGCAATAGACGTTACAACACCAGCGGTCACGTCACTAAAGACAACAAGATCAACAGTGGTCTTGCCATGGCAGGCGGACTATAAGCAGGTATGGCTGCCCAGAAAACTTTGTTGACTACAGCAATACCTCAGAGCTGACTCTGTCCGGTTTTTCGGACTTTCACTGCCGGTACAGAACGAATTAAAATTTTAACGATTACGCTTATACCAAGAGCTTCCGTAGTACGGCAACTGCAAAATGAAAAATGCAACTGTTTATTTATTGATTTCGGTAACGGCGACTACAGCTACCTCAACTGTCATACTGAAGCCGCGGACAAGACAACGTTAGAACTCCCTCAAACGACTGGAGAGCCTCGGGTCCGTACATCTCCATGCCTTCGCGCGTACTAGGAACGCGCCGTCGTCAAACGCTTTATTGATACCCAATCTGTGCATCCTTTTTAATAGCTACGTATGTGCAGGTGTGTATATCTGTGAATATAATATATAATAATCTCGTAATGGCGGTAATGTGTACCGTACATGTACACGCGAATGTATTGCCGCTGCCTAGTTATAAACAGATGTATCATCCTTCTCGTTGGTTGTCTTAGATAGAGCTCGTCATCCGGACGCTTTTCTGAGTAAGCTAGTTACTCTGTTGCCTGCCGTTAATCGCTGAGAGAAACAGTCAATGAGGTTTAGTAGTAGTCTGCCAATACATACAATGTTATGAATATAAAATTATTGTATATTAACACAGTTAACGTTCAGTGGTCCTGTTTAGTTTTTCTTCACGGTAATAAAGGTGAGACCGAAAACGGGATTTATCTCGATTAGCTTCAACAGCTCTCATGCAACGGACTGCTTCTTGGACAAGTTGACGATAAAATGAACAATCAGTACTGATCAGGAGTGAGTTGGGCGCAGGAAGAGGAACGGCCAAATTAATTAATTCAGGATGAGACGTTTAAAATGCGAAATAGATACGCATGTAATGAAAATGACAATGACATCTTAATCAGCAAAGTGGTTCTGCGTAGTGATTGGTTGACAAGAAGCCGTCAGAAGCAACAGCTGTTTGATCGTCGATGTTTGAGATAGAAGGCCTACTGTAAGGCTACCCCCTGTTCTCGATATGTCGTGCATATAATGAACGGGACACGGATACCAGAAAGTGAAATGCCGTGAAAAAAATAATTGTTATTTGGAAGACATACGCTCGTGAGATAGTCTGTTATAGGTGCACGGTGCGCAATGTGATCCACAATGATAAAAAGTGAGTTAAAGAAGAAAACGCCATAAGCAGTTGGCGACGGAAGGCCTGCAGCAGGTGTGTTAATGTTATGTGTCGTCCTCATTGTCGTGAGGTAGAAGGAGAAAGTGGCTGCTCGGATTGCTAGCTTTAAAAGGTGCAACACACAAGGGGAATAGAACTTGATGTTGCAACTCAGCATGGAGCAAGGATTCACCGGTACCTAGTGCCAATCCAGGGTAAGATATCGGAAAAAACATATATATATATACCTATATATATATTATAAACTCTTAAGTAAATAATCTTAAACTGTGAAATATAGATGAAATATTTCTTTACAAGGCTCACAATAAGAAAACTGTTTTTTTATTATAAAAGACGGAAAAAATCACCAACTCCACACATGTAAATAACTATATAGAACATTGCATTGCATATATGCTGGATAAGTATAATCACCGTATGCATTATGGCTAATTTAGGGCTATTGCTTTAAACTGAATAGAAAATAACGGAAAGAGATACTCTAAATTTGGACGGGGAGTTACGAAATATTATTTTCTGGGGACACAAAACATGCCCTTTATAATTATTACGATTCGTTATCTTCACTTTATACGACTGTAAATCAATAAAATTACAAGGAATTCTGTTTAGTCCCGTTCACAATGCTCCCCCTTGCGCGCATCAGCTGGTCCATTTATTGTTGTACCTATGCACCTGTCAGTATACATATATATATATGCAAGTAAAGTAAAATAGTACGTCCAGTATGCCATGACCGGGTGTCGCCCTATCAGCAAACAGGTAAACGTCTTCGATCGTTTTGCGTTCAGATTATATTGGGGTTGATCGTTCCGCCTGTATTGGTGTTGAGTCATTGAACATCCAGGAGAGGTGCATTCCCTTTCGCTGTGGTGGCATGGACAACAGGCGGCAAGACGCAGATTCGGCAGAACTCCGCTTGGATTAATAATAAATTAGCGAACGAGCATCGTACCGTTCAAGGTAGCTTACTGGTTGCGATGAACAGTTCATATAGAGAAACGAGTAAAAAGATCCATAATAAAAAGATCCAGCGTATTATTATTATACTAGCGTGATTGTTCTACCGGCAATATGGCATGGTTTCTTGAAGACGTTTTTACTTACCTTTCTATATGTATGTTCAAGTATCTGGTAGTTGAAGGAATACGTAGTATTTTTTAAAAGTTTTTTTGATATTTTTCTCCCTTAGTACACGTATACATCGGCACACAATTATTCGAATAGTATACATAGAACGATGCCCAAGATATAGATCTGCATATACATAAATAGGTCATTGTAACATTTAAACGCGTGTGCAATTGCAGTTTAGGACATTTGACATATATATCTGGATGTTCAAGTCTGGGTAGGCAAAGCTGTCTTTTCATTTCTAGTTACTAATAATTATATTTAATTTCGACTGATGTCTGCTTTCGCTTACCACGTTAATAGAAGTCAGAATAATGTACAGGGCCTGTATTTTGGCTGAGGACCATCAGTTTGGGGACGCTTATTATTCACGCATGCGCACTGTTAGCCCCTTGTTATCAACTGTAATTAACATGGAGTCCTGCTGTTGCTTCCAGATGTACCAATCATGCTTACCTAAGTCTTATGAGGAAACCCAATAGAAGATGTTTTGTTTCTTACTCGTAGTCTTTTTGCTTTTTTTTTGGTAAGTGACAAATGTAAGCGGCTTTTTCACATGCCTGCGGAATTTACAAGGATGTTTGATCTGTATTGTAGTGTCTACCGTATTTTCTATGTTGCTAGATAAAAACAATCCTGTCGATAAACTATACGGCCTGAGGACTCCGCCTCCAGCGCAGGTTAATTTTTATTTCAGCAGCGCTGCGGGACCAAGAGTCGCTTCTTCCAAGACAATGATTTACAATTTATAAAATTCTTTTCGACCGCAATGATTAACACCTTTCACGCGCAGATCGATGACACGGCAGAGGTGGTTTTAGGTAAAAGTTATTAGTGGTCAAAATGTTTAATCACTTAGTCAGCCTTAATAGTAAATTTCTGCGTTGGACATCTCGAGGTGTTCTAGTAGGATATACAGTCTGTTCAGTAGTGCTTGTCTACTGATTCTAAGGATTTTCTTATACAACAGATTGTCTTATCTCCGATTCCGCATGGCAGAGGTTCTCACGGTGATACACAGTGCACCGTTTCCATTTTGCGGATTTATGTAAATCAGCAGACGGGAAGGATCCTTTCAGAAACTGCTACATGATGGATTGTTCCAAACTTTTCCGATTCTTTTTGTCCCTGAGCTTGAGGTGTTCACCGGTAGAACAGTTCGCGAAATGAAAACAAAATTAAAAGCAGACGGGCCAAGTGCCACTGCAGTCGCAACTGCAGCTGAAAGTATTTTCCAACCGCTTCTATGTATCTTCGATAGTTTGGTATGGAAGCTTGATAATCGTATAGTCATGTTGTCCTGTTGGCAAATGCGGATACTGCTGTATTTTCTTACAATGTAGTTAAGCTGTTAGGTTCGCTAGCATATCCGCCCAGTCCGGCGTATTTCTACAACTGTCTAGCCTACTCAGATAGCTCAGAAATCGATGCCATTTGAGAAGGACATATAAACAAACGAAAGGCCCCGGTTACGTTTTCATGTAAGCGGCGATTACCTTGGCTGCCTGGCAACGAAGACGTCTTGAGTGGTTTTGAACAAAAGCGTTCCTCATACTTGATTCCTGGCATTTTCAATTTGGGTATCCACAACCTTGTATTTAGTATTCTTTGCGCAGTAGCTGCATTTTCTACATCAAAATTAATGTTTTGAGTTTTACTGCTGGTAGCTGGACGGTAGTTCAGACGTTTGGCCCAGTCCAGCACGAAGATAAAGTGTGCCTTTGCTTGGTTTAGAATCTGCCCAGTCCACTTTTTGCACAGTATTATCCTAATATTGATTGGTAGACATGGAAAAGAATACGCGGCTGCAAGCAAACATCTCAATGGCGTTTTATAGACCATTCCCTATTATTCGGTCGCACAATTTTAACGAACGTTGTTCACCCTCAATTTTTTTCAGCCCAATCGCCTTCAGCTTTACCCGTACGTCCCATAGATTGTCTGCGGACAGATCAAGTGTTTACGGAGATCCGAACCACTTTGTCGACCGCGTACATGTTGGTTTGCGTCGCGCTGCGGGAACAATGGCGTCACTTACCCGACCGATTATGTGTGTTCCGGTTGGCGCGTCCCCGTACCAACTTTCGGCATCACTCTGCATTCGGCAGGAGATTGATCGCTTCGAAAGTGTCCACCCGTCAATCTACGCCGTGTACGATCTCATCGAGGCGTTGCGGGATCATATTATTGCTCAGCAGCTTCGCGAGCACGTCGTCTGCATCGAAGGTATGCTATAGAAGAGGTCAGGATGTTCCGAACAGATGTAGCTCTTCACCGCGTGTCTCCTTCTTGCATGCATGTATATTTCACAGCTTAGAAACTAATGAAACTGATTGTGGTTGCTGATCATCTAGAGAAAGCCTGTAAACGTTGAAAGCGATCTTAATCTGCGGTTACATTTGAAGGCTCTATTCGGTGGTTGCTGGTGATTGTAAAAGGTTTCGTATAACATCGACTAATTGTGCAATGACAGTGTATCCATTGATTAGTGCAAGCGGTTCGAATCTAACTGAAAAAGACGAGCTAGAGAATCCGTTTTTCTGTGGACTACTTAATCCTATAAGATTTCCTATAAGAAGATCCTCTAATTTTAGTAAGCGTTTAAGCGTTCGACCCACGAAGCCTTCTCAAAATAACGGGACTGGCATTCTATATATTTTCATGTAATCAGTTTTGTTTTGTGTATATTTTTGCTTTCATGAGGAATTTGTTAATATATAGGTTTTTAGCCCATCAAATGACAAAATCTCTCGGAAATAGTACATTAATTTTCATAGCATAACAGAAGGATTCTTCGAAAAAAATCAGTAAAATCATCTGCAATGTCCATGAGTTGCAAAAGCTTTTCTATGTCAAATGAAAAATACTGAATATCTCTAAAACAATTCACGACGGTAATACATTTGAACACCATTTTTTTTGCAGATACTCAGGATCTGCTTGACCGATTGTGCCTTTCAGTGTTATCAGTAACGCTCGTCTCAAATATACTTCGGAAAAAAGCCCTATTACATCGGCTTTACCGCCATTACTTGACTCGTCATCATATCTCAGATAAAACTCAACCCTGTTGGCAAAGCCAAACGCGCGTCGGTTTCCATAGAACCCTTGCATGAGCCCTTTTAGCCTACCTATTACACTTTTTGCAGCAACAAATGTTATAATTTACCGTTGGCTGGTTTAGCATACGATTCGCCCACCTGCGCCAATTCCATCTTTATTTTTTGGTGACCGCAACATCGATTCCATCTGCTGTTTGTCTAGACCGAGTGGTTTTGCTAGCCTGAAAGTGGTGGCCAGAAACCACAAAAACATCAACCAGGGATTGTCAGTATATAAAGGTGTCCAGGAAATATTTCCTGCAGTACGCAGAAGCTATCCGCCGTTGATGGAATCCGTCGACGTTGACTGGAATCAGTCGTACGGCGACTGCCGTGCACTAGTGGTACCCGGTAGCCACTGGCTAACGGAATCAGGGCTATAGCGTAGTGCTAATATTGGCTGTGTTGTCTTCGAACAGATCCTGTAGACGTACAACATAAGAATGTATAAAGCTCGTCAAATACGCAACATTATCGAATAGACTCCATATTAGAAAAGCTCTCCTGGGGCAATGGAGTATGATGACTGGTTGTTTGATTGGTGGCCAGAGGGTCGATTAGACCTAATCGGACATGGTTTTGTCACAGACGAAACACTGGAAAGCACAAAAAGAGTAAAAAATGCTCAAGAAAAAAAAAATCAGAAGAGGCAGATGGAACCGATACCTGGGATTCCCCTACGATGTACGTTTTCCAATACTGCCGTCTATACTTATGTTATCGCTTGCTGATGCGTGTATAGGATTGTTCCGCCTGAATTTTTTGCTATTTCTGGAGAGTGGTCCCATACACACATACGGAAATTATAGGTAGACATAGAAATAATGCCATTGTGGCTACTTTTTTACTTTTGAATGAATAAAGCAGAAGATTGGATTTTGATCGCAACTTTATCCATATGCGAAAATAGTGTTTTTTTTTTGAAGTTGTTAGGATGCAAGAAAAGCATATAATAGTTGAGGGCAAATAAAGGAGGTAATATAAAGAGGTATAAAATACCTTTTTGATTTTTTTTTTCGTCATTCGGGGGAGAGATGAATAGCGTTTTTTAGAGATTGTTTTGTGATTATAAAATATGACCTCCCGGGCTTTTACGTAAGGCTGTCCATTATAAGCTTCAAACTGTTTCTTCGTTGTTACGCCGAATTCTAGTTATTAAATTGTCGTTCTTGGATATTTTTGAAAATCTGCTTTTTATCTTGATAGAAATTTGGTGAGGCAAGAACTCTAGAATGTTTCGGGCGTACGCACCTTGGCTGAATTACAACAAATTTAATTTTCTATTTCCAGTAAACTTTAATTTTAGTTAGAATGTATCGCGTTATTCGGAGACACCTCTACATCTAAGATCAATATTTGACACAAATTAGTTAAGTATGTTACGTTTTATTACCTACTAGGATGTTCGGAGTGTATATGTTTAACATCGGTTTGAAGCATACGGTCGAGACTGAACAGCTCTGGCCGTGATGCTGACCGAATGTGAAACATTTTTAATTCTTTTATTTGCGAGATCAAGTTTGCAGGGTAACTTTTTCGAGAATGCCTACGGCTCACGATATGTTCACTTGCTACCGTAAAATTTCCACACTTTTTGCACTGGTAGTCACCATAGTCTAATTATGTCTAGATCAAATAAGTAGTTCTTCCCAGATCAGTATGTATCCACACAATTTATTGCGTTTCAGCTTATCTGGATAAGCAGCTAGACTTTGCCGCTATATATATATTACATGTACATACTCTATGATGTCAATATACGAATTTGTGTGTTGAGCGACGCTGTTAAGATAATAAGAACCATCTCTTTATATCGGGGGACATATAGTAAAAAATAAATTAGCCGAAATATGAATTTCGTTTTTATATTATAGATGTGACTCGATTTTCAGAGCTCAGATTCACACGGAACGGATTCTACGAAATGGGTCGGGTATGTCACCCTATTTTGTTTTAAGACAATATAACTCCATGCCTCCAATCACTCATTATACATAACATTATATAAGTAACATACATTCATAAAACGGTATTACGCATATTACGTAAACGCAATCTTCTACTGTATTAAAACTATTTTCTGTGGTCATCATTAAACATTGAAAAGTGCATTTCAATATAATTTTGCTCATGCTTATAGATGCAAGCGTTCCCAACGAACCCTAAGGATGCTGGCCTTATTTGAAAATAACCAAGCATAGCATTTACAGGACAGCGGAACTGAACTATGATTGGAAAGTAAAAGGCCAGTCCACAGCAAAATATTGAACGGTTTAATCTGAGTTCACGTTCGTAAATTTGCGAACAAAAATTAAATCTAGGTATTTGCTATTAGAACTATTTTGATAAACTAGGCGCAAAAAAGGCGTCGACGCTAAATACATCGGCACATTATGTTTGCAAATATTCTCTTCGGATTGTAAGGCTTTTCAGGCCACTCGCTTCGCGCCAACGACAGCGAGGTGCCTATTCATCGTTTTCATGTTCTATTTATTCTATTGCAAGAAGCAACCATGTTAGAAAAAAGGTCACGCACCTGTATAATTAAAAAAGGTATGTTTTTGAAGTGGCGCGGATCCAGTAAATATATTTAACGAAATACGCTGAAATTCAAGCGGCCAATAGTACCCGAACACGGTTGTAGTAATGGAAAAGGCGCCAATCCATTTGCTTTGTACGTTAGCCGCCACTCCCTTAGTAGTGACGTGGGTGTAACAATGTCGATTTTCAATGTGCCTATGTAACTACGTAATAAACAACTTTGTATAGTCTTCCAAAGCTGCGTCATACTACTGTCAAATGACCGTTGGTTGGCGGTAATCCTGTAGTATAAAACGTCCTAGTGCATAAATAGCTTTCTATATCATGTCATGATCTACATGTTCCTACAAGTGCCCTGCCCCGTCTATTGAGTCGATCATAACATGTAGCGATATGCGTGGGGAGCTGATGTCATGGACTTAACAAGCATGATAATAGTGATAGTGATAGTAAATGACCTGCTGCATATCTAGACGGTTCCGATAATTTAAATAGTATGAACAGCTGTGAATTACTGATTTTACTTTAAGGTGACTAGATAGAAAGAGAGACATAATGTTATTAACAATTTTTCGAATAGGTGACTTCCTATAGGCAGACTTGCAAATTATACTGATTTTTACCGTTAACGTTTTCTGGTTGGATCGCCTGTAGTGTTTGGCTAACGGCTAGCAATACTAAGACAATCCCTAAGTGGAATCGATTATAGATTTGGCTAACTTTTGTCAAAGCAATTTTTGTTTTCACTGCATTTCGTTCGTGTAGACGCTGTTGTTTTGCCGTTGAACAGGCATCGACTGTGTATCATCAAACTGCCCACATTTGACCTTAAACTTGGAAATTCTAGTTTTTCATTTAATGACCATCGCCTATAGGTTAATGTCTCCTGCAGCTGAGCGATTCGAAGACGCTAAGGTCAATCATGCGCAGAGTTCCCGGAATCTCAATCGAGTTTCAGATCGCTCAGCGACACTGTCAAATATTACTTGGCGCTTCTAAGAAAAAGCCTTACGTTCGTAAATAATTTATTTGCGTGGAAACCTGAAGTTGGTTTGTATAATCTTATACAAAATTTCACTGGCTCGTTGAAACTTCGAGCGTGAAAGCGTTCGAGAAACCTCTGTGCGATACTTACGTCGACGAACTCAGTGCAACATTACAGACGATCAATGAAAATAAAATTAGTATTATTATTAATCTCCAAACACATCGATACTAGCCCTTAGCTTTGCTTGTTAAATTATTCCTTTCACGATTAAAATATTCCAAGATTATTGCACTCTTACGCGTAGTTTTTCCTGTATCTTTCCAATGCAGGTTTGCATTAATACAACACGTTGCTGGAATAATGCGTAATGCATATTCATATATATATATGAAATTTCACTATGCCTCTAAGACTTCCGCATTCACGGAGTGGATTATAGCGATCAATTAGCCACCAGAGGGCGGCTGAGCGATGGGTATATGGCACGGTTTGGGTTATCGGCCGGCCTTAGCGAACTTAGCAGATCCGACAGTGACTAACCGAAACAGGATATAGTAGGCACCGCATTCTGTTGTGCGCTTACCAGAATGGCTATCATCGTTTTAGAACGAGCGTTGCGGTTTGAGCTTCTAGAATTGTTCTTCGCCTAATCTTTATAGAGGATTTAGTAGTAAATGGCTCGTAGTGACTAATATGCGTTTTATTGTTGCCCCATGATCCACATGTTTAACAAACGAGGCTATACAATCAAAATGGGTTGCTATAAAGCGAAATATGGGGGCCCTCAACTTCTCCGGTACCCAACTCTGGCCTGAGTTGTCTGCTCGTTTAGGCGGTGTAATCTATTGTTATTGTTGTGGTAGAAGAGGGCGAAAAGGAAAACGAAGTAGCTTTTTTTTAATAGGGAAAAGCGCAAGCTATCCGGTACTCAAGTACAGCATATTGGGCTATATAGCGTCTGCCCATACAGTGCTATTATAGTAACACCGAATATGATATGTGGCGGCGTCTTGAAAAAGAGGTATGACTGTGGTGATATATATATATATATATATATATATTAAAGAAAAAAAAAACATTTTTGGAACATCTTTTCTCATTATTTCATATGATTACTGATACTGTATGATAAACTACACAGATTTTGATGAAATTTGCAGGAGTTAAAAAATGTCGCAGTAAAGCACAAGTTAAGCTATCAGGGACACGTTTATCTAAGAACGTCTACTAATAGTGTCAATAGAAAAATGAGAATGAGAAATAGTTATTGCACCTTCCTTTAAGCATAAGCGTATTCTTATTTCGTACCCGGGAATAGAGAAATGCCTGAATTTGTCGTAGAGAAGGATAAACTTAATAGTCAAAGTGACCTGATCCATAATTTCATTCGATGAGTACTTCATGTTTAAATCTTTATCGTAGATATTATATATACATTGACCGATGATAAAAGTACAAAAAGATATTTCTTTTATTTATGTTTATGGCAAGATCTTTACTTCCCCACAGAGGTCTGAAGAACAGACTTCCATTCAGAAATTCCTGAACAGAATGCAAATATGAATGTTTTTTAAACCTTCGAATCAGCCTTAGTACCGTTCGGTACGATGTTTAGAACGTTTGATGTAGGTACGGTATTGTGATTTTATCTAATCTAATCACCGTATCTTTACCGTTTTCCTTTAATTTGATTCTGTCCATTTCAGATGCATTTGTCAACAGTCCAGAATGGACGCTTAGCCGAAACGTTCCTGATATTCGATTGGTAAGTGTACTTAAATTTAATACGGAATCGCATCACCCGTGTTCTGGAGAGTTATCCCTCTGCGTCAAACACGCATGGTTTAGCAGCGTATCGCCTAAGTGTTACAACAATCAGCTGGCTCGTGGAGTGCCACGGGCCCATTGTGAACAATTGAGATAGTTCAACCTCCCAACCTTAACTAGCTTAAAATGCCTCTACAAGGGTTTATTCAAGTTTGCGGTCCGAGAGTTTCTTTGAAAACTAGTTTGAAGAAATTTAGGTAGCTTTGGATAACGTTTATTTGAGTGGACAATTGAATAGTCTCAAGTGCGATGTTAATATCTAAACATAGATGATTGTTTGCACCAAAGCAGGTCAATTAACAGAGTTAGTTAGGAATTTTGTTAAGGACGACAGAGCCTGAAAAGTTTTTCAAGATCTCCAAGTAGATCCAAGTTATTAGATCTCTGCTGGTAAATCTTGTCCAGTCATGTCAATCGACGCGCCGAAATATGCGTACTATTTGTGCTAAAAGCGGCGGAGTTTAGAAGTATGTTTAAAGTGTAAAAATCCATCCCAAATACGCACTTACTCGCGTTGTTAAGATATTAACATGTACGATTCGGTTACGCCGCTGTTTGTGCACACAATTAAAGATTTTTTCATCATATAGGTCAGGAAAAATTAACTTGCTTAATTAACATAATAGATTAAGCTTACTTGTTATAGAGCTGAAGGTATCACGGTGGCTGGCATAATATCTCATTATTAAAATGGGGCATATTTTACTCAGATTTTGTTATTTCATAACCCACCTACCGCAGGCAAAAGGGTAGGCATGTGTGGATTCAGTACACCGCGGTCTTCACCTTTTCCAGCTGTGAGCTGTTTTGTTCAATACTGCCATTACTGGAGGCATCTCAGGCGTCCTGCAATCAAAGCGATCTCCTAGCGTTCGTCCGTGAAAGGCCCATAGTCACATTAAGGGTTACATGAGAGTATTTTTGTTGTTTAACAGCGGGTTGGGCCTAGTAAACTGCTTATGATTTCGCCCCTTCTTGGCTGTTTAGCTGTTCCATTACTTACGTATTGAATAGTTCACCATTCTGGTTAGTAGATGTTTTGTCCGACTTTATTCGGGCTGTGTAGTTCCCAAAACAAGCGCATATCTCGCCTTTATGACAGACAAAGGACGCATCACCGGTTTAAGATAATTGACCCTCGTTCTCTACGGCATAGATTTTTGCCGCAGTGCGCAGGCTTAAACATTTGCCGTAGGTGGGGTATCCAGATTCAGTACTAGAGAGGCACCAAGCACTACTCCTGTAGTGACGAGCGTACGCTATTTGTAATCAATGCTGACGCGTCATGAACTTAAGTGCCAAGGTGTACAGTAAGAAAATGTACCTGTTTCACTAAGACTTCGTTGGACGTGAATCCATTCATTTGGTTCTGACAGAAAATTATTTCAAAAAGTCATTTCTATCAGTTTTGATTATTTTTGATGTAGCCATCGTGTGATGCTGTTGCGGATGCGATTTAAATGTATTGTGAGCGAGTATTGTTTAATTGTTTAATAATGATGTGTCAACATAAAGGACAGTCAACAAACTTGGCTGGTTTTGGTCAGTTTCGAGTCGTTGACAGATTGACTGGTATTCTGGTAAAAATATAAATTGATGTGTTGCTTTCAATATATTGTTGTATCGCAATTATAGTAGCTGATATTATATTATAGATACTAAGATATCAAATATTTGCACTCTTTGATATGGTGATTTGAATTAAGAGACGATTAATTTTCCAGATCGCCATATATTTCCTCTGGCACAACTTGTCTTTACATACTATAAACATTTCTATAGATGCTGTCAAGGCTTACTGTATACGTGAATTCTATAACAACCGGATTGTCTCGGCTGACCAACAGTCCTTTCCCAGCAAGGCCAGAAAGAAAGTGAATGGCCGAACAAACTACTCAGCAACGCATCGACTATCTTAACAAAGCAAGTAGTATTCCCCAAGTGACTAATGTCGACTCTCCACACCTATTTTCGATCGTGTCGCACCCAGTAGCTGCTTCTGTGGCTGCTGAAATTGTACGTGCTTTGCGTGCACGTTGCTACTGTTACCATTCGGCTTCGGAGACGTTGCCCCCGCTGCTGGCAAAAATAAGAAGAAAAACTTAACGAAAAGTCCATTCTTTTTTTACTTTCCCCTCATAAAGCAGAGGCAGCTTCACAAAAAGCAATCCCACAATGAAAGCAACGCAGAAGGCTCCGTGACACGCAATATGCTATCCAGCCACAAATCCATTTCGTATAGGCGTGCGATCTATTCTGTGTCATTCCGTACGCGAGGAAAGGATAAATGGCTTTTGTGAGGATGGAGACGACGAGAAGTGCAGAAACTATTTACCCCCTGCTGATGAGCGTCTGGTTGGATAGCTCTAGATAGCTGACATTCTGGTTCTTGTGTGCAACTGGTTGTTTTGTAGCGATATGAAGCTATGGAATGCAGCAGACGAACTTAGTCGGCGCGGACAGCAACTGCCACAATGGTCAAGCAAGTGAGCGCGGCTCTTCTATACAGTGCGTTCCCTTATTATTCAGTAGGCTGTTCGCTAGGCTGCTGTTGTAGCAATTGGCAGTACCGCCAGTACCGTACGTTGCTCAACATCGAATTGGGCAGACAAGCATCTACATCAGAACTACTTGCTTGTTTACTTGATCTGCATCTTTTCGTCGTCGTCGTCGTTGTTCACAGCTCCGGATAACTGCTCGGACCTAACCGTACTTCGGTGGAATGGCTGATCGTGGTCTCTTAGGTTAACGTTTTTTCTACGACACGCACCACGATTGCATACACGGTAATATAAAAGCGTGCCCAGTTGTGTTCCCGTGATGTTCTGAATCGACTTTCTAGACTCACGGAAAAATACCGCCTGGTGTTTATTTCTAACTTTATCGAAAAACGTCACTGCTTAGGTTGCTAGTTTTCTAGGGGGAGCGAAGAGTATAGTAATCGAAAGTGATTTGTATTTTCATGCATCGTTGCCGCTGCGTTGGTCCTGGGAAGGACTGAACGGGTTTCAGGGTGGCGGATATAGGCTCTAGTCGCTGCACTCTGCCAAACATTATCGTAAATAAATGACTGTGTTCTTGAGTGTTATATTGACACTTAATAAATGTCTACATATAATTTCAGCAACGTTAAACTTCGTCGCCATTGGCATTTGATAATGTATTACAGAAAACATTGTCAAATTATTGGGAAGCTAGAATGGATGCGCCTGTGGAGTGAATAGATAGGACGTTTAAATAATGCAGAAGGTATATGCTATTTGTCTAAAATTATTATTTGCTCACACTTCTTACATCGCGATGCGCCTTTCTTGCAGGGTGTCCTTGGCAGTCTCAGCAGCGGCAAATCATCGTTAGTGCATCGTTATCTAACGGGTTCATTTATTCAGGAAGAATCGCCGGAGGGTGAGTTTTATTCGATGCGTAATATATATATATATATATATATATATATAAATATATATATATATATAGTGTACGTGTTAGCTATGACATCAGACATCACGTTTTTCTGATAACAATGTACACGTTTCCTGCGAAAAATGGCGAACTAGCTTACGTAAGTAAAAACGAATATGGTGATTCGCAGCATTGCACTCGAATATAGTTTAAACTTAAGCTTCTTCGAAACGTTCGGCCGTGTGTCCCTTTGTACTTTCAGTGAGGGCATCGAGTTATATCAATAGGTAGCATTCAGCGTAGATTTCCTTAAGAGTGCTGCAGCGTCATATTGGCGAGCTGGGTTACTAGATTACGAGCTCGAAATATTGTTCATTAAAACGTTAATAATCATAATGAACATTTGCGCCCATATTTCTTTAATAGGTGGACGCTTTAAGAAAGAAATATCGGTGGAAGGATGTGGCAGTTTCCTAATGATGATTAGGGATGAAGCCGGTTCTCCGGAATGGCAGTTTGCACAATGGGTCGACGCCGTTCTGCTAGTGTTTTCCTTGGAAAATGAAGGATCGTTCCAGGTAAGTCACAGACGAAATAGATCCTGCAAAGTAAATTGATATCTTTTGTAGAACAACATGTGCATTAACAGTACGAGACAGCTATGATCATGGAAATAAAAGTGAAATTCACAGTTTACAGATTTGACATCGACGTTTCATGTTGCATGTCCTGCGGTCAATATCGATATAAAAATGCTGATTTTTTTCAGGAAATACTCGCCTTTTACAAGAAAATGAGAAATTTTCGCAATGACGTCCCGGTAGTGCTTGTCGGCACACAAGGTTTGTGCTTATTGAAAGGCCATTCTAAGGCCGCATCTGTATACATTCAAACCTGCTTAATTTTCATCTGGTGCTGGCAGTTAGTCTTATTAATTGAGTCCTGTCAAGTTTTCGTATCGAGTAGATACTTTTTATAATTTTAGTGCTTGATATTATATTTCATTTTAGCAAGAGCATTGCTTGTGTGACACATAGATTCGCAGATGAAATAACGTACCCGTGGTAATCGTTTAAAATGCAGAACTTATTTGCTCGTTAAACAGATGCAATTAGTGAGAATAATCCCCGCAAGATTAGTGATCAAAGAGCGCGAAAGCTAGCTCAAGAACTTGGCAACTGTGCTTACTACGAGACCTGCGCTACGTACGGGCTAAACGTTGAAAAGGTGAGTCATCTTTCATCAACCATCCACTAATTTTTAATTGACGTCTCGTTTTTATGTATGCTCTCCCATAATGTTTGCTCACAGTACTCAACAATAGAACAATGTTAATCAGCCATTTCTCTCTCGTTTTCACTTGTTTCAGGTGTTCTCGGATCTATGTCATCGCCTGGTTGTTGAAGGGGCCTGGTGCAATCGAACCGGAGTAGGTGTCAGTATCGGAGGTCCTTCAACCATCAGTTCTGTATCTTCGGGTGCTCCGCCAGTATCAGGCCCAGCCTCCACTTCGCTGAGTCAGTCGCAACAATCGCACAGCCAGGATGACACTCAGCACCAGCCGACGAGTTTTTTCAGTACAGCTGAACGTCAACAGCTTCAGCAACAGCAGCCAAATCAACCGCGGCAGTTGACGCCCACGTCGACGAGTTCGGCCCAATGCCAGCTATTGCCAACGACGTCACCTTCTGGTTCAGACTGCACAAGCAAAAAGCTTTCCTTGACGCAACCCGAAACGAGCCCGACGCCTGTCGGCGGGCGCAAAGCCGAAACGCCATCCAAGTACGAACATTTGTAAATACAATGAAAATAGTAAATTTATCTTAATATTAGTACAACTAATGCACACGCATATGCGAGAGTTGAAAGGTTCGAAACCCTGCGACTTCATAGAGCTGGCCTCCACCTACTACATCTAAGACGACTGAACAGGTAGTGCAGAATGAAACACGGGCAAAACGTATTTATTGGCGATTGTAAAGTTTTTAAAGCTTTGGTTCAAAAAGTAAGTGTTTCTGAAAGAAATTTTATAAAGGTAATGTATTTCACAGTTGAAAGTAGAACTTGTGCCGCTATAGATTTATCATATGTGTATAATACTAATTTTTAATATATTAGAATTATTGGTATTATTCTACGTTGTATAATTCTAAAGGCCCGCAGGTGGTTAATGAGATACGAACGCGGTAAAAGCTTTGATTTCTAAAATTATCGTTACATATCTGTACCAAGCAAAATTATGTCGCCGTATTCTTAAAACTAGACCTCTGGTTATGGTTGTTCATTACACATTTTGATCGTAGAGCTGTTGTTCAATCAGGATTTCGAGTTCTGTGGTGTCCCTGTTGGATTTACGCACAAAGATTAAAGTGGGCCTCGATAATCATGTTCATTGCGTAGCATTTTAAAATAGCCTTAATATAGCCGAATTCATTGTAAACTTTTACATGTTCACCTCAGATTGGAAGGCCTAATACCGCTGACACCATCACCGACATCAAAGAGCTGCGACTCGAAGCTTAGTCTGGTGACGGATAAAACCCCAGTGGGAACGCCAAACGCCGCTAGGAAAAACAAGAGAAGATCAAACCTGTTTGTGAGTCGCGTACAATGTTTGCTGGACACATAACAACATATTTTAACTGCTTTAGTATATATGACACTCTATGGCGGAATAAAACTAAATAACTGGCATCGAGTCACTAGACAAAAAGGGATTTTTATTTCATAAAATTTGTGAATTACAAATAGTACTATACCTTTTTGTCATCAACAACAAATTCATATAACAGTAATTTGATACTTTGTTTACGTCTTTAGAGCAAGGACAAAGACAAAGATCGAGACAAAAAAGACGTCAAAGCCAACGGAGGTAGCGCGGCAGGCTCAGGAGGTAACTCACATGGTGAGTATGGAAGCGGGAGATCAATTCCCGTTAAGCAGGGCTACTTACTTAAGAGCTCATCGAAGGGTCTCAACAAGGAAGCGAAAAAGAAGCGCTACGTCACTCTCACGAAGGATGGAATACTAACCTACCACGCCACAATCAATGATTACATGAACAATCACGGTGGAAAGGTACGTGGTTTGAAAAGTGTCATTGTAACTTACCTCGTACGCCATCCTATGGATTTTCGCTTTTTCAGGATGACAGAATGACCAAACACGAATGTTTATAAGCTTCTAAGTTTTTCAGGTGGCCAGGTCGCTCAAATGATTTGTTCCATGCCACCTATTGTAATAATTCTGAGTATATAACAGATTAAAACGTTAATTCATGGTTCTAATGCGACCTTTTGCAGGAGATCGAACTAATGCAGACAACAGTGAAGATCCCGGGACAGAACCCGCGAGGGTGCCAAAATCTTCGATTAATCCCAAATACAAATCCAATTCTTTCGACCAAAGAGACCCCGTTGACGAAAAAACGGTCTCATCACAAACGAATTAAATCGGGGAGCGGGTCGAAACTGCTTGAAGACGTTGTCCATGGGTATGTACCACGAACTGGCATTCACTGTGTACAAAACAGCACGCAAACCAATTACAATCCAGGGGTTATCATTATGTTTCTAATTAAGCTTAATGCCTGAATTTCTAACGTGTGCTGTTTAGCAATAAGATGAAAAACAAAGCCATCCTTGTGAACTTCCACAGTGGCCAGTCTGGAAGTTGCGGAGTTGAAGATCTTGAATTCGTACTTATCTCACTTTCAACGAAGATGTGGCGTTTTGAAGCGGCTACAATGGAAGAACGTGATGAATGGGTTACTGCAATCGAACAGCTAATTATGGACGCGCTCCAGGCGTGCGAATCGGCCCGTGCTGGAGGTGGCGACGACATTCAAGGCCAGCAGCAGGCTATCAACGCTTTGAAGTACCAGGTAAACATTGTCCTGTTGGCATAGGACAAGGGGAGTAATTAGGGCATTATTCATCATGACCATCTCTTGTGGAACCCCTTAGTCAGTGTCTGACGTTTTTACATCTCCGCTACTGCAGTTACGCATTTTGTAATGTCAATCAATTGATTTTTAAAGTATTTTGCAATGGATTTGAGATTGACCGACGTCACATTTAGTATAATTTTTTCTGGTCATATGTTGACAGCCGGTCTTCATCGTGCCGCAATGTTTAAACCCAGTATGGCCAGCACTGGCATATCAAAACACCTTATACTGTACCTTAAATTAGCCTAGCACGAGATATTTTACTTACTTTTGTTAATCATATCTTATATAAGGCATGATTGGCCATAGCGGAGCTTGGATAGCTGTTCCGCAATGTAGATTTTAATTGATTATTCAACGTCTTCATCGATCTTTATTATAATGCATATTTGTTTCTTATTAGGTTGCTGGAAACCGTCACTGCGTTGATTGCGATGCACCCAATCCCGACTGGGCATCGCTGAACCACGGCGCCCTCATGTGCATCACTTGCTCAGGAATACACCGCCAACTCGGTTCACATATCTCACGAGTCAGATCGCTCAACCTTGACGACTGGAGTCCGGATCAACTAGCTGTGATGGAAGCTGTCGGTAACGCTATGGCAAACGCCATATGGGAGGCCAACACTCGATCAGAAGAGGGAAAACCTACCCCAAACTCAAGCAGGTACGAAAAATGTCAGGCTTTATTTGTCTGTTTTGCCAGCTTGAAGTAGCGATTTTTCCCTATTGCGTAAACTACCCTAACGTGTTGTCTTTGACTAGGTATCAGCCAAGTGAGTGCTAAAGGAACGATGTGGGCTATGTGGCTAACGCGCGTTCCTCTTAGTGCGCTGTCATGGTAGTCATAAACACGCGGCCACCGCTAATTCAAACTTTAGTATCAGTAAATTTTTACTGTGACATATCGTTACCATGCCTTTTTATAGGTCAGTTGGAAAAAAACCGAATTAAGCCCAGTACGACTTGTCTGATGTAATGCCAAACGTAAAAAAAGAAAACGAGTGCTGGCTGATGTCGATAAGAACTGAAAGTGCAATTATATCATATACCAAATCGCAAAACACGGTTAGTTCTCATGTTCTCATCTTATCGACGGGTTCAAAATGAGATTTAATTGATTCTTCCTTTGCACATCTATGTTGTTACATTGGTTCATGAGCGTTTGATGCAAAATCTTGTTTAACGAACCAAATGGTGATAACACGTTTATCAACCGAGATAATAACGCAGTAAATCCATTCGTTTTGTACCAGTAGCATGTCAATCTACTTTCGTCATCTCGCTTGTATATTTTTCTTTGATCTTCGATCCTGATTTTTTTCTTAGAGAGGAAAAAGAGCGATGGATTCGTGCAAAGTACCTGGAAAGAGAGTTCCTTAAGGGTCTGCCCAGGCAGGCATCCATTGGTGGGCCGGCCCTCAGCCGGCCCAGCGGCAGCGCTCAGGCGCTTCTCTTGGAAGGAATCGAAGCAGCCGACGTGGCCAGGGTATTGCTTGCGCTAGCTCACGGAGCGAATGCCGACGCTTCGGTAGGACATGGAAGCGTTCTCGGTGGAAGCAGCGGGAATGGACTCGTAAACTGCGTTAGCAGCGCTTTGGGCGGAAACACTAGCAACATTTCTGTACACTCGACCGACCAGCGAAGTGCGGTGCACGTTGCTGTTGCCAAGGGAAATACGGCCATTGTTCAGTTGATGCTAATGGTATGTGTAAGATAGGAATTTGTATAATACTAGTGTAGGAATGAAGCTCTTCCTGTTTTCTAGGATCTTAAAAACGCATTAGATGAACTTCAGTCAGCCGAACTACTTTCGCCAAGGATATTGTCGTGCGAATCCTCTGACGCAAGTACTAATTTTTGTCCTCCGTTAATGTCGGTGTATTGCAGGCAAGTGGTCGAGAGAATTTATGCAAGGACGGCGTCCTTAAAGAAGTTCAAGAGCGTAAAGTGTGACAATAATTTCGAGTCGGTTTGCAAGTTGACGTAACAAGATTTTTCAGCAGCTAAAATATTCATTCACAAATGAATGGTGTGACGCATCGGACATACGTGTTGGAAAGAATTGGCATGGCACAGGCACAGCGTTTTTGATGAAGGGACAAGCAATATGATTGGTGGCGATAAGAACTAGATCTCGATTCTTTAAATGACATGCCTGATATTAAGAACAGGAGGTATTCGCGTGAAACACCTTGGCTCTTTTTATTTTATATTTGGCTGTCAACGCACGAGGACGGACCAGTTTTTGGGCACAAAATCTGCACTACCGCGCAGTTGATAACATTAAACTACTCTCCCAGTGAAAACAAAGCAAAGAGAATACGTCGACCGGGTAGATACTACATGGATACGGTACGTACGGCGTATTGTATATAGACTTGTGTATTTCAAGTGATCATGATGATCAATAGAAATGTAATACTGCGAACGTGTTTATGCTGATCTTAGCGTACCAGGCTTAGCCCCGAAGCACAGCAAGGAAATACCCAATGAGAATGCATTGAATCCAAAAGCAAGTCAGTGTGGAAGCACAACCAAATCTCGAGTCCCTCTTCAGCCGAAAAAGGGAAAGATATAATAAGGTATATGTAACACAGCCCAACCTGCTGAGCAAATAGTCAAGGTACAGAACTTGCGGTACAAGGAAGTGCTGCAAAGGAAGCTGCTGTAGGCTAACAAAGCACGTACTCTGTGTAGAAGCGTCGGTACGGGCGACGGCTGATAGCCTTGCCAGAGCAACAAGCTGCCTCTTTATCAAATATGTACTATATACATGAAATAAACAGCCAGATAGAAAAACCGGTAGAAATAAGATAAAGCGAAACGAAAGGTGGTCGAAAAAAATTTGGAACAAGTTGGGGGAAGATTCAGGTGATATCTGCCTCGAAAGCCTGAATTACAATTCGAAGAGACGATTCTTGGAACACTTGTCAAGTTGTTAAGAATGTAGTTGGCTGAAATTCGATGTTTTGTTTTTGGGATTTTTAATTGTTTTTCTCCTAATTTGCAAAGTGGATTTTTCATTTCTTTAATTTTTAATACTTCGAAATTGTTATTTTTGACACATCTTTAACTCACTCTTCTTAGTTATAAAGAGTGCAAAACGAGTACTTTGTGTGGATAGAAGATTTTTGTAGATGGACACTGGGCGTACAGCAAAAGGAAATCATATCAAACGCCAAGGACCACTGATTATACTTCGATTTTAATGTTAATTTTATTTTTATTTTTTTTTTTAATTATCTCCACAAGAAGACTCCCGCTTAACAAGAAGAAATCTAATCTGGTAAGAATGCACGGGTCCTCAAGATACGTATGCAGTAGTGTTTAGAGGAACGGATGAAGCGAAATTGCTGTCCTTGCCATAAAAGTAACTATAACAAGAAAATTGTATCGAAAATATCCATTACCTTTTCCTTTTATATATACTATATCAGACACTTAGATTTATATAGATATAGTTAAATTGCTGCTAATTGTTTTTTCGAATTCGTTCAGGAAAAAGTAGCATCAAAACGGGTAGAAGACAAACGACTAATTAGCGCTTTTTCTTAAATGTTAACAAAACACTGTACAGCGTGATACGATGGCTTTATTAATCGAAAGAGATTCCAACTAAGAATTTTTAATTTCTTTTCGGTACATTTTTTTCTCTTTTCAGCAACGGGAAATAGTTTTTCTTATATTATACGAATGAATATTCTCGGTCTCCACTATGAATTTGTTTAGCTACGACCGTTCTGGCGTCGTTGATCACCGCTCATATTAAAAAATTGAAAAATAATAAAAATTAAAACATTCATTTACATATACCTAATATAAAATTAATTTCACCTACTCCAAATTACTATGTTTATATTAATATAAATATGTACGATGTAATATTCAACTGTTGTTCAAGTTATAAGTTTTTTTAATTATGTATTAGGTAAGTTAACTTAAGCAACTTAATGATTTGGCCTAAGATAGCGCTAGCGTTGCTAGACACCACTTTAAGATCCTCAGCAAGAAGCTCGACGGGTGTCTCAGTCACGTACAAGGTTGTGGCTCTTACCACGTATTGAGCTTACTAGGCAGCTCTTTGCAAAGTTGTTGCATTAGCTTCTAATATGCAGTAGGACAAGCTAGATATTAAATCATCGGGTGCACCTGGCCAATTGAAAACTAATAGAGCGGAGTCGGATATTGATACTGCAATTCAATTATTAACTCGCAAACTATTTTATGAGAGTGCATATTGTCAAGTTAGGCTGTTGAACCAACTGGCAAACTCAGCGAAGCACCTGTTGCTATTTTAAGTCTATATATATAACCGTCAGAGGTTCTTGAAACTAGATGGATATCTAGAAGACGATTTTCTCAAGTTCCGATTCATTGTCGTAGGGCATTCAGTCGATAGATGATGGTCTGGTAGCACTAAAATTGATATTTATCGTGCCCCCGCTATGATGAACAAATACATATCGACTTGAATAAGACTCCGTTAAGCACTGGTCACACAACTCATTGATTCAGTGATTCATAATATCACAAAATAACCGATCACCGAAGTACCTAAGACAGCATAACAGAGCGGAATTAAGGCAAAACCAATAATTCACCAGCTTTATGTATAGAAATTACTGCAACGCAACAAAATGAACAACAAGCCAATCAGTACGGGATTGGAGAAGACGTTCACACAGACTCTTACCGCTAGAAGAGGCAAAGTCCTATCACATTATTGTGTTCAACAATAATAATAATAAGTAAATAAACAATAAATAAAGTACCATATCTCTAACATATAATTATATAGCTCGACACTCACTCGTGAATATATAATATATTAGTAACAGGCCCCTTGTGTCTATATTGGAACTTCATTGTCGATCTTATAGCAATAAGGTCCAGCCGAAGGGGAAGCCTTTTCTTCTTTTTACTTCTAAATACATGTCCACCGAGGTTTCTGAAAACTAATGCGACTATGTCTCGCTGTCTTGGTCAAGCCGAACTATTGAAGCAGAAGACGTCGAAAGCGATACGTGACGAAAAATCATGTATGACGCCAGACCTTTGACCAGCTACCAAAAAAGAATTATATTTATATAGATATGTATACATATACACGCGAATGCGTCGTATAGAACAGAACCTATATGAAAGTTTTTATAACCAGAAAACATTGATTTGGAATTCTAGAAGAATCAAGGTTCTAACAGTTTTTAAATGTCTACGGGTCTAAACGAAGTTCGCGCTATCGGATTTTTCTTCGATCAAAGTTAAAAAGGTGGCGCTGTATGGGACAAATAAGTATTTTTCTTATATTTTATCAAGCTTCTGGTAAACAATCAATACGCGAAACAATTATCGCGCTTTTCTGCCGCACTTTCGTCTTTACCAAAACTATATTTCCTATGTTAAACGAAAAGCTAGTACTGTTTTTAAAAATCATCATTTTGAGTCATAGTATGTTGTCGCAATGGAAACTATATAAACAAGGATGAGATGAAGCTAACCGGGGCACTACTTCGAAGCATATAGAAAACCGGATCTGTCGATGCTGATTTTACGTTGAATCTGAAAGAACTGAAGTAACCTTGCAGTAAAACGCACCTTACGCGCATACGTGCTTAGATGTCAATTTAAACTAAAGTATCGTAACTTCGCGTTGGTTATGCTACGTGTTGTTGTCATCAACGTATTCCATGTAGTTGCGTACAAAAACGTTTTTTGCATTCACCATGTGCATCAATATTGCGAATGATTCTGATCATAAAACAGAATTTATCATAACTATTAATACCAAAATAATCCATAACCACGATAGTTACATAGGCTCTAGTACGATAACGTTCACTTTGAACGACAGTGTGCGCATTGCTCGCTTCTTACTCAAGGTGCCATTACCTAGGCCATTCAAAAGGGGATACCACACTGCGCAATAGAACTTTTTATTGATCTATGATGAGTTCTCTAGCCATAGTCTCGTCTCTTCCTAGACAAAAAAAAATATCGTTTTAGCGTTGTTGAATGACTGATTCCTTCAGACAAAATCATTAGTGACTCATTCTACACTACTTAGTGAGGTATATGGGCCAACGCCACGGGAGTCTTCAGTTGATACTTTCTAGAAAATGAATGGGTTATAGTGAACCCGTTTCAACTACATAATAATAGTAATAATAATTTTCAAACTACTCCGAGCCTAAAGTTCCTCAGATGCAAAGAAAAGCAAAAAAAGACTAATCATTGGTATTTATCTTATTACACAATTGACAATTCATTTTTCCTGTAAAAAAACAGTCGTCGATTTCCGTATTAAAATGTAGTTGTAATGATAAAAAATGGCTTTTTGAGCCATTTTGATGAATTTTTAAAAATTTTAATTCTAACATCTATTGTAGATCTTCTGATCCGTCTCAAAAAATTGTTTCACAATTTTTTGGGAAGCTGTGCAACCACTGGATAGGCTATCGATTTTAGGAAAAAAATAGGTTTTTGATCTTCGCAGGGGTTCGTCCAGCGCTAAGGGATTGGTTAATATCTCATTTACGCCCAAGTTGCAAAGAAGACATCGTTTCCCACCTGTCTGACACGGGTCTGTTGCCTTGTTCCAGAAAGAATAACTTCTCTCGTCTAAAACCTATTGATGCTCCGAATCTTGAAGATGCTCCGACAGAACAGTTTGTGGTGCTCTGGTACTAAGCTTTGTTCTAATATTTATTCTGTTTATTCCGTCTTAAGGCTACTAAGCTAAATGTTATATTCAAAACGTGGCTGAGCTTGTCGAAATGATTTATTGTCACTTTTCTGATGTCTTTATTATTTTACTACCACAAGTAGTAAGCGGTCTAAACCAAATAAAGAACATGGCTCATTTTCATTTTTCATCATCATTATAATCGTATATTTATTACTTACTCATCTCCACTTATCATTGTTCCTTTTTTTTTTTATTAAAATTATTGTTCAATGTGTAATAAAGACTACACGCGTGTATTCACTCAGTTGCTCGTTCAACCGCTATCACAATGATCGTCACGTTTAAAAATGTACAATCATCACCTTAAAACATCACTAGTATCATGATTATCATTTTCGGTAACTTTAGTTATTTTTCTCTTAATTTATTTTCACTCTACGGACGTCTGCATTGTCACTGCATTGCTATTTGCTTATCTGGCACGCCGTAATGTATACATTACGGAATAAACTGTTCGAGGTCTGTGCCGCCTTCGAAGAACCTGCTATCATCGACGACTTCAACATGCAAGCAACAACAAGCACATTTCTCGTCCAGAGCATTTAGGTCCAATTAAATAGACAGAGGTTATTTCTTAATACTAACAGCGAAATGTCTTCCCAGTCGTGAATCAGACAACGCGCTTTTTTCATGACCCTTTCTTTGTTTCGCCGCTAAAATCACTGGTTGTCGTATTGAATTCCTCATAGTTCTTTAGGTTACTGTTATAGCTATCTAAAGCGTTTTTAGGCTTGTTTCTGTTTAGCTCTACGTTAATACACCTTATATAGTATCTAAATAATTATTTTCCCGCTCTCTTGCTTTTTCTCTCTTTGGTGATCTTTTTCTCTCGTCAAATGGAGAACATATGAAAATCATTGGGCAGACGATTTTTTATTTTTACTCGCTTTTATTTTCTGTCACTTAGGAGCTTTCGAGAACATTATCTGTTATTTGTAGAGCTAGTAGACAGGTACGAAGTAACTCCCTCCTTTTGCATCTGAATATACATTTGAAAGCTACTGTGGAAAAGGGCATAAGGACAATGTAAGAATGATAGTTTTTTTTTAGCAGCACGAATGTTTAAAGTGTACTTCTGGTAACGAAAGAGGTTTATCCTCGTTGTTTCACACAGTGGTTTAAAAACGCTATACTGTCGACCAGTTGATGGGCCTATAGATACGTAATAATTCATTCGTTTGACAGGATCGAGAAGCAGAAATTTCAAAAAAATTAACTGTAATCCGAATTTTAAACTACCCTGTGCTCCTACGTCTTTCCACCTGTCGATAACTTCTTGAGTTTTTCTACCCGGCTTTTCGCTTTCCTCCCGTAAAAAGCTTGTTTGCTCAAAACATCACACAAATATCTATTAAACCACATCCAACCCATATTACTTTCACCGGAGAGTGATACCTGAGTAGCTTTAACACTAACTTGATTCGCTTAACGTCTAAACGTTCCAGTATAATGTCCTTCTCGAGTATATCTTCCCCTCGCTTGCTGTCGTTGTCTTCTGTCCAATAAATATTTTAAAATTCGTTCAGATATTGATTACAGCTTCCTATGGCCTGACTCCGCTACACGCCCGAATCCGTAGTACCCACATTTCTTGGCATGAACCTTCCTATATATTTTTTATTATATATTTCTATATAGCATCTGTCTCGACTACTGGTTACATTTATAACTTAATGAATGAAAATGTTCACGATTATTCTGTCTTTGTTTTCTCTGATATCCATCATCACTTAAGGAACAAGGTAGTTTCTTCATAGGTAAAATCATATACTAGTGACTGCTAATAATTATAGTCTTATAATAATAAAGATTATAGCATCTACTGTCCTCGTTAGGATAACATACTTGTATTATTTGACTAATCTTATCAAAATATGTTATTTGTTTTTCCTTTCCTCCGCTCATCGAGGTCCGTTGCTTTGATCCCTTTTATATATATATATATATATATATTTTCTATTCAATGTATGAACTGTTTATCGTTTTTGTCCTAACCACTCACAGCGCTTATCCAAATGTAAGCAATTTGAACTAACGTAAATAAATCACTGCAAAATTAACCGCATCATCAGGTCTCCAAGGGCAGCTGGATAGAAATGTCACTCCTATGCGTATCTGTCTGTATTTTTCATGGGTGTGTAGAAGTGTGACTAACTGTTCAATATTTGGGTGCGTATTAAGTGCAAGGAGCTTTTTTGTTCTACCGATAAGTAGCGACTTTTTAGGTGTTGAAAGGGTTCTTGTCACTGTTTCTCTCTCTCTCTCTCACACTCGGATCGTGTACATGATGTAAGCCACCATTTCATCATTTCAGTGTTTCTAGTCATAGCAAAGCTGATACATGGGACAGTCGCTTCTTTAGTGTGGTCGGTGTTAGCCTGTTGGCATTCAAGTTGTACGAGGTATTAATATAATAACAAAATATAGTATGAAATCATTATTACTTGTCTACGTATCACATACTTTTCACCCATGGGCCTAAAAGGGGTTGGCGCTTCTACAATGTCGTTGTCAGTTCTATCTCTTTCAAGTAGAGAAGCGAAAATTTCACATAAAAAGCCACGGTTAAATTGCTCTAAAGAGGAATAGACGGGCAAAAGGCCATTTTATTTCAGATATTTTTCGACCCGAAAATCAGCTCAATAAGTGGTTACGTTGCGCTGTCAAACTTCAATGTATTTGGAGCCGAACGACGATCGCGGGTCCTCACGTGGAACCTGAGTCAGGTAGAACCTGAGATCGACCCTGTGAGTTCGTTTCGACATCTTCGACTGCCTAATCCACATACTTTCACAGCTAACTCAATATCTCATCGAGCAATGAATATTTCAGTAAAAGTTACTGCGGGTAATAATGGAACTTGGACGATACACATTTTGCATAGAGAAGCCACCCTTTTTTGACCTCTGGAAGATTGAGATCTATTTAGAATAGACTCACGAACTCTACTAGTCAGGATTAAACCAAAATGCAAGAATAACACAGATTAGCACAAACACATCAGCACTCATAAGCGCTGTAGTGTCTAATCAAAACTACGTATTGCCACCATTTATCTATAGCCTCGTTTTTCGAGCTGATGCAATTCTACGAAGCAATACTCCTTTTTCACATCGTTTCATCAGTGACGACCAGATGATCACCAGTGAAAAGACCCCGAACATCTGCAATACAAAGATATCGAAATCACATAAGTTCGTCACTCATTCATTCATAAGCATAACTGGATGTTTGGGTGTCTCCTGGGTGATGTCATGAGGGAGGGTCTCAATGGTCTGCTAGTGCTAGTTCTGTAGTAATGTCGATACTTCGTTTTCAGTTTGTCTCTTACGCGTCTTTCTCCTTCCAGTTAATTTCGTTGTTGACGGGCGCTGTCCTTCCGATTGGAGCGAGAGGCCATTGTCTCGAATCTTTTTGCTTTCTCCCTCATTTATCTAGTACGTGATGACCTTCGGGGTGTTCCCGAGTTCGTCGCATTGTCCCATACTAAGCCGGCTCATAGCCATTTCGGTTATTCCGTGATAGTGGACGAATGCCGCAGCTATCACTAGAATATGGAATAGTTGATGGCTGTGAAACTGCAAACAGCGAAACACGAACAAACGATATTTGCCATTATTGAGATGTGTTAATTACTGTTGAGCGCGAAATTACTACCGTAAGAAGAGATTTTCTATTGAGCAAGATCTGAAGGGGCACGAAACAGACACAGAAATTAAGACAGTGGACTATATATGTCAGTTACACGGCTTTCACGACTGAGCGTAGATACAAACCAGAATGTCACACTTTCCTGGGAACCATCTCTCAGGAACACGTAGGGCGTACAGTGCTGCGCCAAGAATATAGAGGAAGGCCATTAGGCAAAGCCAGCCGAACGAGGCGTGCGAAAACGCTGAAATTAAGCCTTTCGAGTAGATATAGTGCACAGCAGGAATCACGCCGCTCAATCCGAAGCCCGTGAACACGCCTACAATAACGACATAGATAAGCAAAATACAGTATGTGACAAACGCTCGATGTGAAAGTGTAACTGCGTTCTGAGAGAAAAGCAAAATCATTTTGTTTTTATTGTTAAATATACATGGTTTTTAATCGGTTGCGGTTATCGTAGCGTATCCTATTTTGTTGTTAAACAATAGTCGCCGTCGTCTGTTGATCGAGTCAAGTTATTTGGAATCTATGCGTGCTTATAATGTGTACATGTCTTTACAATATCTACGAAGTTCTTTATGTGTAGTCATTTCAGTCTGATACCATAAATGCGTATAAGGTCATGTTAAAAAAAAGTTAAAAATAGCTAGGAGATGGAACAAATAGCTTCAGTCATTGAAAGTTAGTCGTCATTTATTGAACGTCACGCCATATGGGTTCTATTAATATAAACCTAGAGAAAAGTGTAGTCTGGGTGGAAGCTTGCGTGACGTCTAAAGAATCTATACTGCAGATATTTGTTCCCAGCTCTTTTCTACGTGGTTACTCTCGGCTTTGTGTTGCTGATGGAATATTTGACAATCTCCAGCAGTTGCTAACTGAACAGGAATATGTGAACGTTATTTTACGTAAAAACGCACTCAAGCACGCTAAAATTAAATGCTAGAAAAATGAACAATTGAACTAATTCTGTTCTCTAATCTAACTGATGAGGTTCTCGCTTGTCCTACACTAAAGGTTCGTGCGATTGCTAAACAGAAAGGATAGTATCTAGCACCGGTCTAGCTGTGCTAATAGAAAAAAAAGGCGCCCAGGACGGATTAATAATAACTTTCGTGTTAGAATCAAATAAACGGAAGAACGCCGACTTTGGCTACGAGGACCCAATCGGCCCCACTCACAATACCTTTTCAATAGCCATTTCTATCATTTCGCATCTAAATAATCAACCATCTCACGCCACCCTCTCTACGCCGTTACCTCTTAAGAACAATCCTGCGTGACTTAATCCGTAACAGAACGACAATCAGCAATAATAGAAATATTAACAGCTATAATATAGACAACACACCAACGCGCAGCGGTCGGTATTTAGGAGTGCCGAATTTGTCCCATAATGACACGACAACGGCAGTGATTCCGAGAACGATGACGACGCTTAGGTAGACGAGCTTCGGCTGGAACGAGCAGTAAAAACCATAATAGAGCCACGGCACGAATGATCCGATGATTAGCAGCGCAATGCCACAGTAGTCAAATCTGAAATAAACGCAAAGCCGATGTACAAATAGGTTAAGCAATTGATGGCGCACGTTCTAGATTCATTGCATCGACTTGGGGATCGTGGCAAATATATATAGCTCATGCAAATAAGCACACGCAAATAAAATCGTCTTTCTATCTAGCTAACATCATAGCAGATGATCTGTGATTTAACCAATCATTTTTCGAAGAATATGGCCCAAATTATTTGATCATATAAAAATTTCAGGATTTTGGCAGTAGTAGGCTTTCTAGACTACTTTAAGCCACGTCAGATGAAAGCATTGTCAACATGTTTTTATTCATGTTTAGTTATTAATCTGAATGTATAGTTCGAATAGCAGTGTCTAGATCAATTGTTTTTGACATAGAAACATTTCAGAAAAACAATGCACGACCTTATTTTTTCCTCCTCTACCAGTTCAACCTAGACGTACAAAAACCGTCGACTGAATAAACCCATAGTCTTTTTAGATCTGTAGTTAACATATGTTTAGAATGATCAGCCATCTTACCAAATGACCGAGTCGTTTTAGCGTGCACCCCTGTTACAGTTACCTCGAGGACATTTAATAAGACACCGACTGAATTAACAATTCAGTTCACCTAAATGCGCAAGATGTTTCGATACATCTTTTTTTCACTATTTATCTCTCGCGTTCACCGTTCGATCTTCCTTTGTATGCTCTTCCGATCGATATAATCGCGATCAAATATTTCGGGACACAGAAACGACTTACAAACATAGCTGTCGAAAACAGTGGTAGCATTAGCAGGTCAACTAGTTCTCGTAGACATCATCGGGGACCGTAGCACAAGGGGACAAGGGTTCGGTATATGCACACAAACTCGCTGTCATCGAAAACATTTTGTAGAGGCGTGAGCCTGTTTTGAGTCGTGTCGCGCCATACCCTGTTGTTGAGACAACCAACTGAGTGTGCCGACTAGCAATAAGATTACAGATGAAATAAGGATTGGTTACAATACATGGTCCATGAGCCATTAACCGATTGTCGATGGTATCGCGCGACTTCGCCCCTCGATGAAGCCGATCAGGCACATAACTGGGAACTTTACCGTTCACGTAGTGAAGCTGAACCTGATATTATTTATGAAAGAGATAAAGGTAGATTTAAACGAGGGAGTCACAAGGAGAGTAGTTATGATAAAAACGACTAACCAATGTAGTAGTAACCAAAGGTAACCAATGTAGACAAGAGCCGAACCTAGATGTAACTGTGTGATGTTATCATAAACCGACTTGTATGTACTTGACGGAAGTTCAATAGTGCACATGCATAATCTGACAGCGCCTTAAGATCATACGCTGGTCAAATGTAAATATATGATTGATATTGATTATTGAACAAGATTGATCATATGTAGAACATTTTATAGTTTGATTTGACGCCTGTATGCGCAGAATTATGAATCGAACTGGTAGCTTTCACTAATCATCCCTCTGTAACGTTAATGAACCGTCTTTAGGCCGTGTCTGAGAGATACATATACTTACAATACCTGCCTGAATGTTTTAGATTTTCACTCTGCATCCAGTTATGTTCGATAATACCGCCAAAAAACCTTAAGATTTTCACCATACAGGGTACAAAGAATTTTTTTAGAGCTAGCTGCCAATTACGGCTATAAGAATCAAGGGCTTCACCAAAACCAAACGTTGAGGTTACGAGCCCCGCACATCATTCTATCTGGAACATCAGTTCTATTAGAATTGCTTATGCTTAGTAGAAAAAGTCAGTGATTTTGTTTCATGGTGCGGATGCGAAATTTACCACTATTACGTGCCATTCCGCCAATTAGAGTATTATCCATTGCTTGAGCGAGTCTGCGATTGATAAAATCTAACCAAACAGAGTGTATGCATTATATTGTCGAAGATGAAAACTGCGCCGTCTCTGACTGCACACCTTTGACAATTAACAAACTTGCGGCTAGTGTGTTTATAATCAAGCGTATTAGCTACCTGATAAAATGATTTCGAAAATGTAAACATTATTATGACATTAGCAAACGTAATGACTAGGTACGATGTGTGGGACTTTTGACTAAATAATTATTACTTACAAGCTTTGATATCGACATTCCAATTCCTTAATTTCGTAACAAACCCGTGCTCTTTTAAGAACAAAGTTTCTGCGGCATCAACTTTAGTTAAGTGGTTGCGGCTAACAAAAACCCACTCGACTAATTCGGAATTTCATGCCAATTGAATCACCTTGGTCTTGCACATACTACCACAACTAAAACGATATAAATTGGGTTTGGAAATAGCGGATTAAAACTGGACTCATATATGAATTCAATGTAATTAATAAATGAGAAACTATATAAAATCTATCACTTTTTCCTTGCTAGCTGCACTTACTTTGAAAAAAGTTTTCCAACTTGTTCGGAATGACAGGATACCGTGTGGTACGCAAAGCTCATGCCCATGCAGAGGATCGCACCCGTAAAAAATGTTGCAAATACCAGTTTTTCCTAAAAATGTAAGCAGTCAACAGGTTATCCAACAATATACCTCGAGTACTTTTTAACTGGTGCCTTATATTTTTGATTTCTACTGTGCCAGATGTCCATCCTTTGCATAATCAAGACCAAAGGACAAATGTTATCATAAAAATCACTGTGCGTGTTTAGTCATGTTTTTAATTAAACGCTGATTAAATGCTAAACGAGTAAAACACATAATAATTATCTCTCAGTGTACTAGAACGCTCTAGCGGTGGACAATTCTCTATTTTAATGCATTTCTTAGCATAAATATTGCATGTCTAGTTGGCCGCTGCTAACAAAATACAGAACGATACTTCTATGATTCCTATCACGTATTGAAGACCTCTGCACACTATAGACATTTTCCTACGAATCAATAATCATTCGCCATTAATCTAATGTTTGGACACCAGCTTGCATACGCGCACGAACAAAATACAACCCAATTTATATGGGAGCAGAGGGAAAATTGTCAGCCCGTCGCCCTTTACAGCATTATCATTCCACACACCTGCCATTGTAGATAATCCGAGGGCTGTGCTAGGAAGTAGATGGCAATGCCAAGAAACCACAAACAGCCCAGTAGATGTGTCCAAATGTTTCCAGTCTCTGTGTGAATTCGAAAGATGGAGCGGAAACAGGCCGAGAACGACGGAAGGGGTGGACGGTGACCTCGATGCAGGAAGTCATTATCCTGTAGCCACTGAGGCAGCGAGCTAAAGTGGCACACCTTCCAAGCCTCTTCCAATACCTGAAATAATGGTGAAATGAGATAAACATCGGTGAAAAGGCTATTGGATGCAACTTTTAGTGTTATATTAGCAAATACCTAACAAAGAAGTCATTCGACGAATAAAATAGCATAGCAAAAAAGCTTTTTGTGCTCCAAAGTTGAAAGTTTACATCCCGCCAGAGGAAAACTGCTGTTGAATAATGTTCTTAAAAAATGCACATTGACTACGTTTTACAAGCATACGTATTTTATTTTATACATTGCGTATGCTAATCAGATTTTAAAGAAGTATATTGTCGCATTTTCGAAAATAACAAAAATAAATAAAAATAATTTTCTTTTTAAATCAAAATTTGCGGACCCAGCAAAACTAAACAGAGGAGTTAATAACTGATTAAACAGTAAATCTATAGAAGTATAGAAAAAAAACACACATTTTTTAAGTATATCTTCAAAGCTTAGCGGGCTAACGTCTGAATTCTAATCAACCAATTTGAAACTCCTTGAGTGGTACTTGATTCCCCTGATACATAAAATTGGAAGCGTTTCTGCGGGCTGGTATATAGCCAATAAAAAGGTTAAGCGTGTTATCGAACGCTTATTTTACAAAGGAGGCAATACCTTACTATAGTGTACCAGCAGAAATAGAAACGGCCTCTCAGCCGTCGCACGCATACTTATTTGTCAAATAAAGATCATTAAATTATTGTAGATGTATGGAAGCATGTTATAGGTAATTAATGACTGCCGGGTAAAATAGGCCTATCTCAATGCAAATGTAGTATATTATGATATAACCAAGATCTGAGGCGAATTGACCTCTTGTACCTTAAGTACGAGCTGTTCAGCCTGCTCCGCTTCGTCAAGAACCTTTCGCATGAGTTGTTCGGCCTGCTCGGCTGCACGCTGCGGGAGGTTCAAGCCATCGACATCCGACGACGAGACAATGTCATCCGAGTCCAGGTTAGTATCATCGTCTGCAAAATAAAATGAAAATAATAAAATTTATAGAGAAACCAGATTCAAACAAAGACTAACGATGTACCGTTATGTAGGGAATTGCGCTTGTTTGGAGCTTTTTTGGGGCTAGACTTATAGTGAGACTGGTTGGATTATAGGCTTTACCCATAGCCTTCAAACATCAGGCAGAAGGTTGTTAGAATATCTGACATATAGTAAGTAAATCATATCTTTAAATGGCGCATTCACTTTGGTTCCCACAAATGTCCCTCGGATTTTGTAAAGTTCTGTAATTACGATATAAGTAAAGCTTATTTAAAACTAATATCAGTAGTGGTTGGTATTTTAATAACGGTATGAGTAAAAAAAATTAGAGAATTCGATAACACTGATGTGAATTAACCACTAAAATTGAATATATAAGCACGACTGAAGGTATGCTAAGTGTTTTTACACGCTGTTTCCGTTTGTTTCGAGTATATAAGGTGAAATTGAACCGCCAAGCCAATTTTACAAAGTTAGTTTTTTGCAAGCGTCTGCAGTAAAACCTGAAATCCACCAAATGTCTTTTATCTGAGTTAATAAACCATAAATTCATTGTTATGTGCAAAGTAGACTTGGCTAAGGATTCTATCTGTCCATAGTACCCAAAATTACGACCTGAAGAGTAAGCTTTCTTTTTTTACGAAGCCTAACAAACGATAAACAGCCCGCTAAATATGTACTGCAAGTAATCTCGAACACCATGAAGAATGTAAAAACGTCACCGCCAGTATAATTACCCGTGGTCAAGGTTAAGTAGTAGCGACCACAATGCTCCTAGAGATATCTTCTTGCTCGTGTTGGTTTCCCTTTTTGCATTCATTACTGTCAATACCAAACGTTCCATCATTATTAGCACCTCTTCGCGCGTAATATTTCGACTCGGGCATCGCTATATAGCAACATTTACATGCACCCTTAATCTGTGGACCACTACAGTCCTGTGTGTTAGGTCAAGGGCGGCAATGCTACACTACGAGATGTTGCAAATAATACGTACCAGAAGCATCTTCCTGTGGCGTTCCAGGTGGCGCGAACACGTGCGGATCCGACAAACAGCTTACTGTGTCGTCAAACATGCCAAGGTCAGCATCGAGATCATTGTTTAGCACCGTAATACAACGTCTTCGGATCTCCATGTCGTCACTGCTGTTTCGGCGGTACGTTGAAGAAGACTCTAGCACCGCTGATGAAGTTCCTTCTCGGCTCGGCAGTGACATGATGATGCAAGTAACGGAGAGAATTTTTTGAGTTTTGCTTTTGTGTGGAGGAATGAGGAACGTAGTAACGCTGACCTCTGTTTCGGGCCCAGAATGAAATGTTGGCCAGGGTTGCTGCGAAGAATTAACTAGTTTTAATTAACAACGTAAGAACACGTTGAAGTGAAGTGTTACATGGGCCGTCACATCTTGGGTTGTCCTTTAAGATGCAAACTGTGAAAGAAATGAAAAAACAGTGAAGTAAAATGTTAGACTAAGGTGGTTGAAAGCAGTCCCCAATATTATGTAAATTACCTAGATAAGTTGTTCGCCAGGCTGTATGTGGCCGAACTTGTCCAATAGAATCCGGCTAAGTTCCACAAATTAGCTCAATATTGGCACTCAGTTCAAATGTGTTCAATCTGAATTCACAGCTGTATAGACAAAATACGTTGGTTATTGCTTCCATAATTTGCTTTAGCTTTTTACCAACAGTGCTCTTATATGATGGTGGCAAATATAATTATAATTAGAGCCCAGCTTCTCATATTACGTAATTCTCATGAAAACAACGGGATTGCACTGAATTCATTTACAGAACCTTCCTTGCTAAAATTAATAAAGCCGTACTTGATTTCTCAAGCAACAGTAACAGGCAAATTGAGATAACCGCCTATCACCTAGGCGTTAATATGCTACTGTCACACGTCCGAAGTAACTTATTCAGTAAGCTTGCGGTACGATTTAGTATAATGCAAGTCTCAGTGAAATGGGTGTTATACGGCGATACGCAAAAGGTAACTTATTTTTTCTGCCAACTAAATCGTCGCGGTCGATCCATAGGATTTCGAGCAAGCCGACCACACAAAACACAACCTTGAAAAGCTTAGCCTATCAATTATACAACTCCCATTAATTCAAAGAAATCAATCGCAGCGTGTTATATTCTCAGGTTGAAGCATGACTGGCATCTTAATTAGTTGAGTCTTGATACTAGTACTGAAGTAGCGCTACTAACAGTATAATGCAAGCATTTATATACCATCGTATCATGCTAACTGAAAGTCAATGTGACCAGAAACGATTTTCAGCAGAAAAAAATAGGCTTCATTTTTTTGGTGCCTATTTAAGTTTTCTTCCATCATCATATATGTTCCTTTAAAAAGAATTTATGCTAGAATGTCACGTATGTAGTTGTAGAGTAAAAAGCATTATTGAGCTTTAATAGACAAAAAAAATCGAATTTACGTCTTTCACAACAACGTAACTATGGGTGCCTTACAGGATGATTTCGTTCTTTTATTGTTTGTACCTAAGTTTGCCTTGATTAGCCTTTCTGATTAAGGTCGACGATAAATCCTTGCCATTTGCTTCTGAAGCTTTGCGATTATTATGTTATCGATTAGATGAAACGTCACAGATGTAGTCAGGTCGACTAGATCTGCTATGTAAGAAAACGACAAAAAGTTACGCCGTTGATTCCAAGCGGAACAACAGTAATGAACGCATTGTCTATAACCTGTACAAGGGCCAGGCAAAATCTAGACTCGTATTTCTCCGAGCGCTACAGACCATTCTGTAGTTTCCGAATGAGCCAGCTGGCGATTTAGTTGTAGATTAAATTATTTGTACGATATCAGGGCCCGTACTTACAGCGTCCCCTCGTAAGATAACGCAGCAGATCTCGCCTTGTATGAAGTCTTATTGCGCTTTGCTTAGTAGGGATGTGTGCCCTTAATACGGAAGGCCCTTCATGAATGGTCGCGATATACTTCATTGGTATTTGATTTGTACGTGTGGTACCAGAATGGCAGTAACGAGAATCAAGCCTTAATTGATGTGACATAAGTAGGACCAACCTAATCAGACTAATAGCCTATTTACTTTGGAGACGAAGTTTGGAAGGGGCTGCCTATTTATTTGAAGACACTTCCTTTAAATAGTATTTACTCGTAACGCGATGCGGGTGTTACATTTCATTTGCTACATCTGCACATTCGAAAATTGTGCGAAGTAATGGGTACAGGCATAACGTACCATTGTGCGAGCGATATACAGAGCACTCTGATGTTAAAAAACGCTTGAAAAAGTAGACATTGCATACACCCACAAACAGAAGCCTTCAAAACGCATTCACTTTCAACCACACTTAATTCTGATTGTTTTCCCACTAGTAACCGATATAGAAAAAGGAACATAAGGTTTAAAACTGCTTGCTATAAGGCACTGCGTTGTCGAGCGAATCCGCAGACAAAAAAACGGTCAGCAAAATTATTGATCACGAATTGAAATACACGTGTGAAATCGAACCTCTTACAGTTCCGTTCCGCTCACCTGCTAAACATTTTCTGACAAATCTAATAGTTCCTCTTTTTTTTCCCATCAAACCATCAATTGCCTCCTACTGAATTACAAATATTTGTTACGGTTACATGTGCCTGACAAATATTTGGGTCTCACCCAGTCAAAAACTCCGGACACTGGAGCACTAAATAGTCAATTCTACCCGTCCGCGCGCTCGATTCCTCTGCATCAGTTACTTGTCCGTCCCGTAGATACCCACAAGCCGATCGACAATTATCCTTTTCAACAAAACGTTGACTATCACCAGCAAAAAACAGCCTTTTCTGCCATAATATGTTGTTAATATCGAAGCAATTAGTCGCTCAACGAACATTTTTCGTGCTGGTTTATCCAAAAGGAGAAAGTTATTACTTGTACTAGACAACTGAGATAAAATTATTGAAATCGACGCTGTCGAGCAGTGAGTGTCAACAAGTTTAATTAAGTAATCATTTCTTCACTTATCAATCTTCACTTCAGTCATCACTGTGACAACAAAAAATGGCATAAGGAAGATGGTTTCGATGAAAGGAAATTTCAGCCCTTACTGAAAAAAAAAAGCGATTTATCTATACAAAGGTATCCAATAGATACGATATGACCCGTAAGATTTTGTAACTCATAGCACAAAAATCATCGTACGTAGCTTACTTAACTCAGAACAGATAAAAACAAATAAACACAGAAAGAATAAATTTTACTACAACTGTAGTAGAACCCCTAACTTATAAACCCACATGATGGGATTATTATTCCTAGATCGTATACTGACTTTACTACTAGCCAAAGAAGCCTGTCTGCAATATCGCTGTTTTTTTGACAACTTAGTCCATAATTTCATACCAGCCTCATGATGATATAATTTATTCTGACCGTCGGCAGACGACCATCAACCGAAGACATTAGGTTAACACCATTTGCTATACATGCTTAGGCACTTTATTAAATAAATGTTTTAGGTTTTCCGTGCGGAATCGCGTTATCATCATCACCATTATCGCATCAGACGGCTGTTTTCCGCCAGAAATGAATCACGTCTACCTCTTAAACACACGCATTGCTTCGGTGCTATCGCTTACGGACCATTTTCCGACTGCGCACTGCTGAACTCGTATTCGTAGTACATCCTATGAGCATAATTTAAAACTTGGGATATTTTTTCGTATCTTATAATAAACTAAACTAGATTGAGTTCACAGCACGAACAAGAACAATAATAGCACTGCATGATATATAAGTCTAAATGTCATGTTTTGCATAGAAGTACAGCACATCTTTCTAACCTAACATAATCTTACACAGTTAATTTATTCATATCGTCCGTCCGGCACTCGATTGAGCTCCGACTGCTTCAGGCGGTCCGAAATACTTTCCGCTAACTGAACCGAACAGACTGACGCAGCGGTTCTGTCTTTTAAGCGCAACTCCATTAGGCGTCTTTCCAACTTTCATCTAGCTAACCACGCAGAATGGACGGATATGCGCGTTTCTCTGTCAGACAGTATGCTCTTGCCAGCACGAGGTGGTAACTGCTGGATTAAACAACAAGTCCAAGGTCCGTAGATCGTATGACTAACAAGACGCACCTGACAGTATTGACAGTCTTCCTCGTCCGCTTGATGTTTTTCCTATCGCCTATAACAAAATAATACTGCCAGTATGTTCAGATCACAACAACAAGATTTTTATATCATAACAATCACACTCAGTCACATTCCACTTGACACGGGCAACGCAATCCATGCTGATCCAGCTGAGCTTTTCACCTTAACCACGCATACGCAATTAAAGGTATTTCCAACACGTGTTGGTATGGCCAGTCAATCATCTTCGGGCAACGTCACAAACAAAGCAAAACCGAACGAATTACAACACTTCCTAGAGCACAGTTTATTAATACAGCACATTTGTGCACAGTGTTCGTGGAGTCTCTTCAAAACTAAGTACTTGATGTCAAATTCGATTAACAGTTTTCGTCAAAATTGCTGTGTTTTCGATTAAAGTGGACGTTGCCCTGTGCCTTGATTCCCATCGAGTCCTCATCAAGTTGGGCCAACCATCTGCCGCTATTCCTGAGCCTTGTATCTTTTACTGTCTACCTATACCTAAGTTGGTGCACGCATGGGTGTCTGTGCTTGCGTGTTATGTGATGCATACTACTGATAACGCAATTGCTGCTCCTAGTTATCACAGTTTTTTTTTTTTAATTTATTCCTGTGTTAGGCTGTGCTCCGTATCTATGATCGTGTATTCATTATCAATCAGTCCAGAGCATCAACCGCACTGAAGCATTTCTCAATAGACGCTTCTTTTCTTGGACTGCTTCGGACTCAAGTATATCTAGACAAATAACGGGCTTATCCTTTTCGGATAAACAAACATAATCGAGCATCGATACCGCTTTCAGTTGATCGTTCATGTGTAGGTTGTGTTAATTAATTCAACCGGATACAACGTCCCTATGACATTATTACACCCGCTTTCCTGAAACGGCAATAGTACAAACAGACAACTAGATGGCAGGAATTTCTTTGGTGGAATTGCGTATCAGCATTAAAGGGCACGCGACGCTGCTAAATAGCAGAGCCGTGCTGTTGCTAGGGGACTGACTAGAGCTTATTAGGTAATATTTCACCGTATCCGTGAGTCTGACAGAATAGCTAACGGCGGTTTCGAACGTAACACTAGAAGCGGTTCCACAATATTTCTCCATGAGACGCAGACGGCATCACGTCTCATATTAAAGGTGTGGCACATGAATTGGAACTGATGTGTCGCTTTGTTGACTTGCATGTTTGATCTTGGACGTTTCTAAAACTATCTAGACAAAGCCATACTACAAAGAATTTTTTACACTCCTTGCTAGTGTTACTCCTGACCACAATTTACCGTGAATAAAGCTTTGATCAAATACCTAAACCGCTTACTAGTAAATAAGCTCTGCAAATAAATTTTTCATAGTAACCGTGCATCAAGCGATATCGATAGATATAAACTAGTCATACTCAATCTGTGTCTCAGGTATGCCATGTGAGCAGGACTGGATTTCGGCCAGGGTCGAAGGTCTCAAAAAATTCAATGACTCAAGACGACTGAAATATTCGAAGAATACAAAAATTAGCTGCTGAAGCTTATCTGGATGACTCAATTGTCAAATTGAAGAAACGGCCGTTAATTTTGGTATGAAAAGAATCTATGTGTATTAATAATGGCTTTTTGAGCCGTTTCGACGGATGCATTTTTAAGCCTTTTAAATCGAAAGCCGATTCAACAATTGAAATCTATTTGTACTGTAGAAATCTTTTGCGGGCTTTTCGAAAGTCGAATGAAAAGTGACAATCGTGTAAACCGTCGATTTCAGGTAAAAAAAAGGGTAAGGGATTCGTCCAGTACTAAGAGATTGAATAACAACTTATTTTCGCTCAAATTACGTAAATGACACGTTTTTTTTACCATGATGAGTTTGTTCTTCTGTTCACGAAACAATAGGTTTTATTGTAGTGCCACGAATGGCAGAAGAGCGCATGCCCATCACGAGGAACAGTTCATCAAAGTTTGTTCCGATTTAGGTATTCTTCCCGATTCAGATAGATGAAGAAATACAATACATATAAGCAGTTAGCGTTGGCTATTTATCGTTTATTCATGGTACGCAGCATCGATTTATCAGCAGCGATAGAAACATCAATCGAAGGTGCCAGCACAAATTGTATCAGAATGAAAAAATGTTTAAGTTCTGTGAAACGCACCGGTATGAAAGTTATGTTTGCAATCTTACGCTGCGTGATCTATAGGCAAAGTAACCGGCTGCTTATTATCTAGAACACATCAATCAGGGTCTACTACATTTGACTCGTAAAGATCGAGATCCGATAATCGAAAAGATTAGTTTTCCTTAATTTCCTATTACCCGGTTGTTCAGCCAGACAGACTGTTTATAGAATCTTATGGTCAACTTGATATGATTCTGGAACAATACATAGCTGCTCTGACGTTGTTGGCGTTACTTAAATTGCACTATATTCGATAAACCGACACTAATTAGCAAATCGTTGTCATTTATTCGCTTGTTGTTGCGAGAGAAAAGAAACGCAATTTGTTTGTTTTCATCACGACCAAAACAAATGTCATGCTTGGAAAGTTATCACTTCCTGGTTTGCACTTAGCTGCATTACTCACCGATCCACTGATCATGAAGTAAGCTGACTTATTCGAGGTTTAAAAGGTGTCTACCTGGTGCGGACCACTTTACCACTTAACCACTGAGTGCTGTCTTTTTTAGCCAGTCACAGGCTCGTTTGCGGTTTCAATGAGGAAGACGCTTCAAATTGCCGCAAACCACTGAGGGGTAATCTTGTTTGACGATACCAACACCCCAAGTTCGTAGTCATTCACTGCTGCTAAGTATAAACATTCATACCGAGGCCCGCAATACATACGTCGATTGCTGCGTCGACAGGCCCGTAAGACGTAGGCAAAACAGAAATTGCAGTTTGTGGTCAAAGTGACTTTTAAGATTCCCTACATGAAAGTATATAAAAATTTTCATATAGGTGAATCGGGTTAGGAGACAGCGAGTCCCGTAATATCGGTTCCGCTTGTGGAGATATGTCAGGTGTAACCCGTGGTCGAGAGTGAATTTGACATTGATTCAGCTTTCATCTTCGCTATTTCATAACGCGGCAAGGGTCCATTACAGCTTCACCTGCAGCTGTTCGCCTACGTATTATACAGGCAAGCGTGGTTGCCGTCGGAATCCGTGACACAACGGAGAAACAACTTTTGACAAACATACGCACGTACTTAAACTCTCCTCCGAGGGTTTTCTCTATTTTCCACACAAATTATATTCGTGCAGTTTTTTGACCTCAGCAGATAATACCGAATTTTTAGCGATAAACGTCTTTTCAATACAAGGCTTTAAACACGACTAAATTGACAGAAGATCGATCGTACCTATTTGCTGCCTGCCATGCACCTTGGCGCAATAAGTTCAGAAAGATCCATTTTGCGAAGACTGTGCAGGCAATAACAGCCACAGAGCCACGGCAAATCCACCTCACACAAACACGCAACACATACACACACAAGCGATTACAGTCGCTGCTAATGCCGTTACAATCCTTCGCCTTGTGGGAGCAGATTTGAACCGTGACGGTCAGGTACTCCTTGCAGCGAGCAACTACGAAAACAACAGCGTTCCACCTGCAAATCTCAACTGACTGCAATATAACGTAATTTCGTAAAGTGACCGCTGCCACCACAGCCTACGGTATATCAGATGTGTCCCGCACCACCTGATCACACACGTTCGCTCGGTGTCTCTTTGTAGTCTGCTGAACCTGCACTTGACTTCTCAAGCACATCGACGACTATGACGATAACCCCTGGCGCACACAGAGCCGTGGTGAGGAGTGCTGTGTGGATAACGAAGATCCCCGGAGCAGACGACAGACGGGTCCGCGAGAGATACCATTGAAAGCGGCCCTACGATGCGATCTCTCGCCTTCTGTTTCTGCCCGTCGTTGGCGCAAGCGAGGTGTATTGGCTCACACTGAGGCATCGACAGCTGGAGGCGCGAGGATGGGTCAAAACATTGCACTTTAAATGGACTACTGGTAGCGCTGCAGGTAAAAAGAGATCGAGAACGTTGAGCGAAACCATGGATGGATGTCGATACGTGTGTGGTACCACACAACAGTCGTAGTTGTGGTCATTACGGTCGATGAAACGGAAATGTAGACCAAAGTCACCAGGGGCAAATAGTCGGATTAAAACGATTAAGATGCTGCCGTTTGTACCGCCAAAATTGGAACAGGACGATGGTAAAATCGGGTGCTATTCAATTGAATAAGTTACTCTATTTCCAATTTATACAAAATACGCAAAGGCAATTCATGGTTATAGATGTATGTCTGCTATCCAAAAGGGACCATAGCATATGTGACTCAAGAATCACAAAAATGATTTACGCTTATTTCACACATAATACGAACTTACCTAGAAGAAGAGTCAAACAAATCTGTTTGACAAATCTTAACAAACCTGTTTGAGGTGTCAGAATATGCACTGAAGTTCAGCTGATTCTATACAACTGAGTACGTACAGTAACTTATTAAGCGGTATTTCTTATCGTATGTTTCACGTGCTCAACATAGTTTTTTAAAACTTAATATGACCAACAGTGGGCGAAAACTCCGCTTTTCATCACAGCAAATTTGGCGCGAACGGCTGTATTCGTTTTACACAAAGTAATTCGCTGTTATTTTGTTTGACGTGTGATTTTGGCCATCAACCAGAGAATATAGTGGCTATTTCGCTAGTAGCGAAGGCCTCTAACAATTATGAGGGTTGATTAAGAGTGTTACGATTCGCACTTTAGCTTTTAGGAACTACTTCGAACCGTTGACTCGGGCTGAAGTGCATGAAACAAAGTTTGGTTAATTTGGATTTGCATCTGGACCAGCACATGTCCTTAGCAGGAATATGCTAATCACTCCTCTATACTTAGGATCACAAGCATCGTACGGCCGTAGGCTGTCTATCCTAGTTAAATTCTTGACATTCGAAACGCAGTATGTTACGCATGCCCGTCAGAACGAAACCTTTGTCGTTATTGAGGTGTACTCATATCCAAAAAGTTCTCGTTTCCATGACAAATCTAGAATAATACAAAATCAATTTATATGAAAAAGTGGAATTAAAAAATATCCTGAACTTGCGCCGACTGTGATGCGTTTGCTGAAGAGAACTTCTTGAACTTAACTAGATTTTACAAGCAGTGACCAGTCCATCACATACAGAAAAAGGAAAATTTAAATGGAAAGCACAACATTTGCCTTAATTACCTATATTAGAACAAAGTATTGATATTCGTAACCTAACGACAACAGCGGATTTTTAAATTCGTATGTATACGGCTTGCCTTCGAAGCATTAGATTTCAAGACAGCATCCACGAGTGCTGAGTGTATCGCATAAGCGAGAGTATGCGCCCTTTTTTGTGTAGGCATAAAAACACCTCAATCGCGGTCTGCTCAGTTTACGTCAAAACATTTAGAATAATAGCTTTATTTTATTTTCTTCTTTTTCCAAATTTGTTACCAAAGTTCTTATGATGTCGCCCCAAACTCGCCCAAAGCGATATACACTATACAGTTTCCAATAAAATATATATTTTTTCCATAAAAATATATACTCGTTTGGCATCTACGTTATTTTCGTATATCGATCTTTTGATTCCTACATGTCTCTACGTATACTATGACGAATACTATGATAATAAACTGTCATTTTATTCTCAGACACTCCGAAAAATTTTCTATAAATTCAGATTGCAAGCTAAGCGACTAGCCAAACATACGGCACTGTTGAGTGGTATTTTAGCCTTATTGGCGAAAAAGAATTCCAGTAGTAGCGTTGGCTTTGACTGACTCGGTGAAGTGTAATAAAGATACTGATTAACTGGACACACGTTTAACGTGACTCAAAGTCAGACGTACGTATTGACATAAACCACAACGTAGTGAAAGGACGACTGCATGAGAAAAAAGCACATGGTATGGCAGCCCATGTATGAGGAATTCTTTGGATTGATTACGGCGGTTTATTCAGGGCCGTGTCATGTCTAACTGGCCGTTCTTGGGCTCGTTTTAGTAATGCTGGACATAGAGTGCTTGCCTAAAATGCAGACACAGAATATATAGACGAGTTGGCATAAGGAAAATGATGAAACCTCAGAGGTATATGATCTGTGTTATTCAGACCGCTAGCCATCTTACCTGTCCTAGAGAAGAGCCCTCTGGCCCGTCCCTAAACTCCGGGTATGGGTTTTTTTCTTCGTGATCCACTACCAGATGGCTCGTTATGGGTTACAGAAGAACGTCACATTGGGGAAGGTCATAGCACGCGGCAAATTTGTGATCACTAACTCTACCCAGAACGACCGGACAGCTCTAGGTTACTATTTTGACTTGTTATTATGGCAACATCGTGGCTACTGAACGAAGCAGTCCTTATGGGAAGCTCCTATGGGACTATCCAATCAAAAAGGTTTGAAAAACGATTCAAGTTCTATGACGCTATAATAGGTAAAATGCAAGTTCCCGTACAATTAGAATCTCCCGTAATCAAATATCAGCCGCAGTTTGGATCATAGAGTGTCTGCTTGTTATTGTGTACGTGGCGTACACATGTTAAATGATTAAGGTATATTATAATTCCACAATGCCAAATGATTTACTGTACTATGTTTTGGTAGTGCGCGTTTGCTATAGGTGTTGATTTTATTTTTCACGATATTCTTGTGACCCGATTGATAACGGCACTTGTATTTTTGCGTATATACCTTTATGATTGCATCAATGTAAAGATAGCATTATCATCTACAATACGTATTTGTTCTTCAAAAATTCCTCTCTTTTTTTTTTTTACTAGAAGAAGAGATTTCAATCATGCAATTGGTGCCATTCAGTGGATAAGCGACCTATCTCAACTTAATGAGCAACAGTTCAAAATATTCGTGTTTAATGTGGTTATTATACATAATGTTTGATATTATTGAAAACAACCATTTAATTATCAATCTACTGATCGTATGCTGATTTTATTTCAAAGTATAATAAGAACTTACGGAAAACTCCAAGAAATGAGAGAAAAGTCTTTTAAATTACCCGCGCATTGCAACGCGGCGAAAGTTAGTGTTTACCTTTATTTTGCTGTCGTTTCGAAATCGAAACCAGTCGATCATTCTTTTCCGGTGGCCATCCGAACTTACGGTGTGAGTGTCTTAGATCCAGTGTAAGAATCCATTGAAATCAACTAATATATGCAGAAATTTCATGTCTATTATCAGTGATTAAAGTGCATGCTATTCGTCGAAGGTCTACAAGTCGAGGATTTGTGGAAAAGCCATAGCTTAAAATGGATTTGAATTTCCGAACGCCGCATCGAAATTAGGCCACATCGTCTGTTGTATCTTGTTTTGAATGTTACTTTATACATAATGATATAGTCAGTGTGAGTCACGTTCTCAACTGCCTGCTGTTATTATGAATATTTCAGAAATAGTAAGATGACCAAGCTTCGACCTGCCACTTCGCATAAAATCGTCAAGAAGAGGACGAAGCGTTTCATTCGTCATCAAAGTGATCGCTGTGGGCGTCTTTCAGTAAGTACAGAGCGTCAACGTCAAGAATATGGGCTTTGTATTCCTTCCAGAAAACGGTTTACTTGCCACGTGAAGCTCTAATCAGAGCAAACAGGCTTGTTCATAATGGTTTGCTTACGTCTTTACCTTGTGCTTGTGCATAAAAGTTTCCAGGACAGTTGGACTGCCCATTCAATTTACCTAATTACCAAGCGTGTCGTAAATGGCCCACCTTCATATCTATTTATGCCCTTGACTATTAAAATAATAGAATATTTTAATTAACTGAATCTTATTTTCATTTCTTTCTCATTATTATAGAGCAAATGGCGGAAGCCTAAGGGTATCGACAACCGTGTTCGTAGACGTTTTAAAGGCCAGTATTTGATGCCCAACTGCGGTTATGGCTCGAATAAGAAGACCCGCCATATTCTGCCGAATGGTTTTCGTAGGGTAACAATCACCAATCTTAAGGAGCTTGAGATGCTCATGATGACCAACAAGCGTTACTGTGCCGAGATCGCTCACAAAGTCTGCGCTAAAAAGCGCAAGGAAATCGTCGAGCGCGCTCGTCAACTGTCGATCTTGGTGACGAACCGTCACGCCAAATTACGCCAGGAGGAGAACGAATAAACTAGGCATGCGGTACGAAACTATACGCCCGCCGAGTAGTATACTGCTCGGTGGGGTGTGGCAAGAGGCCGACGATGTAAAAAAATATGCGTAGTGTTTTCTTTTTATGGGATCCGATGGGGATTCGAGGGTTAAGGAGTATTTTTTTAATGAAAACCTATATTCGTATATTCTATAAACGTAGTGTCTTCATAGCAATCCACTACGATTTTGGCCCATGTTATAGTAAAATTAAGCAGAAAAGTTAAAAAAATAACCAAAGTAGTCTCATCAAAGATGCTCAGGCTGTTAGTAAGTTTATTGTCTTCTGGAAAATAGAATTAATGGATGTTGGACTACTGACATAAGGAATTTAACTACTTCAAATACTGTGGTTGCGCTGATTACTTGTTGTGGTTAGGTGATATTTTTAATAGCATCAAAATAGAGACATTAGTTTTTTAGATGCATGGTCGTTGAGATATAGTTTTCTACTTCTCTTTTTGTTCAACTTTTTTCTGTACCTCGAAACCAATAAATCTCATATCTTATTTAGATTTTCGTAGGACTTGCGGTTTTCGAGATGATTGAACAAAACGAACCGCAGCAAAACGCATTTCTGAAACTAATGATTTCTGTCCTATTAATCTTGTGAATGAGGAATAATCCAGTAAAAAATATGTACATTTTTGGTTTAAGACACGTTGAAAGTATTGGGAAATATACGAGACGGGTGTAACGGATTGCTGAGCTTATACAGTAGTGCATTATTATAGTCCTGTAAGGGTTGTCGTCTACGAAAGCTCATTTTGCTGAAAACAATTTCGCACCGGGGAACCACTTCAGTTACTTAGGTAACCCATCGGGACCTTTCAATACTCTAACTTTAATATAGCTATTTTCGCTTCAAACTACATCCTTGTAACCTATTCACGAGTAATCTTTTGGATTGCTTTAGTCGCTCACCTAATTTCCTTTATCCTATAAACAGATATTTGCGTTGCCCTAAATTAGATCTTGGACTAGGCATAATAGGAATACAATGTGCGGATATCAATAATGTAGTTAACATTTTGGGACTATTGCGTCCGTAAAAGTATATCCGTAACAGCTGAATTTAAAATAATCTCTGTTTTACCAAGTACTTTAAAGTACAAAAGCAAAGAAATTCAGTGGTGATGGTAAAGCTACCCACAGAATAGCAAAATGGTTATAGTGTTCGACATCAGTATTAGGCTCTTTGTCCGATTGCTTAACGACATGCTGAACGACGACATCCAAATGGAGTACAGCAACAAATAAAGCTACGTCAAGCGCCATTTCCTATAACTTTGTTAATATTACGAAAGTCATATTGGTAGTTGTGGGAAACAAGGTCGTCTGCCTATTTGTTTTGCTGAGCAGAGCGTCTACATAAATAGGCACATTGTTTGGTAAATAATGCGTGTAATATAAGGTATTCTACACTATGTAGTTCCTTAGCTGTAGCATTTCGAATAGACTCAGCCAAAATATTTCATTAGCCTCTGTTTTGGCTACGATAAACCATTTGCCTCGCGCTTACCTTTACTGGGCCGTTTAGGCTGTATATGTCTTGGATTCCTTGAAAAGATAATGAAAATGCTGTTTTTCAATGAATAACACAACACTGTCGTGTGAATAATACATTTTATTTCAAATTTCATATGAGCTAATCTATGCAAGACTCGAGCAACAGTTGGGTGTGTTGCCACATGCACGGCCGCACAATTTACATATGGAATACTTATAAAAATGCTCAAATAGTCTAAGAGATTTTAATAAGTAATGGAAGAAAAACAACGTGATTATATTAAAAGTGAAGGCTTTTCACCTCTCAATTTGCTATTCGAGTCCTATTTGAGCAGTAGTGCGGAGTGCACCCAGCTTGGTATATATTGCCTAGTAGATTATTATATTAACCGTGTTAAGTACGACCATTGTGCGCAACGCGCAGTCTAAACACACGGTGTAAACTCGCGTTACAACTTCGTCTTTTTATTATGAAAAAAATTTCAATATCGACCGTCACTGGACGTATATTGAAATTAATTCATCTTACACGACACTAAACAGACCTGCGGGCTTTGTTCGGCGTCTATTTTGGTATTAAACATATTTCACCGCACCCTAAAAACAAAAGTTGTTTTGCTTAAGATTTTTTTGAGTTATCAATTTCGGAGACTTTAAAAAAAACAGTGGTTTCGTTTGAAGTTTGTTTTGCTATGTTTTCTGTTGAATAGGGCTATATTTTTACCGTTAATGTAAAAGCAATGTCATTGAGCGTAGGCACTTTTAACACCAAGCCATGCATGTATGAATAAATGAGTCGTTGCTAAAGTTGATTTGCAAAGATATCATTGCATAAGGCTGCAAATTATCATATTTTTAGTTTTATTGCTCTTTTTGAGGAAGAAGAGTTTTGCACGCAACTCAGAGCAATATGTAGCTTACGGTGATTAAATATTGGTTCTTCAAGGGAAATAAGTATCTTCCAGTATTTGTCCTTAGTTTTTTAGAGTTATAGCAAAACATGATTGCACTGGAAATTGAGGTGGGCGTAATAGCAAATCACCGTCCTTTTAAGGGTAGAAATTAATTCTTGGAGGTAGAACAACTTGTCCTTTAAATGTGCTGCCCGCATTTTTTGTGACAATTAGGTGATTGTCGAAATCATGAGCTATTATCCCTGTACCGTTGAAGAACTCCTCATTAAAAAAAAAAAGATTTAGAATGATCCGAAAATCTTTATCTAGTTGCAAGTTATGAGATAAAAGCCCAGATACTTCAAGAACCTCAAGTAATTTCGAAATGTGTCACATCGGTATTTTGACTGAAGGGAGAGTATTCCTTATGATTTCTAAAGAATCGTGCAATCTAAATATTGTTTATTTCTCGGATCAGTTGGTTAACGGGAATTAATATGCGTTTCTTCGAAAATTTTTCTATTGAATTTTTACTTGATATTAGCTGCTAGATCAGGTCGATACGTTAGGCGATAGAACCTTGTTTTAGCGCATCGTTTTCAAGCATTGTAATTTCATTGTTAGCATTTTTTGGAGATTTATCTTCACCGATGTCTAGTATAAGCTTACATTACTGCGCGTCAGCTTCGTCTAGTCGCATGTTTACGTGTGCATCTTTTGATAGATTATTTTTATCGCAATGCATACGTGTGATCTTCTAATAGAGGCGTCTTCCATACTGGCGCCTCTACCTCAGTCGATTACTGGTGGCTCTTAGCGGAAGTCGCCTGAACATACAGAGAAGATAGCTTCGAAAAATTCACCTTTATTACATGCATCACGGAGCAACGATCAAAATTTCTAAAAATCTCTTGTCTAATCATAAATCATTCGTCCCAGACTGTCATCATAAAGTGCTGTTATTCGAAATATGTCTACAGTTTTTGATTTTTTTCATGTTACGCGGTCCACCCTCATTACCGTAAATGCAAAGCCTGAATCGGAAGGTCACAATTTGGAATTGAATTAATCGCGCACATTTTACTTGTTTTTTATGAAACCTCAACGAAAACAGTTAAGCCGTTGTTTTTGTTTAAGCAATCACAAACATTCAATGAGTTTATAAGTGGCTTATGGAAGTTTACAATTTCTGTCTTGGAGCTCCTGTAGTGTATTTGTTTAAAATTGAGTAGGAACATGTGTGTGTTTTACAGTAAGAGCACATATTGTTTGTTCTATTGATATCAGCCTATTTTGCATATATCTTTTAGTATGAGTATTTGCCTTTTTTATAGTTCCATTCTACTTAGAAGTCTGTTGTCTTGTTCGTTTTGCTATACGGCGCTCATTTGCTTCTGCTGCTGTTTCGGAGGCTGTTCTTATTCTTCTGACTCGACAGAGTTTTCGCTGTTTTAAACCATAATCGCTTTGATATGCTACGGCCGGTTATTAGGCTATAAACCTGACGGACGCAAAACCAGACAGCTTCGTTCACAATACGACCTACATATATTTACACATACAGTTTGTCATGCAACACACTTATTAAGCACACTTATTCATATAACACAATTTTTACACTGGTGATAAATCGAACCAAAAAGTGCTCTGGGTCGGTTTGTCCCTTGTAAATTATGGTGCGGCGTTGTCTTTAAATATGGAAAAAAAAGAAATAACTGCTGTTAGTTTATGGCCAACTAAATTAGCATTACCTACTATGGCAAAAAGCAAGTCACGAAAAAGCATTTGACCTGGCGGCTCCATCTTTCCAAGCAGGAACTTTAGCTACCCACCAAAAACCAGCCCAATTCGACAAGTTTAAGGGATCATTTTCGATAAGAAAGTGCCATCACGTAAGATTTTTCAGTGGGATAAATTGATTAACCTGCTCCCTTCTTCAGCTCAACATTAACAAAACGAATGGCTGAGACTAAATGCGGCACTTTCGTCGAATTTCGGCGGAATCCGAAGAATCTTATCCTTAATGCTCGGAACAAATTGGGCAATCTTTGCTCGGACTCTACGGTCCGGTAGCGCTCCATTAACCCTAACGGCTCAACAAGATGGCAGGGTAAGTTGTTGCATTTTTCCTTAATGATTTTGTGCGCTAAAATGATTTTGCAGGCCATTGTCGATCTACTGGCATAGCTGCCCGACACACGGCAACCTTACGGCCGACGAGCGCGTCCGGTCGGCTGCAGCGATCAGTATATTCGATCCTGGTCTGGTGTTACCGTACAATTAGATCGGCGTTTACCGGACGCCCCGGTAGATTCGTCTAAACAACAAGGTGTTTAAGGACGTCTCCCCATATCACACACGTATACATCGACCGACTGCTCCTAGTTACTAGTGGCTATCGCTTATTATAGCGAGAAGTGTTGGTGCGTGATTTTGGTTAACATTCGTTGTGAGCTCTGCATCGCGCTACAGTGGTCTAATGATGCATAAGGACTTGTGCTGATGATCTGGTATCAAGTGGTCAATTGTGTGTTGAAACTTCGGTCGAAACCACTGCAAATATTCCAAAGGTTCACTGTTGGCGAGGACGGCTGACTCAAGCGACCTTTTTTTACCGACCTCAAGTCCGTCTGAGTGACTTCTTTGGTCCTCGTCGGTGACTATTGAGAAGGTTTTTGTAAAGCAGAAGAGGTCTAAACCAATCAGTCTGGAGTGTAAACAATAACATTAACAGCAATAACAAAGCAACAATGATCCTGTGTCGCCTTGCGTCCGTACGCCGTCTCAATACATTACGGCCCCTAACCGCGCAAAGGCCTCAGTTGGTAGCTGTGCCAACGACGGTTTCGACCGGGCATAAGCTGGTTCGCTGGATCAGTTCGTCAGAGAAGAAACCAGCAACACATGTCGGCAATGCGCCTGATACCGTAATCGACAATCCGCCCCGAACCGCCGAAGACTTTGCGGAGGCAGCGACGAAATCCAGAAATTGGATTAGTTACGGGTACAACATAGAGGATATCGAAGATGACAGAGACATGCATGCGTTGGTAATGTTCTGCATGGTTTCCATCGGCCTGGTCGGGACCACGTTTCTTCTTGGATATCTACCAGACTTCAGGGATAAAGACTGGGCTCACCGAGAAGCCTTCCTCGAGTTGGCCCGCCGCGAGAAGTATGGTAGGCCATTGATCGACAAGGAGTTCATCCCAGTGGAACGGATTCACCTGCCTTCTGAAGAAGAACTTGAGGGCGTTGAGGTCTACCTATAATCGCTACGCCTATAATAACTAAGTGGCCGATAGCAGCTGTTATATAATAAAAAGGAGACAGATTAAAGGAACTTCGTTCGAAGAAGTCAGCATTTCCGTCGCCCTCATACCAGTCGAAGAACGTAGATTAATACGTAAAATTAACCTTGCAATAACCTACACTTCCTTCACGAGCTCTCTAACAAGTGGGCGAACGGGTCAACTAACTTAATCAATTGAAATTCCCTATCCTCTTAGAAGGAAGATGCCAGATTTGGGAATGATACTGATAATGACGTTTGGAATAGCAGGCATTATAACATAAACAAAACTATGAGTATTGAGTTTTGTCATTTCGATGTCGGAACGACACTAAGAATAAGAATTCGTCTATTCCCCGTTACGGTTAAAAGATGAAGACGATAAGTAAAAAAATCAAAGGAACCAATGAGCCCGTTGAATTCGACAACTAAATACATGTGAATATCTATAATAATAATATTAATCATGATGGGTGAAGGAAAAATGCGTGGAGTGAGCTCAACGACGATCGCTTGTTTTAGCACAGTAGAATGAAAACTAAAATAATATGAAAAAATAATAGAAAGTGACGATGGAGGCCGAATCGAAATAGATTATGAAAACAGTCGAAAATACAAAATAAAACGTTGTTTTTATGCTAGGCAATCAATGTAGTCATCTTTTTCTTCTGCCGCGTCTTGTAAATATGAGTTAATATTTACGTGTATCACTATTATTTAACTAAGGTTCGGCTATTTTTACCACAGTTTTAGGCCAGGTGTCCGATTTGAATTACAACTGATAAGAGTTACTACTAATGTTCAAATAGTTTAATGCGCTCCTTTCAAATCATATGTGGTAAACCTTTGCCTAGGTGGTTCTTTAGTGTGAGTTTGCCGAGTTTAAAACTAAATTTCTCTTAACGTATAGCTCAAAATTGTAATCTCTCTCTTAACTATATTATATCGGCCCCTTGTTTGAGGTTTTAGTTGAATTTTATTACTCAAAATCATGATCGCTACACTGAGCACATTAAATGTTTACTATAAAAAGTGCAAATAACGAAAGCCTCAGACGCTTTCACGACAACCCTTATTTCGAAATAAATTGTTTTGCGATATGGAGTATTCTGTGTTTACTCTCTCTAGTGTATTTCAAATTTTCATTATTAAACCCAAAAAAACTCAAAAATTTACTTACGGGCAGTAGTTAGGTTTTTATAATAGATTGTCTGCAAAGAAACCTGCCTTATCCATTTCCGGATCTAATTTTTTGTAGTTCAAAAAGTTAATTACGCAAGAGAATTTACTCAATAGTATGAGTTGAAATAGGTTAGGAAATCTATCTGGCCTCCGCCAAGTGACACTTTTGAGAAAGACAAGAAAGTAAAGCACAAAAAACGTGTAAGTTCTCGTACTATATGCCAAGAGGTGTGTTTAGTACAAGTTACATCATTATTATTTTTTTTTCCTTGCTCCAGGATGTCGCAGCAAGGAGTAGTTGAAGAGATTACTGTAGAGGAAATGGACACCCTCGGCCATCAAGAAGCCGAAGAGGAGAAAGAAGGTCAGGAGTCACAGGATGATTGTCAGGAGGGTGTCGTTGAGGTGGTCCAGTTCACGCAGGGTGTTGGGCCCCAAGGTGAGAAAGAAACTGTTGTCGAGACTGTCGAGTTAGACGGAATCCCTCAAGATGCTGTACCCAGCGATTCCAAAATTTATAAGGTAATGTGGCGCTTTCCAACTTCATTCATTTCAGTACCTAGGCTATAATTGGTCAGTTCTCTGTTCCGTCGGTCAGCACGCTGTTGCAAACGAACCAGTCAGTTGACTAATGCACTAATAAAGTTGTCTCCGAGGGATAAAGAAGTATTCAAACTACATCCACGAACGGCTACAACGTTGAAAGCTAACGTGATATCATCGTAACTAAGAGAGAGTTGAAAGTAGATCTGTTATTGTCGTTTTCATTTTATGCTATCAAACGTACGGGTATTGATTTACATATACAAGAAAGATGTATGTGTGGGACTTAATTATGCAAAGGATAACTTATAATAATTTTTATTGCAATTATTGTGTTATTTGTGTCGCTTGCATTTGATATCTCTAGAGCTTCAAATGCCATCTATGCAAAATCTACTTCAATCGACTTCATTCGCTAAAATCGCATATTAATTTGTTGCATCCTGAATTGGACTGGAATGAGCTTTATCGTACGACGAGGTTTAATTGCGGTGAAGAGCCTTGCGGGTATGTTGGCAAAACGCGAGCTGACCTACTCAAGCACCTTCACCAGGAGCATGACTTCATGTTGCATAAAGTCGAAGGTGAATTCTACAATCACGATGACTACACCCTGTTCTTCGAGAGACTTCAAAAGGTAAGAACTTCAGTTTACAATAAAATTGGGTAATAAGATAGGAGCCTGTGTAGCTACTAGCCATAATAGGTGTTCTGAGAGAGATTACGTGCAAGGAAAGTTTTTGGTTCTTGAACCAGCAGGTTCAGTTGTACGGTGTGAAGTGCTATAACTAGAAACAGAAGATCTAATTTAGGAAGATATATAATTTTATATTTCTATTTTTGCTTTCGGTGAGACTTAATATCAAATGACAAAACAGTTTTTGCTGATCATGCTTTTTTTTTAAATAAAAGTGGATATGCAACATAGTATAATCGTTTAGCTCTGCAGCCAACTCTTTTATGCGTGCTAGATAAAACTGAAATGAAAAACCATCTATACCACTTGATTCCATTTAGGTGCACAAAGTTCGATTTGTGAAGAAACGGGGCAGGGCCGTAGAGTCCACAACACAATATTTTGTTTGTAGTCGAGACGGCTTTACAAAGAGCAGCAAGGCGTTCAAACTCAAGGAGGCGGTCCGAAAGAGGAACTCATCATCACATAAGATTGGCACATTCTGTACAGCCCATGTCACCGTGCGGCACTTCGCCGATGGTAAATTTCCCCTGTGCATCTAGGTTCACACCAGCGTTATCGACAGGATATATAGTTATATGTTCCAGTGAGCATTCTTCAATGGAGCTAATCACGTTTCATCTAAGCAGTCTACTACAAAATTGATTGCAACTGATCCTCCCCGCAAGGAGCATACATATTATACAAATAATCGAGTCGCTTTTATGCTCAGTAACAGAGTAATACATTATATAGGAACAAAGTCACCTTAGTCATTAGACACTATCCTTCTATATATTCCAATCTTGGGTAGCCATATTAAAATTTCTAGTGAGTGTTGTTCTTTCGTAAGATATCTATATTTATCTCGATAGTCCACTTGTCTTTTCTTGTTTTTTTCCTTCTATTTATTACAGGACGCATTACAATCGAGGGTTATACAACTCATTATAATCATCTGATCGAAGGCAAACATTTGGGTTTGTTGGAGTCCGAACGTCAGTTCATCAAATATCACGCCCAGATGGGCATGCCCATACGAGATATCATTGATTTAATACATCGAACAATTGGGGCCTCAGTTGCTGAAGACGATCCCTTGCGATTTCTCAACTCGCGAACCGTACGAAACGTCATCAACTCGGTTACTGTACGTATAATCTCTTTTATACAAAACAAAGTAATAAGTACTGTGTATAAACTAAAGCCCAATTGGGACGTATGTCGCATAGTGGGACTCAAAGCGTCACCCTCAGATTTTCAGCCATAATACTGAACAGCGTACAAAACGATTTCTTTTTAGAATGGCTCACTTTACCAGTTCCAAAAGCACCGCCTACGTAGGTCATCTCTTATCAGAGGGTCGTGAATGTACATTGGTGTCAATGGAACGGATTTGAATTTTTTTGTTCTACACAATGAACAGTAATGCATATTTATCGGGCGTTAATTTTCCATATTACCAAGGTATTTGTTAAACTATTTGTTATATATTTAGCAAATGTGCGACTGTTAGTCTATGTTGATAGATGTGAGCTTAAATACACGCTCTTTTCCTATGACTCCTCGAGCGTAGACAACCTTTGTGTTATCCAAGGTGATTCGATGAGACTTGATAAATGATTTTATATAAGAAACGTTTTCGATTTTTTGACACAACATCATTTCTTACGAATAGCGACTCATGTAGATGTGGTTTACTGCTTGATTTCAGACGGAGGTTCCGCAGTCTGCTACAAATTTGTTTGCTCAAGTAAACGGGCCCGACCGCCCGCAGGAATTTCCGCGAGTAATCCCTTCTGGGCATAAAGGGTAAGCTGAAGTGGAGTAGATTCATCGGTTTATTACCAGCAATCTAATAAACGCGTACCACGTTCTGCGTTCGGACCCGCTAACGAGAAGTCTATGTTCTGCTAAAATTGCGCGAGTCGCAGATTGATTGTTATTCCGTGATATGTGTTTTCTATGGAGTTGATGTTCTTTTTATCTATTACCTTACCAAGTATTTTTACCGTATTTTTCGAATTTTCACTTGAGCAGGTAATTTGTTAGCCTTGCATAGACTCTCTTGCTAAGCCCATTGGCATGATTACGATCAGTTCTTACGTAAAAGTTAAGATTCATACCTTTTCAAAACTTGACTTGCATTTATTTAAATTTTCCTTATTCGTTTATACTTTCACAGATAGTTTTAGACCTCAAGTGTAATACACGTTAAGTAACGAGACTATTCCTTTAGAATTCTCCTATAAAAGACTTACAAGTAACACGTACGTCAAAGTTTGCCTTGTAACTTCCGCATAAATCAGATAATTGGAACAGCATCACTTTCCGTGTGTGTCATTTTTGCACACTTCGTAATTAAAACCCCAATTTCATATTACCAAAAAATAGTACAGACTCAGTTTATTCAAAAATTGCGTGCAAATGTGGGTTAGATATCGTGTGAATTCAGCCGCTTTGTACATAATATAGGGCATCAGTTTCCGTAAATAATTTTGTATTTCTATAGGCGTCGCGACGTGAGTTTGGTGGATGTGGTGCGGGGTCATACGCAGAGTCTTGAGGAATCGTATGAGATTTTCATTGATGCTCATGAACGAGACGAACTTGGCCGGGAAGAGTGGGGAATTCGCAGTTCCAAAAGTTCCATCAAGTACAAGGTCGAGCGGGTATCCGAAAGGTGCTCGATGGACGTGTTTAATTATGACCAGGTATTAACGCTTTTTAAAGTAGTAATCTTTATATTTTATAATCAGTGAGACCGCAAAAACGTCAGTAAAGTATGATAAAATTTTTAGCAATCTTTGTTAGGTCGTAACTCATTTTCTTTATATGTCTCTAAGCCTATTACAAAATCTATGTAATTACCACGACTCTAAAGGACGCCTAATGGTCTTCTTAACGTGACCCCTACCTATTCTTAATGACTCTTAATTCAGCCGTGCCCACTTACCTGTGTGCATTGCCGCTGTTGCGCACACATCTACGGCTGCAACTGTCCCAGCGGGAAATTTGGAAAAATGTGCCAGCATGTGCACGCGATTTGTCAGTACCTGCGGCGAATAGGACGAGAACCCCTTGGACCGCAACATCAACAATCACTCATCACTCACCCACATCACCAGCAACAGCAGCAGGTGCTGGACGAAGAAGTTGTCCTCGAGAACGCAACAGAGGTTTGTCCTTCACCTGTAGGGAACGGCTGCCAGGATGAAGTACTCGTGTAAAACATTCGACAATCAAGAAGTCCAGTGAAAGAGACACTTAGGACGCAAAAATTACTCGGGCAACTCAAGCCTTATCAAGGGATAGTGGTAAAGAGCTGTTTCGGAGGCTCTCCTTTAGCGGTTTCGCCGTCCTGCGGTACGGCTTTTTGTTGATCATACATACATAGGCCAACTCTGGGTTTAGCTAGTTTGGCTACTGCTTTTTGGGCCTTTCATTGTTAGTGATATTGCAATGCAGTTTCCTGCTTTACGCCAGCACGGTGCTTGGACAAGAGGATACAAAATAGGATCGCTAAAAGAGGACATGCAATATGTATTGATGTGAATTTGGACGTAAGAACGAACCAAGCAATATAAGGGGCCCAATGTTTCAGTCAGAAGCTTTTCTGTGATGCTATTAGAGAGCATAAGATTAGAGTACAGTATAACATGTAATGGGGTCCATTCGGCAAAATGCTTACCTCTTTTCTGATAATTTTTCACTGATTCCATGACTGAATTGAAAAAAACTCTTTTGAATATCATAGTTCTGCATCTATTAGAATATATGTGTACGATATAAAGCGTACAAAAAGACGAGAACAACTATAAACTAACCACAAATAACCACAACATCGCTGAAATAATTATTGATAGTGATTACTTTTGCTATTTATGCTTCTTGATCAGTTATGGAACAAATATGGGTCCTCCGTAGTTTGCTATAGAAGCTTTCAAAATGTTGATTAATTAGCCATTCGTTTTTCAGATAATCCACCTTGGTGAAGCAGACGACACGCTTGGTGGTCAACAGCAAATTGAACATGTAGTACTGGAGGGACCCCATGATTCTCAGCAGACGAGATACCAGCAACACCAAGTAAGCAAAATCTTGCAATAACAAAACCTGTACCTTCATAATAATTATAATACCGGGACCAAATGCCTAAGGTCCCCCCGCCACTTTATATTGGATAAATAGTGGTAGTAGGTTGTAACCCACATGCGCATATTGGTTGACTAAACACATCCTTGACGTATGGGTTGCTGAATATCGGCAATACATACTATTGTCATTTGTCTAGCATTGTTCATTTTAGCTGTAAACATGAATATGAGTTTTCCTACACATGAGGTTTTCAGTGCAAAGTTGCTCACCAAGGCAAATTCACTTATAAGTAATAAGGAATATATCTTTTTCTGTAGGCTTAGCCTTGAGTACACATCGGTATTTATAGAAAGTAGATTTGGGTGAGGCAATAACTCTTGTTATTGTTTTATTGTCTATCTCATAGGCCCGACGTGGAGCTACCGTCAGTCTGGGTACTGCGAAGCAGCAGGTGGTTGAAAACTCTTTGGTGTTTCACGACTACGGTAGTCGGAAGGATGGTGAAGCAAGCAATTCTGTTGTGGACAATACGTTTATGCAACTTATGGTCGACGTAAAGGAACAGGTAAATTCGTCGTAGTAGTAGCATAGTAAATTACGAAAAGTGCATTATCGCATTGAATTTTACCTTACACAACGTATGCGTGTGATTATGGTATACATACCATGGTTTAACCGATTTTAGCGAGGACTTTTAGGAAACACCAGGCGCGTTAAATATGCTTTGCCTCAAAAACTATTTAGGATTGCTTATGCTTAAATGTAATGCTCTAGGAAATTTCGGTTTACGCTTCGACTTATAATACAATAATTCAGATCAATAAACAGAATGGTCAAGGTTATAAAAACACAACTACTTATTTTTATTATTAATATCGCACCATATCTTTGGATTTTTAAGTGTTTTTCCTTCCATTTCTTACTGCAGATTGCCCAAATCGATCAAGCCCTAGACGCTAGAGATGCGCTTACAGCTAACATGCACTTTAATACTTTGAAGGTAAGAGTGAAATGAACGGGTTGTTTGCCGTTTTATAACAATCCACGTGGTCGATTTTTTTTTACTATTTTTTTATATTAATTTTTATTGCAACGTATATAGCATAAACATTATATTCTTCCGGGGGATTAGTACCTAGATATTTTCAAAAACTGATGGCAAAAGTACTTTACGATTAAGACTTATAACTATCTTTTATAATTGCAAGATATCCACACAACAGTCGCCCACAGATTAAAATCACTAAAATTTGCAATTAATTTATAGATTAAATATTTTAGATTCACCAATCATGTTTTCTCGTCGTTTTCATTCTTCTAGACCCTCATCGTACGAGCGGAGGGACCCAAGATGATCGCCATCGACACTAACCATCCTCGCTAAAAGATTTTTGTTACAGTATTTACAACGATCTAATAACAAAATATTCTGAATAAAAAAACATGATGGGCTGCGCCATACATAGAACTATTAAAATTCGTAGAAAAAGTCTACACCACTAAAAAGATAGCCGAAAAACACTGTAGACTGTGCTTAACAAGCTTGAGGTATTCCGCACCATTTAATTCGCCGTGCGGATTCAGGCCAATAAGCGCTTGTGAAAAATATGTATATTTTTATCATAAGGTTGGCTTTTTAATCGCTAAGTGATAATTGATGTATACTTTATTATATTATAATTAGTAGGTTATAAAAAAAAAAAGATGTAGAGAACGTCTGCAACACATCTAAATAAAAATATCGATGTGATTTTTGAAACCAACAATATTTTCGAAATTGAGTAATTTTTGTTGAATCACAGAGTGCGAGTACCATATTGTTTGTGTTATATAAAGTTTTCACCAATTCACGGTAAAATTTGAACAAGAGCCGAAATTATTTGTATCAACGATTGTCAAAACTGGTTCCTTAAGACTTCTGCAGCGCTCTCTATGATCTATACTTCTTTTCGCTTTCATTTAAAGTGGCGCTACTCCGCATCAAACAATTCCGCTTCAAATTATTCTGTTTTAAATAAACAGGTTAAATGCAATAAAAACGTCACGCATTGTGCATTACATCAACGTCTTATCATAGGGTAAGTAAAATGAGTCTCAACCCTATGCCATATACACAAGCAACACTTTAAAAAATAAAATGTGTAAATATAAAGTTCGTTGAAATGGATAACAATTATGAATTATTGGCATTTATTATGAAAAATTGTGTGACTATATAATAATGCTATTATTAAAAATAATTAGTAATGTGTGAGAACATTGAAACAACTAAGGAACACGTTTGAATACGTACTAATATAAAGATATATTAATAAAAAATTACAAGATATATACATATATACGAAAAATAGTTTTCACAGGGTGTTGTCATTATATATATGCGGTCCAGTCTGTGTTGACATTAAACATAATGCTAAAACCCTAGTCGATTCAAATTAAGCTACTAACCTGACTATATTACAATTTTGGAACCGAAAACTAAAGATTATCCACTTAGGACGCTGAAACTACCTTAAATTCCTTGCTGGTCTTCGACGATTGTTGACTATGACCGTATGAGATTATATTTCAATTACATTTCTCCCTTTCGGACCTCGCTATTCAATTTCTGGTACCATTCAATTCCTTTATTTAACGGCCAGAAGAAATGCAACTCAAAGGAGAGGATCTTCCTACCATTGTAATGGTTCATGACGTTTTCGTGCGAAATAGTACATCAAGCCGCAATTAAGACTCGGAGCGTGCACTGTATCAGATGGTGGGTATTCTACCAGCGGATGCTACACAGAGATAGTGGACAACAGACAAGCTACGACAAGAGTCGTTTCGAGTTTGATTTTTTAACATGAAAAGTATGGTAATAGATATAAGGAAAGAAGGATCTTACATAGGTACTAACTTACTTGCACATTGATAGATCCTCTTTGTACTTTCAAGATCTCTAATTTCTAACGAAAACAATGTACAAGAAGATAGCCGTACTAAATTCACCGTAGCTTCAAATTTGTCATTTGCTATTTTCTATTTCTATAGAGTCGCTTATTTGCAGATTTTTATTGCTATAACTTTCAATATTATGTACCAAAATACTTCTCACTCTTTACATACAAGATTATTTACACTGACATTTAAATCATTCAGTCAAAATTATCCGTTTGCCTTGTACACATACATGTTGCCCCGCAAGAATATTAGCTATTATAACTAATTATTCCACAACATGACAGCAATTTGCTCCAAACTGCTTGAAAGTAGCAACAGGGTGCCACACAGTATCCTTGATTTCAAGATTTCAATTCTCCAATATCAATGTCTTGACTCACCACAATTCGAATGGCAAAGAAACTAATTTTTAATCTATATGGCCGATTTAGTTAAAACGAAGTAACGATGCCTTCACTAACTATCTGACCTATAAAGACCGCAGATCTACTACATGACCACATGAGTAACCGAAGTCGAAAGTGACCGACTTCCTAGTTTTTAAGTGATGAAAAATATATTTTGTTTAATAATATGAGTATCAATACTCATCCGATGATATTAAAGCATCGCGGGTGAATATAACTCACAACGCGATCCGAACCAGCATTATCTTACCTGACATTCTCTGCAACGTTCACCTAGAAATTGTAGTGCATCAAATGACTCGATACTACTTCAGCGAATTAAGGCACCACCCACTGCGGGTTAATGGGTGTCCTACGCAAATCTGTTATTAGACACTAGTAGGGCATGTGCAAATAGCCGGGGCAAAAAGAACATACAGCGTGATTCAATCTTCTCACATTTATGTATCGACGTTTCTTGGAGGCCTCCGAAGATTTCGTTTCATTCCGTCAACCAGCCACGTAATACCGTCTTGGATGCCTTCTCCGTGCAACGCCGAGGCTCCGACAATATGCATCTCCCTATTACTTATATTGCATTCGCGGAACAACTGACGAATCTAAAAGCAAACAGAAATTTTACCGATTGCATATCACATTAAATTATGGTTATATATATATATATATGTATATAAGTTATAATGCAGTAGCAACGTGTTTATTTATTAAACGTAAAAAAAACGGTCGTGGTCTGAATTTGAATCCGGGCGTAGCTACACCGTTCGTTTCGTGCTGGCAAGAGTCAGCCATGATGTAAAGCATGCAACATTTGAGTATATATATATACATATATATATATATATAATAAACGACTCTTTGCGCCCCATCCTTTCAGTCGTGGAATCATTAAGTATTATTTGCGTTTATTTTCACCCCACGCAAATCAGGGTAAAAAAAAAAGGTAAAAAGTAGCTTTCAATACAAGCGACGTAATCTAATGAAGGGTCTTATGAACAGGGTATTCTTTGCTTACCTCTGTTACGGTGGCGGCTTCGGCAATATCCTGTTTATTGGCTATAATTAAGAGAGGTACACCGAATAAGGCATCATTATCAATCATCTTCTCAAATGATCGCCGTGACTCCTGAAGTCGCTCGCGACACGAGGAGTCTACGACGTATATGATGCTGTGCGACTCTGAATAGTATTTGTCCCACAATGCCTGTAATGATAAAACAACGACGCTAAATGTTAAATAATTTAGTAGTCAGTACTAATTATTTTTCGAAGTCCTATATTTCGGTCATTGGCCAAAAATAAGTTATGCGTGTACGATACCAAGTAAGTTTTTTTTTACCTGTAGCGATTCTTGGCCACCAAGATCCCAAAAGTTAATTCGCACCCCTTGCGTGTCGATTTTGCCAATGTTAAGTCCCACCGTAGTGGTTAGCTTGTTAGGACGAAGGCCGGTGTAGCCCTTCGTGAACTTCGTCTTCGTTTGTTCTAAATACGTGGTTTTTCCTAGAAGGAATAACAGTAACAGACACAGCAATGGCCGTAATCTTTATCTGAATAACCATATGCTCTTAATATATATCTGATCTTAAAGTCAATACCCTTGCAACCGTTTCAGCACATCCATTTAAACCAAATGCTCTAAGTTTTACGTTCTTTAAACATTGCTTTAAACAGTCACCTTAATCTGCGTAATTCGTCGTAAGCAATTGTTCTAATGAACTTAGGCTCATCAGTTTAAAATCCTAGAATGCTGAATGAATAAATGAATTTATATAATTTTTTTTTGTTTGGTGTTATAATTATGTTTTTTTTTGCTGAATGTATGCATTGCTATGCAGCAGGCTAACGTACCTGCGTTGTCTAATCCAAGTATAAGAACAGAGTATTCCTCTTTCTGAGTTATATACTTCCATAGGCCGTGCAGTAGAGTATACATCTCGTTGATGTACGATGAGCGAACTTGTTGGATAACTTTCACAGTTTAGTTTCAGCGCGCGGCACAAGTGCCTTTTATATATTCTCGATGAATACTCAAATCCTTTTAAAACGTTTGTATTAGTTACCGCTTGAAGGCTTTTAGTGCTTCAAGGAATATTTCCGAAACTGTTTTTGCGAATCATACATGGGCCTGGTCCACGGCAGTGACCTCACCCGTCACCTTAGTGCTACACGCAGCTTGGAGCATCACGTGGTAACATGCATGGAGAAGCTGCCATGACGAAATTAAAAACAAAAGCCAAACAAACACTTTTTTACATCTGTAACGTTAGCCTGAGGGCTATTTTCCCGTCTTATTTCGCCTATGTTAACGTATTGCTCGTAAAAGAAAGTCAGGCCGCTAGTGTATTACGTATATAGGCCAGCTGATTGTATTCAATATTTTATTTTATATATCAATACCTATTACCTGCACATCAAAGTCGTTTACCGAGTATGCGGCATCCAAACAGCATGTGTCCTTCGAGTGTCATAGCTAACGAAAGGAAACTAATTTCATCACCCATATGCCATTCGAACACTAATTAATATTCCTTTCACGGAGTCTAACGTGAAATGATCAGACAAATGCACAGTACAAAGCTTTGATAACAAACTATTCGTAATTCCTAGTTCGGAAAAACACAATCCCAAAGAAAATCATTTACGAAATCCCTAGTAAAAGAGGAACTTCGATACACACGGACAACTTCCTTAACACTAATACATTTCATCACTTTCAAAATCTAGTAGTATAAAAACAATTCATAATAAAACAAACAATTCAGCTGCTCATAGTCAACACACGCCAATGTTCAATTGTTTCACTTACAGATCTTTGACACTGCCACCCGCTTCCCCAACGGTAAAGAGACCCCAATGACCATCATGTGAAATCTGATGATCTCTGCTTACCGATGTCGCACTAGCAGTCGACCGCGTCGGCGATTTAGAAAAGCAAGCAAGATCAAGCAGGAAAGGCTTAATAGGCAAGAATGTTTGCAATAAGTGCATCTCGATTATGGAAATGATGAAACCGAAAGAATAATTTCATTCGTACAAACTTCGCACTATTTACGTATCGCCAGTGGCAACATTCATGTGACGTAGGGTACGATAACATGATGTACTTCTATCTCATGCCATTCGCGTGAAACATGGGGAAAAATATATACGTGTGGGTATGTCAGCGCGATATTTCTTTCAACTGGTTCGAATCTGCCTTAAGCTCAAAAGTAAATGGTTCCACGAACTCTATCATTGCGGTGGCCGGGCAGAATTAGTTATGTTGGCCTAGAATTTTCGGGATTTGGCTACATTTTATCTACAAATGTATCTCTTTTTTTCGTTGACAACAATCGGCATGAGGAAGTTATTTTTTCGTGCTGATTGTGGACAGCTACACGGTATGCGTTTTATGCGTTGGACACCTTCAATCGAAACTGGCTTTAGGGTTTCCTGCTATGTATTATTATTATCACTGTCAATATTATAATCATTATTACTATCATTATTATTCGTATGTATACCAGAACTACATTTAGTACAAAAATAAACTTTTGCAAATAGCAGAAAATGTTTATCAAATCTGGTCTGGGGTACAGCGCCTGTACGAAACAAACATTCTGAGCGTTGAGCGGCTGGGGCTCAGTATGAACCTAACAGACACGGTAGCTGGGAGAGCAGTTGAGGGCAACGATTAGTTGTCGTAATCAGGTTTATTTCTTCTAAGTAAATACGAACTCGCCATCTTTATTGAAGTGGCATTTCGGATAAATAAGTCTGTCGTTCTATCCTAGGATACAAGAATAATAAAAGGTGACAGTAGAGAATGAGAAACAAAGACAACAGGCGCAAGGTTGGTTGATATTTTTCGCTTCGGATCCTCAGAGGTTATATAGGTGTTGAAGTAAATGTAATAGGTAATCGGCGTAGATTGGTTGTATACAACCTTTATTACGGTCTTTCCCCATTTCCAGCAAAAAAAGTATTTCTTATTTATATGTAAAAAGCCGAGACTACTGACGAGCGGTTCCTGTTTGAATGTGGTAGCACGCGCGCTATGAAACAATCATTAAGGTATTTAGCGTAAATGGATAAAAAACTTCAGGGCTACATATGACCCACTACGATGGGTTGGCAGAGATTTTTCGTTTGCTGCGTATAGCACCATCTTTCTGCTAATGACCTATTCGATTTCTGTTGGGTAAAGGCGCTCTTGTAGGCATATTACGCTCCACGATCGGAGCTCGAACCATGTGAGTAAGCAGCGTGAGGACGACTTCTACCTTATGCTGACTGTTTAAAGATTCCATGAAATCTGTTGTCGAAAACTGCACAACACCGCGGGTCTATATACAACCAAGAGCACTGAGAAAGGCGAAAAACCCATTTGTTGAAAATACCTTTGCGTCTATTATTAGCCATTATGCATGGGCCTAGGGATTTTTTTACCGACGGTTTCACAAGATCCGAGCGAACGAAGTCGAGTATGACACTGGTGTCTGGGCTATATTGTCTAGTATCAGCTTGCTTGTTTCCTAACTAGTTCATTTGATAGGTTTAGGACAAACCAACTATTTCGACGTAAACAGCTCTTCCGCCAGCGGCTTTTCACGACACTCTTTTGTTTACAGGCGAATATCAGCTTGTCTCTTAAACGCCGAACGGGTGCTGTTCCGCACCCTCGCATAGCCACTCATTCACTGACCATTCCACTTTTGGCGGTGGGTCAAATTTGCTCCGGCTTTGTTTTTTTGGGCGTGATGCCACATGCAGTTCGTGTTGTTCACTAGTAATGACTGTATCCTAAAATGGAACGCACTTGATTAACAAATTAACTGTTTATTTGTAATCGTTGTTCGCACAACGTACTCACTCGCCATTTGGCGTCGTCGTTCGGCTTCCATCTCTTCTGACGTAACACATCGTCTGCCTTTCCCAAACTAAATTAATAAGGATAAGTAGACTGTGCTAGTAAATCCTCCTATGCGACAAGGAAAATGGCTCCCTTGTGCTTATGCTTGAAGGTTACAAAAAGTTTAAATTCAAAACAACAACAACTTTAGATTCGCCATATCTGACGGACATACACAGCATGTCATCAGTAATATGTGCTTGGAGCGTTCAGTAATACTGGAATATTAATATCTAAACAATTCAATAAAGAATATCCATGTACGTTCTAACAGGTTTAAAGATCCACGTTTTCCTATTATTTGCCTTCGAAACCATCTTCATCATCCATCGAACTCCTCCAAATATCTCAAAGGTCGGTCTTGTTGGCCAATTTTTGAGGACGCGTTAGCTGATTTCATAGATTCTGCACACACTATGGCGATAATTATAGTTTCTCCAAGATTTCTCTTTTACTGTGTTCTACGAACAGGCTTCCCTCATTCGGAATGACCAACAACCTCATCCCTGCTTTGTTTCCGACTCCTATTACATTGTGACTTCTTCTATTTTGAAGGAATCACTGATTAATTACGGGCCTGTTACGCTAGTATTTATTACAAGCCTGGATTACACCGTTTTCTTTTACACTAGTGTACGTAAAATCAAATAAAATACCGACGAAGAGAATCGGCTGCTTAACAGTATGGGAGCCCAATGTTGTGGATATGGATTATTATTGCCTCGCCGGCATTGGCATTTGTCCTCGGGATAGCCACACACAAATACGCCATTCTCGGTCCTGTCTTGAGTATCTCCTGCTTTAGCGATTTACCAATCTTTATGGAAACTCCTCGGCATTCTGACCAGCTAACCCACACCAACTCCAGGCCCTCGTCCTTCACAGCTAAACGCCGCTTCCTGTGTCGTTCATTAGGGCGCGTAAGCACGTAAATAGCAAGTCTACACTGCTACTGAATCGAGTGGTTAGGTCGGAGCTCGCCTTTCCGGTAAGTTTGATTGCTGGCGGCCTATACGGACTGTGTTGGTAAATGCAGCAGTAAACCGACCAACGTCGTTTTTGGTCGCGTAATAAGTCGCGGAAGTTTGGTCAGGGCTCGACATCGTCCCTAGCACCAAATCATGAATAACGAGGTCGCTCCTCTAGGACCGGCTGACTACTGGTTTATCGGTGAGAACCTACATAGAACTCGGTGATTCCGTTTCGTTTCTGTAGAGTTTCGCAAAAAAAAACCACTGAGTTAATTCCTCTGCGTGGATCTCGTGTAGCACGCAAACATCAAGCTTCTTTTTGTAGCCAGCTTTCCTTGGATGATTTAAAATTGTTTGGTAATGAATGTCTGTCTCCATAGCCATATCATCATCATCAACTTACGAAATAATTTCATCTACATTTTTGTAACTGATGGACTATTATGGAGCATCTCAGAAATTCCGATGACAGGATCATCCTTTGGCCGTTTCCTCGGCGTAATCAATAACGTATCTTGACTATGAATAGAATAAATTGATTGCCCGAATCGCAGAAATGATTAAACTCGAATTTTCGCGTTCTGCCTTAAACATGACTATAGGTATCCTAGCAACCGGAGCAGACCTACCCTTGCCAGATCTCAACTTTCAAATGACGCGACAGGTAACTTTGAAATTATCCTAGCAAAGAGAAAAGTCAATAATTATTCGGCCAACACATGTATATGGCGCAAGACCGCCTTGGGGCAGCGGTGAAAGATTCGAATTGGGGAATCCAGTTGCCAGGTGTGGCACAGCTTGACCGAGGTAACTCAGGCAACGAAGCGGGCAAGCGGATAACCTTCGTGATGTTCTCATAAAAGCGATAGACGCTGGCAGACAACCATTTTTCATGATGGAAATAAAATTGTCGTCCTTATGTCCTATCTTGTTCTCAGAGCTTGATTCATTTGGCTAAGAGCGATCACTACGGACAACAAAGCTGAGCCTGGCTTACTGCGGTGTCAGATCCCCACACAAATATCCGTACCACATTCACCTAGAAATCACAAGAATGCCCCAAAAATATGCAGTGTGAATGACTTTAACTTCAACTTCATATCGTTCATATTCAATAACACCTAATAAATACAATATATGAATTCCAAAGAATTACGTAGGAAGAATAGTCTTTTCCTCGTATCTTTTATCTCATTTTTGATAACGGTGGAATATTAATTCAGGCTTAGTTGCAGTTTTGTCGGTTTTCTGGCGTATGCTTATAGATAAGAAGTGTCCTTCATGAGAAAAAATCAATTGGCGTCAGGCCTAGGAAACTTACAGGGTGTTTTGTGAAACTTCTTCGTTTCATCTATCGGTTTGGAGATAAAATACGCTGCTACGTTATGGTGGTAGTGCGCAAGTGCTTCGCTCTGTTCCAAATAAAGTTCGCCGTTTGTTACCAAGCTGCTCTCAAATATGCGGTAAAACAGATTTGTGTAGTAAACTTAAATGAATGGCATCGGTCTCTGGACTGTCAAGAATTTTAATCCTATCTCAGTGGATATTTTTTTAGGACATCCTCTACTGTGCCTGGCTCAAGACGTTGATTGTTCCTTCGTCGCACAATGTGTCCACGTGAAAACATTTTCTACTGAATAGCAAACAAATGGCCTTATATTCGAAAGACGAATAGAGTTAAACGATCGTTTAATTAATACAGCTCGCTGACTGGGAGCCGCCGTCCACTGCAGGCTTGATGCAGTAGATGCATTTCATTGCGTCTTAAAATAGCCTAGAGGAGATTACTGACAGTTATGATATGAACTCTTATAAAAATTTATAACAATGACCGCAGCTATGGAGGTGTTTATTACAAAACGGAGTAAAGCCAATTTCAGTTTGTCGTTTCAAGATGTATTACGTTTTATTATCTCGCTCCTGAAAACCCGGTTGCAAGGCTTTGCCGTACGCAATAAGCATGTACGAGCGCCACTGCAAAAACTGTCGCGAAGCTTACTTCCGCGCCAGCTCTCGCTGTTGCTGCTCATAGTTGTTAATTTCAGCCGGCGACTTTCCAGTCGAGGCCTACTCACATCAAACAATTGAAGTCTTCATCTGCATCGTCTGCATATTTTTTTTTAAATCTACAACATCGTGGATCTGCTTCTCACCTACAAATGCACCGAGCGCAAATAACAGCGTATCTTTGACACTACTTTATGTTTCTACCAAAAACAAGAATGATGACTAGAAAAAGCAACACGAAACGAAAACAAATGTAGCACGTTTGCTCTTTCGGACATGTTGATTTGGATAAAAATGAGAGCATCAAGAAATTGTCTTTTTCAACGGACAACACAGGGTATGGATCGTGTCGGTTACGGTAGGTTACTCTTACGACACTTATTTCCTTGGGATCTTTGTATTGAAACGACAATCTCAGATCCAAGAAGCTGAGAGGGGCGCGGAGCAACATTATAGGTCGAATACGATGCACTGGTCTTCGGTCAGCACCTAACTAACGTGAATACGCAGCCTGAACGTTCCCATGGACCACATTATTGGACATGCTTACAAGCAAAATAGCGTAACAATAGCAATAGTACAGTAACATGACAATAGCGGTAAGGGTCAATAAAATGACCAAACTTCCAGCGATGCTGGCGGGGCCTGTTGATGAAGTTGTGCTTCCGAACTTCAACTTGAAACTTTTCCTATGAATTATGGAGACATTTTTCTGTCGCAGCGCGATTTCAAACGTTTTACGTTCGACACCGCCTTGTTTACGCCAGCTCACCAAAGGCCTAGCACCTATTCCCGCTTTTTCGAAGAAATCGTTTCGAAATTATTTTACTGCTCACACACAGACAGCGATAACATTGCGAAATAATTTCGAATGACTATTCAAGTGTACTATATGTACACTATATGTATATGTTGTAGGCGACGGGGTGAACATCTAAAAAGTTTTTACGAACAGGTTTATTACGTATTGAGTAGATAACAATGCTAAATAACATGGCAATTATAGCATAGCCGTATATCATTATAATTATCATCATTTCCAATGTTAGTATCACCTAATATAGAGTGTTGCCACCAGTGGCTTTAACTTATCTAATATATGGAGATAATTATTAAACGTCGGAGTGGATAAATATCTATTATATTGAGCATAACTACTGAAATTTCTACTACAACGTCTCTACCCGTTAAACCTAGTGGTACGGAAATTTTGGGCTTGAATCCCAAAGAGCCACGTTTGATAACGCAATATGAACAAAATTCAGGACTTCAAACGTCTAATTAACTATTGATAACTGTAATCGTAGCAACTTGGTAAGTTTGCTAAGTGATGGTTAAGCCGCTCCAGTTATTTGAGTGTGCTACTTCTTGCCTATAGGTTTGTTCAATTATGTCAAATGATCGTTAACTTCGAACTGAACGGTCACTTGTCGACCTGTTACAACCTCACGCACTAAATATACAAGCGTACACATTAAGCGTTATCATACTTGAATAAAGAACGATATCATTGTGATACATATTTGAAAAGGGTGCAAGCATTACGCTAAATCTCGTTTCCATACGTTTTTGTAAGTGCCGATCTGAGTTCCCCTTAGAAAGCTCTAGGGGCATTTTACGAATATATGACACAAACGCGACAGGCGTGCCGCGCTGATTGGAAATTGGCTATTATGAAGCATGATTTATTTAGTGCTAATTATATATAGTATGAGGTATGAATGAAGAAAGGTCTTACCATCCTGATAATAATAATTTCGTAGCCTCCTATTATGATGTGTCCGTCGATAGAAGTAAATGTTTTTTTTTTTATGTCTAATATCGTCGTCAGACGTTCTATCACGAAGTGTGTCCATGCTTAAATTTGAACCCAGACCACTTTATGTATCTCTGAAGTCAAAACAAGCAAATATCAACAATCGCTGCCGCCGACAAAACTGCTGATGCTGCTATTGTTAAACAGGTGTTAATTGATGTTGTCAGGTAGTGCACGCTGGCTCGTGTTGGCGGAAGAGTTATTACTGGTTTCCTTGCTAGTTAGACACATTTTGCCCATAGCTGGAGGCGTTCAATAGAGTTAGACACCGTAGCGCTGCCCCGCCGCAAAGATATTCGTTTACATAGGTGAAAATCTATTACTGTATCTCTATAGTGAAATTGCATATTTTTATGCCATTTACTAATTTTACCAGACTGATATTTGCCATCAACGATTAACTGATGTCTATTTTTTCGGCTTAATCGAGAATGTAGATTATATACTACTGCTCAAAAAACATGGCCATATGCATATTTTACAGAGCAGTAGGCATAAATTTTGATTCGGTCACTAGCTAACTAGTGTTTGAACAAAAAACGAATTCGCATACGGTTTCACATAATCCGTATCGATCTATGGTGGTCCTCGAACGAGCCTTGTGGCCTTGTGGACAGAAGTTTCTGGCGTTTGTAAAATAACCTATTTAAAAATCTATACTTTTATTAATATGTAGCCTATGGGCTTGAAGTTTAGCGTGGCCGTATGTTCTATCGCAAAACTCGAACCGTTAGCTTCCGATTTAGTATCTAGGAATTTGGCTGACCGCAACCTACGAAAACAAGTGACGATATTAACAAATCCCTTAGATAGACAAATAGGACACACGCTAAATGATGATTTTTTTTCTGTTGGAAAACACATTTTTATTTACTCAGACATCTTATAACATTTCTTTGTTTCTATACTTGTTTGTGTATGTGTGTCTGCGTGTAATCTGCATACGTAATAAACGCGCCTCTAAAGGCCAGGGCGAAGCAGAGCGCTTCCTACAAGACCGTCCTTATTTGTTTGTATAATATGTCTTCAGCGTCGTTTGATTTCGATGTTTCATGTCAGTAATCCAACTGTCTAGTGAACTCTATATGGAAAGATAATACATGATTTGCTGGGAAAACGCACGATATGCTGCATCGCTTTTTGCCCCGTGGCATATCTTCTAGCGACATGCCCTCATCCTATCATATTACAGCTATTGAGTTTCTATCGGAGGCAGTATCTGCCTTATCTTGTAGCTATCGCACCACAGAATAGAACATCATCGTCTGCTGTATTGATTTCTCGATCGAGCATCAACGACAAGATGACACGCGATGTACGCACCTCATGAAGCGCTCGAAATATTGTACGAGAGCTTTGCTGTTACATGTGCATTGTCGATCCCGCCTGCAGTCTTTGGAGAGACATCGGTTAACCAGCTGCTCTGAGCGGGTACCGTTTCAGCGTCGGCCATCAAAATCCCTCCTCGAAGTACAACAATAATACATATTTTCGCCCATCGACATATTTACTGTTGTGGGTTGCATTTAACATTGCATCCTGCCCCTCACCCAAGCGAGCGGGCAAGGCTGAAGTTAACAAACACGAAATACAAGAAATCCATCTATCATCTGCCTCGATCGTACACCGTGGCATTGCACAATGTACAACATTATTTTCTATGCACAGTTATATCATTAATAATATGTGATAGAGTCACAAGGATAATAACATTAATTATTATTATAATTATTATTAGGGTAGACACCACATCTCACATGTATATATTTCTATACTTAGATATATAGATTTTTGCAAATGGCTCTTTCGCTCGCGCATTCCACTATATTTTTTCATACTAATATTTTATCTTATATCTAGACAATGGGCATTTTTCAGTCTCGTTCAGTAGGTAAGTCTCGCTTTTGAAGGGCTCCCCATCCCACGTAGCGTCTTCATGTGTTCATTTTGCACGGAGATACAAAAAATATCTGTGTACTATTGATTGCATCGTCAAATGTGTTCTTAATCTGTGTTATTTTACCGTTTCGTGTGCGTTGTCTTCGATAAAATCATGTGCACCCTTGAACACTGTGTGAGGCTAAGCGTCTGTTCATCAGTGTGTGTATTTGTGTCTATGTGTGCGGATTTGTTCACGTCGTCTGATTCATTCAAGGTTCCTTCCATGCTGTAGCACCATTGGGGGTCCATTGGAGATTGTTTTTGTACTCTTGCTGCACTACTTCTCGATCGTTTAGAATGCTAAAGGGCGTCACCTTTAGCTTGCTGATACTCCTGTCAAAATATACGAGCAGTTGCGCAGTTTTTCATAATGTATCCACCTTTATAGACTCAATGTATATATATATCTATATATATATATATATATATATATATCGACACCATCGGTAACATGACACAACTCACTGCAGCTGGTGTTTTGTCCGGAGTTGACCTTTTTTCTTGCCGTTTTGTTGGAAATGGTAGCCAAGATTCAAAATGTAATTTTCCTGTTTTCATCGGAGATTACGCAGAGAGAAAGAAGCGACATGAAATCCTTGATTTTCGCAGCATCTCATTATAGACTACAGAGTCGTTATAAAGTGTGTTACTGCGTGCCACTGCTGTCATTTATATTTATTTCGAATATTTAGGAGTAATGCTAGTCAAACAACTAGTTGTATACATTGTTCTGTTATCATCACTTCTTATAGTCACCGCCGCTAAATCGGCTTCGTTTTTCATACAATGCCCAAAGCCCCGAATAACGAGTTGGCTTTTGTTGGATTCGTTGTCATATGATTTTTGCTTTCCCGTCGCATGATTCATCAACACTAACATTATCATATATAGCACGCAAGTCGCGGTCAGGCTTGCTTCGGGTCTCCCTCTTTCGGGACAACCGAAGATGGCTGACGCTTGCTCGCCACGTCAATCAACCAGACCTTCCAACTCAACCAAAACGACTTACTTTTCGATCTATTTACTCTTTCCACTCGATACTGGTGTCTTTACACACATTGTAGTTAACTTCACTGGCAATTGTCATGAAACATAGGGGACAATTGGACCCCACTTCCGTAACACGTTCGCATCGTACGATATCGCGGCCGCTGCACGCCATCTTCACTTATGTACAACAACAACAACAGATGTTATTCATTGCCCAATTGTCTCATATGGGCACATAGCAGAAATTACACAGAGAGTTGCAATGCACAAGGATATATTCAAGCTCATAACAAAAACTATAGTCATAATCTATGTAACACGATCGAGATATTTCGCACTGTTATGTCGTCAACGGAACAGTATTTTCGCAGAAAGCAAACACAGAACAAAACTGCCATATGCCCTATGCATATAGTGGGGCATATACATAAGGCATATGAGGTATTAGATTAGTATCTGAAGAAAATCTACGTTTTTATTTGTTTCTAGCTTGTACCACTGCGACCACTTGGCGTTGAGCTCTATCTATCTATCTGTCTATCTATCGAAATCATGATTGCAATCTTGTCACAGAGCAAAAATGGCTTCGGGCAAAAGTATTTTTCGTTATTTCGATATTCGCTCGCGTTATTTCGGTCTGTAGGTTATGAAGAGCATAGGCTTAGAACATTTCTGGGTATCACAAATCATAATAATAGCAATAACGGTAATAATATATAATAATAAATGTTAATTATCATCATTATTGTTACCGTTGCTGCTACCACCATACATATTGTAATAAATGACCAGAAATCGGTTTATGAAGATGGACGTAACTTTTAAGAGGACGTGGTCGCGTCCGAGAGCTCAATTAATTATCGAAAACAGATAAACAGTAAACGATTAGATAAGATTGACATGCTTTTTGCTTTTCGACGACAAATTTGAGTAAATAGGCTGTAGTTGTAGAAACTACATATGTAAAACTAACTAAAATTGAAAGAATAACTTAAAAATAAATTTCGAAAAAATCTTCGATCTAACTATCATCGGGAATCCACTTTCGGATTAGAAAAAGGGCGAAAGAGAAATGGCTAGACGTATTGCGTTCATTCTAAGACTAGCTTAGGCTACTGCAGGTATAGTAGACGTAGAACAAGGCCGTTTAGATAGCGATTAAAGATCTCCCTTTTGTATTTATCGATTGGAACGAATTTGTCGTTTTACAGCAACGGCAGCGGCGACATAAAAAAAAGGCAAAAAATAGTCGAAACTTGTTCACAAAAACCCCATGATAGCGGGTCTCCGCGCAGGCTTAGCCGCGCTAAAAAAAAGATAGCAAAAAAAAGCAGAAGCCCGAAAAATCTCAAACCGGTGCGAGGGCAACGGCTAACAGCAATGTCTGCCCCGTGTCTACTTTGCTAACAAAGCATCAACGTCGTCTGAACCCGTGAACAACCCGTGCAGCTGCTGAGGCAGGGGTAAGAAATGTGTTGAGGATAAATGGCTCTTACTAATTCGCCTGCCTAGATATGATGCTTATCTCATTCAACGCAGCATACTTTATGGTCAACAGTACAAACATTAACGTCATATCATTTACAATATTTTCTTTATCTATCTAAATAACGCAAGGTGCTCGTATACCTAGTTGGCGTAAGGCACAACGGTTGCCAATTTGAGACATTGCTTTTGGAACTTGCCCGTTTGCTTCGTTTCACAATACAAAAGCGGAAATGCAGTGATTTTGGATATCAACATGTCTCTGTTATCCTGATTGTTCCGAGATGCAAACGTTTGGGCGCACCGTAACGAAACAAATCGTGTTCCGTCTCTAATGCTTAAAAATCAATGCCATATAGTCTAAACAGAACATAACAATAAAACGGATGTCCAGTGTTTAGTAGTACGCATCAAGGACACCGCATCGACAAGTACGCTGTGATTTAGTGTACATTACCATTTCCTTTGTACCCTTCGCAAGTTCATCAGTACCTTCATCTTTTTTTCGCTCTGACACAATACGCCTGACAAAGCGCTAGAGGTTTCTGAGGTGCATGCTGAAAATGGTAAAAAGTTTCTCTCAGCCCCGTCTTCCTCAGCAAGTCCTTTTCTCTCTTTCTGCCTTGCAATCCTTCGTACAGAAATGTTATCTCATCACGATATTGAATTCTTGCGGTCGGATAATAATTGTCCCTCTGTGCTTAAGCAAGCGCTAGGCCATATTGCGAACAACTAACAGATTCTGTATCAACTGTTGATGGGTTTGTAAGACGCTAGGGTTGATCACTGGCACACCAAGAAGGACGCTCTGCTTCGGGCATCCTTGTTGGTTCTCATCGCCTAGCAGTGGAATAACACCGATAAGATCGCGTCCGAGAGCTGACGATGCCAAGGACACGTCAATCAACGGAAGACTGCCCGCTTTTTGTGATTGACCCTCGTCAAACGAGCGCGTCCTGCATCGAGTCGGTATCAAGTCGTCGTTCCGACAGAACACCTGACCATCGCAATCCTGCTCGTGTCTCTGATAGATACTACGATAGCTGAACAGTTTGTTGCATTTGGCACAAGCAAACTTCTTCATATGCGTCTGCCTCGTATGCTGAAGCAAGTCGTGCTTTTTTGCAAAGCCAATCTTACACACGCCGCAGCGGAAACTCTTCGTGACAGAGATGTGCATTTGAACGTGATAGCGGTACACATGTTTCGAGTTGAACACTTTATTGCAATCAACACATAGAAATTGCCGTTTAGGCTGTTTGCCCGTATGGGCCTCCGCATGCTCTTTCGCTGATCGATGGCTAGGGTCGCAAGAGTCCGAGTCATCGCTCTTGTGGAGCGGTTTATGCGACGGGGCGCTGTCCGATGACGAATCACAGCTTGAGTCAAAGGATCGTTTCCGGCTACTGTTGGCCGATAAATCCTCGGGTACTTGCACGCTTGTGCCGATCTCGGTAGCCGCCGATGACGAATCGTCGATCGTGCAGCTCGGCTGGACATGATGCGATTTAATGTGGTTTTCCAGGTCTTCCTCCGACGAGAAGTCGACCTTACATGGAATGCAAGTGAAGGCCATTTCCTTGCTGGCATTGTTGTGGCAGCCGTTTGACAGCGACGGCTCTTCTTTCACGACCCTGGATAATGACAACGGCTCATTCTGTTCGTCGTTTGGCTCCGCAATTGCTGATCGGTAGCAGTTGTTGATTGCAGCCTGTAGTGTGGCCACGCTGCCTAAACCTACTGGGTTCGTTGCCGGCCCATGCGCCTCCTGAATGTGTAAGATGAGCTCTTTTTCGTTAAAGCAGCGCTTTCCGCATGCCAGACACGAGTAGGGTGACTCCTGGATGTGCTGGAACAAATGTTTGCGACAGCCGTCCGTGTCGTTGTTCAGCGTCTCGTATGGACAGAACGGGCAGTGCCATGAGTTTTGCGGAGACATGCTCGACTGCGATGGCGGCTGCGTAGGAAATCCAAGCGGCGTTTGCATCAGTGGTGAACTGAATAGGCCCGGAAGGAAAAGTGGGTTCTGTAGACGTGTCGATGTCGGGGGCAGTTGTGCGAGTTGCGAATTGCTGAAAACGGGAAGGCCTGCTAGACCTGGTGGCGTCGATGTGACCGGCTCAGTGGACACAGGCCGGGTTGGTATTGTGCCGGCAGGCGAACCCAACTCGGGAGGTGGGTAGACGGTTTCCGCAGCAGCACCTGGACTGCCGCTGCCATCGAGAAGCGAACTGGGCGAACCCGCTCCTGTCGTAAGGTCATCCTGGCCACCACTTTTCGACCGCCTGCGATCAAGCATATCAGTAGAGATCTTGTGCCGGTTACGAAGATGGTGGAGGAAGACGTTCTTCTGCCGATAACTCCGATGACATAGCCCGCAGCGATAGGAGGGGGTCTGGCTGTGAATCGCCTGCAATATCGAAAAACGGCCAACGAAAAACGCACAACAGAAAACGAGAGAGAAGCGCAAAAACAAAAAAAAAAAAAAAGAATCATTAGAACGACGAAAATACTCCATTAGAGTAGGCTCAGTACCCATGCGCCCATAAGGCTATTTCTGCAAATTAACAACCACTATTGTTACAGATATCGGTTCTTCTGCGTCTCGAATAATTGCCCTTCGACGAATATTGGTCGGGTAAAAGGCACGGGAAACGAGCAAGAGCGTGAGCCGGCTGATTCTGATTACCATACATATCAGCCTATACGATACAATGATCGGTACCTTGAATACAACCACCGTTCATACAATTAGGGCCAGTAGACGTTTAAACAGAGTTAACACGCATTCCATAATTGCATGGCTGTTATGGCTTCTTTCATTCGTCAAACTCCTACTTGTTACGATGTGAGGCCGGTACCTAATCGATGAAGTGCGATAGACCCACAGCTTTCCACAGTAGAACTATATATGGCAAGCAGATCTTAGTGACACGGTCACGCGTTGAAAATTAGTATACACGATGTATCTAAATATACCAATATATACACACACATACTTACAAACACAAACAAAAATACCCACATTATTTTATTAGTGCCTATGACAAACAGCCTATATTTTTCCAGTACATAAGAGATGTATGATAATTTAGTTATGCTTGTGTATATCATACGGGTTTTTTTTCTTTTGTTATGCAGTAACTTAAGCCAAGGGTCATCGAAAAGGATCCAAATTTTCGACTATATACATATATATATATATGTTCTAACCGTTTCTATAGTCTGTAGGATTGACGACAAGCCAGTGATCTTCGAATGACCTTCCACCGCTTAAATAAACAAAAAACTCCGTTCTTTACGAGGCGACGCAAGTTCAGCTGCGAATCATGTCCTGCATCCGAACGGTTTGTGGCCAACACAAGCAGGGCCTGTTGAACAGTGTGCCGATTGAAACCAAACACCGCCGACTCCACAAAAGGCACGCACGCAATGAAGGCCGTCAACTGCGAAAACATTATAGCAACTGGGAACAACAACGCTAAGGATCGGGTTCGAATCCGCTGTGAGATCAAGCCAGACAGCAAAAGCCAAACACCTGCTGCTGCCCAAATTATGCAGCCTGATCCGCAAGAAATCTGATGCTTTGACGCATTTGCGACCGATTGCTTTGGATCGACATTTTCGCGCGGGGGAGACCTGATGTCTCTTTTAGAGGATGTTGGAAATGGGACGCCGTTTGAGGAAAGAGAGAGAGAGAGAGAGAGAGAGAAATTCTGTTCGGATACCCCGACATCGAACAGGGTGGAACGCTGTCCCGACTCCCGAAAAATATAAATGGAGATTATTCTCTGCCTTCTGCTACTATTTTTGCCGTGTTCCGGTGACAACCCACCCCTTGAGCTGGTGGCTTCTAGAAAATCGGCCCAGCAAAAGTATATGACTACAAGGTAGGACCAGGTAGAAAACCACGACGCTGCGGTCACTTGAGACATAAAACCGGGTGCGGCTAGACCATTTGGCTTTATGGAGTTGCATCCCTTTCATGATTTGTGAATCCGACAGAGCACCTGACTGAAGTACCTATTCGGGTACTTTTCTCTGTTGCTCGCGTTATCTCTGTCATAGAACTCCTTTCCAAGTTGCGTCTGGCATCCGAGACGGACTTTTAGGACAACAGAGCTGCTCAGCTTGCTGGTTGGCGTGCGGCCACATCACGGTTCTACAGCCACATATGCACGCCAAATAGCCACAACGTCGTCAAATTTTCATCTTTAACCAAACGGGCCCGGAGGATTTGCAGGCTGATGAGTGTTCGCTCACTACTATGAATGCGACTGCCATTGAACGGCGGAGAGGAATCAGAGGGGAGGACGACGAAGTGGCGTCGAATGTCACGCAACAGCAACTGCCACAACCGCATTATCCATCAGCAGAAATTACGGCGTCTCAGTCTACACCTACCTATTTTCTGCCCATCGAAAGAAGAAATAGCTATTGCCTTCGTTACTCCCGAGACTTCCTATGTTTCCTATGACGGTGGCTTGGACGAAAGCCAAACAAAACTCGTGGGCGGGCCTAAGAGTTGGCAGCAAGAAGCGCTTGGTAGATTCGTTCTATTTAGGCATTCATTCTCAGGGCACCACGTTTTGCCTTGAAAATTTGCGGCAGGATTCCACTGTAGCAAAGGGCGACCGGCAGTGGCCGGCGGCCTGGAAAAGAAGAAACCAAGATGACGGCTGCACCACGAATTCTACGGCAAAGCGGGTCTGCCTAACGTTGCTGAACAGGGTAAAAAGGCCAATGTTTGGCTCCCCATTTGGTGCCTGCCTGCCTGCTTTGAGTGCCAGACTGTAAATGTTCGCAGTGCAGGATAGTGGCACTCGTTTTGGTTATGATAGCGATGAAGGAATCGGATATAGGTATAGTCTAGTAGCGGTTCATCATAGTTGTTGTTGCGGGTCATCATGACAACGAAATCCAGTCAACGGCACTTTTCGGCGAATTGTCATCTTCATTTGTGTGCTGACGAAAATGACCATACCGGCGTCACAGTATGGCCTAGGTACTGTATCACGCCATTGGTTTGAGCGGAGTCGATTCGATTGGAACAGCCGGCAATAAACGAGCAGGCCCACTGTACGTACTCTGGACGATGGACTTGAACCGCGAAGAAGAACCGCTCGCAGAACTCCGCCGCTACAACATGGAGAAGTGAGACGAAATGCAGAAGGAACGCTGTAGTCGCTTTTACGTTGGTTGTTCAAGATTGGGTAGCTGTGATTCAACTAATCTAAGTACAGACAACATCGCAAATAAGGCCATCACTTCTACTCATTGTTTTAACACAGCCAAGACACCGGCCGGCCTGGCTGCCTGCTTTCGTGCCATGTTCCCCTGTACGAAACAACAATCGATCTCGAACGGCGACCATTCAGGTATACAACAAGCACCACCCAAATACGAAGACCAATGGATGTTACTTTTAGACATCTAGACATAGCGGAACGACCAACAGGGAGGGGCGAGAATCGAGTTCAGGAAGAGCGACCCAGTACGAACCAGCCACAGCATCTTGGCGTCTTCCAGGTATCAACGACGGGCAATCAGCCTGAAGTAGTCAGCCTCCTACGATGTTCGGATGCTTAACGGGGTTATGGTGCTAGCGGTGACCTGATGGCCGGCTGTCCTACGGTAGGCCTGCTGCACAGTCCTACAGCATGCAGGCCGATGACAGTAAACAGTTCGCGGTAGGACCAGCTAGTGTCTGAAACATTCGACTTAGTTGGTCCTGATAGAACTAGGCCGGGCGCTTCGGAATGAACCAGCTCCGGCGCTATGGCACCGCCGCTTCATCCACCGATCATCGATAAGCCTAGGCGTACTGAGATGCATACGGCATTAGGCATAATGTATATATATAGATGGGGCTGGTTAAGATGAAGGGCGAAAGGAAATAAATAACAGCACCTAGTCGACAAGCGTACCCATATAGACAAAGCGAGAGGTATAAACAGATACCTACAGAGAGAAGGACTATGCAAAATTGGGTCTTCAACCACCTTCAGACACGCCCCAAAAGAGTGAAACTGTCTGACCACAGAAAAGACCATATGCGAGATAGCGCATAGATGAACCACACGCTGGTAGTGCTGCCCAGCTACGACAGAAAAAGCGGTTTTGGCCGACGATGAGCATATGCCCGGGAGCATTTGCCATACCGTAGAAATATAGGAGAACCTATACAGCGAACGGTACCATGACGATGCCGGTCGGCGGCCACCTTTTCTACGCTAGTCGTCCGACAGTCGTCTATTTTTCGCAGTCTTTTCATCTGGTAAAAGGCGGATCGAGACGCTATGAAAAGACCAGCTCCAGTAAGAGAGAGCAGATTTATTCAACACGACTTTGTGGAAGTGGTCACCGAAGTGACGGCAATGATAACGGCGAATTGCCCAAGGGCATATAAGCTGTACGATTATACTTAAACAGATGTGTCTATGTACGAACATGTTTGCGTCCCTATGTATGTAGCATAGGAGTATACTGGAGATTTACGTTGAGTGGGAAATCACTATAATCGATATGGGACGGTTTCTTTGGATCGAACCTTGAAATTGTACAATCATCAACAAAGTGGGCCATCGATGCCGAAGCCGAAGCCATTGAATGTCTGTACCAAACGTTTCTGACGATAGTTGCGCAGAACACGCTACCGCCTCTGCTGCTGCTGCTGCTGTCGCTACCGTCACCAGCGAAACGCCAGCGTGTCGCGCGGCTGCTGTTTAGACGGAACTCAAACTTGGGGCGGTGTACAACTCCACGAACCTCCAAACTCAACTTCGAAGGATATGAAGACCGTCGACTGAACGCTACAAGAAGAGGTAGCGAGCAATTTAAGAGTGCGTATCAAGACCGTACGAAACAAAGCAGTTCGACGAAGCCGACTTCTAAAGCATTAGGCAGCCATGTATAGCAATGAGGCGATGCTAGAAAATGAACCTACTTTTAGCATGAAGTATAAAAGAGACTGATGGGTGAGCTAACTGAGTGGACCTTATCTGCCTACAATTACCCATTAACTAGCCAACTATTAAAGGAAAGCAAACGGGTTAAAGGCGAGGTTCATTTCGAGAACTCGGTGTTCGTGCTATAGAGGATGCTTCTGTGTGATGCAGGCGATTGCAAAGAGATTGAGACGAAACATTCAAGCGCCCACTTTGAAAAGGAGAATAAATAATACCGAATTGCCAATCGAAACAGGCCGATTTTTTCTCTTTCTTTGTCCTTGGTTATATCATTTACACGCGTCACTTTTAATGACCCATTTGGTTCTTCTCGGTTATACTTTTAGCACATATTCGACAACTTACAAAACTTATCAGATACCGCTAGCTAGCTAGCTAGCTGTCTGTCATTTCTCGGCAATAGCGGTAGGAGCGGACATTGAGGAAAATATTTGAACCTTAT